AATTAGTGGGTGGGAGGGGAAAAGACTGGTAATGTGCATCCTTCCCTGGTAGTCTGAAGTGGCACATTCCACTCTCCCACCACATTCTGTTGCACAAGTTGACCCAGCCTAATAAAGCCGTTCTTGTAAATGTCCTTTCCTTTGATCTAGCTCCTTCAGCAATGTTAAGTTTTCCCTTAGAGATAATCTTGCTTGGGAAAGCACAGTGAGGAAATAAATGTTAATTAACTAATCCAGAATGCGGCAGGTAGACTGGTAAATGGGAGTGGCCGCCAAGACCACATAACATTGGTCCTGAAAGACCTACATTGGCTCCCAGTAGGTTTCCGAGCACAATTCAAAGTGTTGGTGCTGACCTTTAAAGCCCTAAATGTCCTCGGCCCAGTATACCTGAAAGAGCGTCTCCACCCCCATCGTTCTGCCCAGACACTGAGGTCTAGCTCCGAGGGCCTTCTGGCAGTTCCCTCACTGCAAGAAGTGAGGTTACAGGGAACCAGGCAGAGGGCCTTCTCGGTAGTGGTGCCCTCCCTGTGGAACGCCCTCCCGTCAGATGTCAGGGTAATAAATAACTACCTGACTTTTAGAAGACATCTGATGGCAACCCTGTATTGGGAAATCTTTAATGTCTAATGTTTTACCCATTTTTATGTGCTGTAAGCTGCCCAAAGTGGCTGTGGAAACCCAGCCAGATGGGTGGGGTATAAATAATGAAATTATTCTTATCCTTATTACTAGCATGTTTGGTAATACCTATTAGTACCAAGATATTCCCTGCAGCGCAGTCTTTGATCTTAAAGCAGGAAAGATGGAGATAAGTCCCTGAACCAAAGCCTTCCCAGTACAGTCATACCTCGGGTTACAGCCGCTTCAGGTTGCGTTTTTTCGGGTCGCGGACCGCCAAAACCCGGAAGTACCGGAACAGGTTACTTCCAGGTTTCGGCAGTCGCGCATGCGCAGAAGCGCTGAATCACACTTTGTGCATGCGCAGAAGTGTCGAATTGCAACCCGTGTGCGCGCAGATGTGCAGACACGGGTTGTGAACGCTACGGGTTGCGAACGTGCATCCCGCATGGATCACGTTTGCAACCCAAGCGCCCACTGTAATGGCTGGGGAAGAATGGGGTGACATATAGTATCTGCTAGGAGGAGGCCTGGATTATTCTCTTGCCAACACTTTGTTGTGATATTGAGAAAGTGGCACATATAGATCAGGCTTTGCATCCTCATCAGAGTCCTTTCAGAGGTTGAAGCACAGAACCTCCCTACCTGAATGATTGCATAATGCAGCACAGCATCAAAACAGCTCAGCTTCCACATTTGACTGAAGACAGGGGAGCATGGAACAAAGGTATTATTTCCCCACATTAAAACAACAAGGCAAGTAGAAAGCTAGAACATCAAGGAAGGCAATCTTCTAGCCCAGCCCTCTTCCTCTTGTGCTAGTTTTCTACCTGCAGTGAGGGTTTTTTTGGTGTTTTTTACTTGGGGTATTCAAACTGAGCTCTGTGTTCAGAAGCAAGGGTTATATCACACCATCTGATTTCACCATCTGCGCTGTCATTTTGGCTCCTAGTGGTGTCACTCAGCAGAATGTGCTGTGGAAGATTTCAGAACTCTATGTATCAGAAATAAAGGGAACAAGAATACCATAGTCATATCCGACTTAGCTGGAACTGTGCAGGTCTAAGATACTTTATGGGCAGAGCCTCAAAATAGAATATACTTGAACCTGGGTACAATCTTCTCTCTCTCTTTCTCTCATTTACACACACACTCTCTCTCCCATTCTCCTTGTTCTGTCTCTCAATCACTCTCTTGTTCTCTTCTTCCCCTTCTCTTCTTCCCCTTCTCATTTTCTCTCTCTCATTTGCTCATTCTCCCTCTGCTTTTCGTTCTTGTTCCCTTTGCCACACCATGCATTTAAAGCACAACCAGTGTACATTCAAGCACATGACCAAAGAATCCCGGAAACTAATTTGTTAAGGGTGCCGGGAATTGTAGCTTGGTAGGGGGAACTACAGTTCCCAAGATTCTTTGGGGGAAGGTATGTGCTTTAAATTCCCTTTAAATGCATGGTGCAGATGTGACACAAACCCCTCTTTCTCTCTCTCCAGCCACATGATCTTTTGTTGTGTTGCCATCCCTTATCTCCGAGACGCGTCACAACCTGGCATTCCAAAGGTTATGCTCCGGCTTGTTCAATTGCTCCCGTCAGTCCTTAACCCTGCTTCCCGTCAGCCAAGGGAACGGGGCTCCTTAGACAAGCTGTGAACATTTGTTTGCTCTCTGGACCCTGCTCAGAGCCAGAGGGAGAGAAGCACATGGCATGCAGCCTGAACCAAAAAAATACAGCTTCTGGGATTGTGGGGTGGCAATTTTACACATGCACACCCCCTGCAGTGGTACAATTAGGAAATTTTAGAGTTTGGGGGTGGCTGCTGTTTAGATAGCAGTACAGGGTGTCCCTGTGTTCTGCATTACAGAGGACAGCCCTCAATTTGAAGGAGTCCACTACTTGAAAGCCTTCCTGGTCCAAGTTTGGTTCAAAGACAAAGAGTCTAAGAAGGGAGAGCAGGAGGGCCCTTGAAGATGACATCCATAACTTGTTGGCACCTGGGCAGCAGAAGGAGAAGATGCACACACAGTTCACCTGTAGGCCACAGTCTTCCCCACTATGGTGTGATGTGCTGCATTTTGATTTAAACAACGTTGATGTTTTCCAGCCTTGCATCCATATCTATATACTGTATACAAGTTAGCAACATATTCAAATGTTATGGACATTTTGCCCTCTTTTGCTGCCACCGCATCCAGTTGTCATGTGCTTTACTTCACCATGGAGCAAGCCAGGCCTGCTGCCTTGGTTGGTGGGTGTGGAGATCCTTGCTCATTCTGCTCAGAGAGGTCCTGAACGTTTGCCCCAAAGCCCTGCCCAGGTGGCACCGCTCCTTCCCCATTCCCAAATGCCATGTGGAAGTGTCAGTGGCAAAATTGGGGTGACCACAAACACAGTGTCTCTTATCAAGAGGAGAACAGGAAGTTTCAAACTGGATGGGGGACCACGTGTTGAGATTCGTGCATTGCAAGGATTTGGACTAGATGATGCTTGTGGTCCCTTCCAACTCTACAATTCTGTAATCGCTTAATACATTTTTGGCAAGGTGCCTTATACTGAGCATTGTCTACACTGGCTGGCAGCAGCTCGCTAGGGTTTCAGGCAAGAGTCTTTTCCCAGCCGTACCTGGATACACCAGGGGTTGATTCTGGGACCTCCTGCATTCAAAGCTACGGCCCTTTCATCAAGATTGTTTGGGAACACTCACTTGCTGAGGACACTTGGGCAACTGGTGGCGCTTAGGAGGTCCTTTGCCAGGAATGGCTTCTCAAGGGCCCTTTCCCAGCTGCTACAATGACTCTCAGGCATAAGAGGATTGTAAATACTCATCAGGCAATAAGGCCCTCCAGGACAGAGTGCACTGCCAGGATGAAAACAGATTACCCGTGTTGGATCACTTTCCACTAAGTAGCTTCACAAAGATCATAATTATAGGTATCACCACAAGGCAGTCTAAAAGGACAGCTTAGTAGACTCTTGCCTTAATCCAGCCACGTGTGCGATGAACATGGCAGCAGATTTTCCTACACCTGCGCAAGATAGGGCACTGCATGCATGCTTTTCCCATACCACATCTGTGGCTCTACAGGCACATATGATTAGAGAGAACAAGCAAGCAGGTTAAACCTCCTTCTCTTTCTCTCACATGCGCACACCTCAGTCCTCCTTCGCAACCAACTGGTTGGACCATGGGGAATTTTGAAAGGGAGCTGCTGTTTGAGGCATGCTCCACAGGTCCACTCTCCCCACTTACTTTTTGCTGGCTGGGACTGATGGGAATTGTAGTCCACAACATCAGGAGTGCACTAGGCTGGCAAAGAGTCCTGAGAGCCAAAAAGGGATGCCTGAAAGAGGCAAGTTTGACCTCCGGACCAGAGGTTCACTGCCTCTGGTGTAGATAATACAGAGATAGATATGCAGGTCTAAGGCAGCTTCCATTGTTCCCATGAATGCTCAACAAATACATTCTCTGTAAGCAATTCTTGTCTTAACAGTCTAGAGGCAAAGCCTGAACAAAGCTCTGGGCTAGTGCCCATATATTTCAATGCACACTGTAACAACCGACTCTTGGGGCAGAATCATAAGGAAGTAAGCAAGCAGGTATTTGGGGCACTTCCAGAAAACAAGTTTGTTGATCATTCATCCTGATCATCTTTTTTATACATATAAATAATTTTATTAGTTTTCAATTGCAGTCCAGTAACAGCCTCATTATAACAACATCAATTTATAATACAAATATTAATACCAATTGTCCAAATACCAAGTTACATAATTTAGATAAAGTCTCCCCCATGTGCTAGATCTGATGATTTGATTATTTTCTTTATTTCTGCGTTCCAAAACTTAATGATTTCGATTACATTCCGATCATCATAATAATCCCTTCTACAACAACTGCAATATTAATAACTTCTACTCGTGTTGACACATGAAATGTTTTATAAAACTACAGGTGAGGAACTCAAACTATATCCTTGTTCTTCCTGTGTGTGGCAATTATTTTAAGGCACATTTCCCCCTACTATATGCATATACGATTATAAACAATAGTGTTTCAGAAAGTGTGAATTTGATGAATTTGGCTTAAAATGCAAACTTAACTGAATTTCTCCCCCACCCTATCTAATACTCCCTGTTAACAGTGGCGTCGCAATGGGGGGGGGCGGTACGCCCCAGGTTCCATGCCTGCGGGGGAGACAAAAAGTCACCCCGCAGGGGCTTGTGGCGGTGCAAGCAGCCGCCTTTGAAGGGTCCTCCGTTCGCGGCTGCAAACCGCTAAGTACAGCGCATGTGCGGTGTCGCATGCATGCGCTATACGTAGAGATGCCACACATGCGCTGTATAGCAATTTGCCGCCAGTGCTGCTCCAGCGTCATATGGACGGTACCGGGATCCCTCCGTCGCCGCTACAGCTGTGCTCGTGGCTGCAGCGGTGACGGAGGGATCCCAACACCGTCCATACAGCGCTGGAGTGGCGCTGGTGGCAAACCACTATACAGCACATGTGTGGCGTCACTTCGTACGGCGCATGTGTTGTACATGGCGCCGCCGCACATGTACCCTCTGTCGTGACACCCACCCTGGGTGTCATGACGCCTTCCTCCGCCCCTGCCTGTTAAAGAATCTGCTTCTTTCTTCACCCAGCCTGTTCATATCTCTCTCTCTCTCTCTCTCTCTCTCTCTCTCTCTCTCTCTCTCACACACACACACACTCTGTTGAAAAGGTCCTTGTTAGGCAACACATAGTCTGATGTGCCCTCTGCTGGCCATAATGAAGCTCTGCATCCTGAACCCCATCCTATGAGTGCTTCCAGATGTGATAAGGAAAGTGATGAAGAAATGCACTGGAAGGGGGGGGGGTGACAATTACTTGGCAAGACGTTTCCCTGCAGGTGAATCAGAATGAATGCTGAATAAGCAGCAGACACCGCCTAACCTCTCTACAAACTCTGTGCCAACATATCAGGATGAGCGTTCAGTAAATAGGTTGCAACTCAGCAGGTGATCAGATGCAAAGACAGATAGGGCTTGTTGTCCCTTTCACACAGGGATGGGGAACCTTTGGCCACTCAGATGGCATTGGACTCCAACTCCCATCAACCTCTGCCTGCAGGGCCAGAGGTCAGGGATGGTGGGAGTTGGAGTCCAGCAAGAATTCCCACATAGCACACCTGGTCCATTACTTAAAGTAGTCCTGACTGCTCTAAAAGCCAAAAATCCATGATTCTCTGCGTCCTGCACTTGGCAGCAATGGGCCAGTGGGCTTTTTCCATGACTGTGCCCAAGTTTTTTACTCCCTCCCTGCAGAGGCACACCCTGGGAAGTGAAGACTTTGTTTAAACAGGCCTACCTGTTAGGTTGACCGCTGTTGTCTTTTTACGGGGGTGTATTTACTGCTCTAAAGGGACGCGGGTGGCGCTGTGGGTTAAACCACAGAGCCTAGGACTTGCCGATCAGAACGTTGGCAGTTCAAATCCCCGCAACGGGGTGAGCTCCCGTTGCTTGGTTCTTGCTCCTGCCAACCTAGCAGTTCAAAAGCATGCCAGTGCAAGTAGATAAATAGGTACCACTCCGGTGGGAAGGTAAACAGCGTTTCCGTGAGCTGCTCTGGTTCACCAGAAGCGGCTTAGTCATGCTGGCCACATGACCCAGAAGCTGTACGCCGGCTCCCTCGGCCAATAAAGCGAGATGAGCGCCGCAACCCCAGAGTTGGTCACGACTGGACCTAATGGTCAGGGGTCCCTTTACCTTTTTATTTACTGCTATATTTAATATTTGAGTTGATGTTTGAATTGTGCTTTCACTGGCTTCTGACAGTTGTCTTCTATTGTATTGAGATGTCCTGGTGTTAGCCACCTTGAGTGCCTGGTGAGGAAAGCGGGGTGGAAATCTGATTGAACAAACAGGTATCAAGAGGTATTGCATTTAATCATATTGATTTCACTCATTTGTTTGCTTGAAAGGAACTGTATATTTAAAAGTGGTGTATGAATAAGAATGATGATAATATGCATTCTTGTAAATATAGCTTGCTTGGAGAACTCCCTTGCAAAATTTGGATAAGTGCAAATTTTGCAAGATGGCTGTGTTTTGGTGCTTGTATTGTTTCAAAAAGTGCAATTTAATAAACAGGAACCGAATTTAAATCCTCATCTCTTTTTATAGCTCATGGTTTATCTGAGAGAGCTAAACCACACCCCGTAGATTAAGATCAGTGCTGCGCAACAGAAACGTAGTGGCTGCACATTCAGCCACACATTCACGCTAGGGCATGAACTAGCTTAGCATGTCATCCAAATCAGCCAGCTGGGCTGCTACCCTTCAGTCCCCCACATGGAGTTCTGCTCATTTCCTCCTCCTTCTTCCCAGCAGCACTGGTAGGGGGAAAAAATCCTCAGTCTAAAAGGGCACTCTTCCTGTGGTGACATCATGCTCCCTGTTGTCCTGGCAACATTCCCACTCCCATTTTACATAATCCAGCACTGAAATCCTAAACCTGGCCTTTGTCTCTGCTTACCATCCCCGCATGGGAGGGGCTCACACTTCTCTGCTGGCACAAGGTAACTGTTTGTGTCAGTGGCCTGTTGATTTCTCTCTTACTGCATGATGGTTCTTCTCCCCAGGTGGTTCCTGGTCAGGAATTCCTTCATTGGAGGTTTCTAAAAAGAGGTTGGATAGCCATATGTCAAGGAATATTTGTCTGTGATTCCTGCATTGCAGGGGGTTGGACTAGATGATCCCTGGGGTGCATTCCAACTCTACAATTATATGATTTGCTATCTGTCGTTGTCAATTTTCGGCGAGCCACTTTGCACACAATGTGTTTGTAGGGAAAGCCATATATAAATATAAAGTGGCTATGACCAAGAAACTGAAACAGATTCAGCCTGCATTTACACTCTGCTAAACTGTCTTGCAACTGGGTGAAGACTTCAAGCATTCAGTGATCTCCTACATTTACTAACTTTAGAAATTATTGGGTGGGTGGGAATCTGGGATCCAGGATTTTTAGGTGATCTTTGCCCCCTGCAAACCCATAACAGTATTCTTTAAAATGTGGTGACTTCCTCTGCTTCAGTATTCCCATTTCTTGGGTGTCAGATGAGACTCTACTTTTGGAGTCATCCCTCCCCCCAAAAAAGAAAAGAAAAAGATGTCACAACAATGCCAGTTCAATAGAGCTGAGGAAGGAAGCTAGAAGCCGCAGCTCTTCTATATTTGGACATGTCTGTTTGAGGTTGCGGCAGCTGCGTTGCTTGGGTGAACATCAGCTCTTTAAGGCCAAGATGTGAGGCTAAGTTTGAATGTGAAACATCTTTTCCTTGTCAAGGCTCAGCCCTGGAATGTGTAATAAGGAAAAATATACTTTTATTTATGCTATTCCACTTTTGAGCACATGCAAAGCGCCCTTTGGGTTCTAAATGACCTTTGGCCATGCTGGCTAGCAATGTCTCAAGGGACACAGGTTTCCCATCTTTGCCTTATTATTTACTTATTAATTTATTTATTAAATTTATATCCTCCCCTTTTTCCTCCAAGGGGATCCCAAAGCAGAAAACACTTTATTTATTTATTTAAAAATACAGTTTAAGATAAAGTTTAAATATTTAACTTTATTTAAAAACAATAAAACACAGCAAAACATCTAAAATAAGTTTAAGAACAGATGTAACCATCACATGTGTCTGGATAGGCCAACTGAAACAGAAAGGTTTACAGCTGGTGTCTAAAAGAATACAGTGATGGTACCTGGCTAACGACAATAGGCAATAGGAGTTCCTAAGCACAGGTGCTGCCACACTGCTGTTTTTTGTTGCATCAATTGTTTTAAATTTGTTGTTAGCCACCCTGAGCCCGGTTTTCTGAACCAGGAAGGGCGGGGTATAAATAAAAATTTATTTATATTTATATAAAGAAATGATTCCTCACAGATGTGGAATACACATGGCGTGGCACTTGTCAAAGTTCAAACTCCACAGATTGAAGTGATTGAATTGGCACATACGGGGTAATGTGATCCCTTGAGTAAACTTGGAACAGCCTTTTTAAAGAAAGGATGGCCCATTTAATGTCTGAAACAAAGCCTTCCTCTTGATCAGGTTGTATGAGGAACAAACAAGCCAAGCCCTCAGCCTGAACCACAATCGCTTGACATAAGCAGCCTTTTAATGCTTGAAAAGACCTGTTCAGTCTCAGCTGACCAGCAAATTTTTAAGGGAGGAGTGGAAGGCTGTACAGTACTTTGTAAGGTTGGCAAGGGAAGCAGCAACAGCAGTGACATGGGGAGTTCACCACCACAGGCAAATCTGCCCCACCAAGCTCAGTCTGCCCTCAGCCAGCCAACCGCAACCTATCTGCCTTCCGACTTCCATCCTATCCAGGGGGTGGCCCTGCCTGTCAGCTTCTTGCTCTGCCTCAGCCTCAGTGCCCCCTTTGTAAAACTCAGCAGCGAGGAGGACAGGGACAAAAATGAGACTCAGCTGACTCTGCCTGCCTTTGGCTCTGGCTCCACCTAGGGATGAGCAAGTATGTCAACTTTGGTTTCTCGTTTTTTCCAGCCTTAACTTCAGTTCTTCACATATCCGCACCATTGTGCAATCATAAAAGTCCTGATGAAAATTCACCGGCACTCAAGTGCAAAGTTGTTTCAATAGCACGTTTTTGTTTGCAATTTTGCTTGATGCACACATTTCTGCAAAACAATCTCCTCAAATGTAACACTTTTATTGGCGTTAACTTCCAGAGGAGGCTGGTCCATCGGGGTGCCCAGGACCCTGCTGTGGAAGGTCTTCTGTGTCCGCTCTCCTGCTGGCCTTAACTTTATTCCGCCTTTCCATTTCCATTTCCAGGGACTGGAAATTGCACTCTCCCCAGACTTGCTTCTCTTCACCATCTGAAACCAGCCAATCTGCCCAGCCAAGAGTCTCCAGGGCAGAAATGAAACACAGGCAGGCAGGAGCACAAGCAGGTGGCCATTGAGCCTTTGGCGGGGGTGGCTCTTCCCTCTGAGGTGCCCCTTTTGCCTCCTCTGCCCCCCTCCTGTTATGTATTGAAGTTCTCACCCTGGCCACCAGGGGGTATTGTGTACAGTCATACCTCTTGTTGCGTTTGCTTCAGGTTAAATCTTTTCAGGTTGCATCCCGTGGCGACCCAGAAGTACTGGAAAGGGTTACTTCCGGGTTTCACTGCTCGCCCATGCAGACGCTTGAAATAATTTGTCCCCCTTTGGAGAAGGGGGAGGTGGGGAAATGGGGGAGTTGGCACACATGTCTGGCTTTCTCTTCTTTGTTCTGCTGCTCCTGCCCTGGTTGGGGCCCTGAATTATTTTTTTAGTGTTCAATCCCCGCCCCCATTTTTAGGTCATGGGAATGGGGAGACGGGTGGCACGTGCCCCTGGCCTCTTCTTCATGGAGGTGATCTGGCCTGCTGTTACTGAAAGGGAGAAAGAAACTAGGGTGGGGGGGAAAGGGTGCCGTTCCTAGTTGTGGCAAACAAAGGGTGACAGCGCTTTACAGTGGAAAGTCTAACCAATGTCCCTTCAGAAGTAAGTCCTATTGAGTTCAGTGGGGCTTACTCAGTCCCAGGTAAGCAAGGCTAGGATTGCAGGCTTAATGATGAATAGCTGCTGGGTGGGAATCAGGACCGGATTTTAAAGAGTGGGAACCCATGTTTTAGACTAAAATTATTTCATCCCTTCCTCTCCTCCCTTGCTTTCCTTCTTGTCTGCCTCTTCCTGGAAGAATATAAATATAATTCTTAAAAATAATTATGCAAGGGCTGACTAGGGTTATTCAGCAGTATTATGAGAAATACTGCATCTTGCATATTCTCCATGGCTCTCTTCATGCATTAAAGCGCTGGCATTAAAGGCATAGGGGCAGGGCTAGATATAGGATAGCAACCCTACTTGCTGTTGCTCAGCCCATCCCCTTCCTTACCCTGTATAGATTTGCCCCTGGGCCTCTAAAACACAGGTGGGGAGCCTCTGTGTTTCCTAGAGTCCTTGCCTAGTCACTCCTGCTTCCTTTGACCTCTTTGGCACCCGTTAATATGCATTGTGTGTAATTGGGCCTTCGGCAGCAAAGCCTGAAGCAATAGTTAAAACAGAGTCAACCAATTCCCATCGGTCTCTCAAATCTGGCCCAGCTATCTTTATAAACTGCAGTACATTCCCTGGCCGTTATAAGGGTGGTGCTGCGACACAAGGAATGCCAGGCTGGTGACTCCCTCTGCAAGCTGTCTCTGCAGTGTCCTGTGTAAGTCACCTGGACTGTCTACCTGAATCCCTGGTATGAGGGAAATTGGGATGGACATTCTAATTCTCCTCCCTTTTTTAAGGTAAGCCTTTGTTCATGATTCCAAACTTGTCTCCCCTCCCCCGATTCAAAACTGGGAGCAAGCAGGCTAGAGAGAGATATTTATTTTGCTTATTCCTTATTTATCAGTATTAAGTTTATATCCAACCTTCAAGGCTCTGAAGGTGGCACTCATTGGTCTCCTTTTCCCCATGCTATCCTCACCTTTGAGGTAAGTTAGGCTGAGTGAGTGGCCCAAGGTCACACAGTGAGCTTCCTGGCTGATTTTAACGCAGGTCTCCCAGGTCCTAGTCTGTTTAATATTCCTCTACCTTATTCCACAATCTGGAAAAAAAAGATGTAGAAGTGAATAAGCTGAGAGAGGAGAACCATCTTATCCTACAGGTCTGGTAACTTCTGTTGTCCTATGTTAGCAGTCCTGTGTAGCACCTTTAAGACTTATCCATTCAATCCTGTACATACTTATCAGGGAGCAATCCCCATGGGATTCAGTGGAGATTACTTACAGTTTATTTGGCATGAACACTAGAAATTGTGACAGTAGGGCCCCCTTCTGAAACATGGTAAGAAGATATTTAAGTGCTAAATTTTTAATAAAACCGCAGTGTTTAAGGCCCAACCCCCCCCCCCCCCCCGGAAGAGGACAGGAAGAAAACCAGAACTGGTGGGATCTACACAAATTTTCTCCCAGCAGAGAAGCAACTGCAACAACAGGCGTCCTTTCTGAATCAAAGTAAGATGCTTTTCAGTTTACTTAAGTAAAACTGTGATGCTCCAGTGTCCACTGTAGGGAGGAGGATGGGGAGAAAACTAGAACAACATGACCACCACCCCACTGAGACTTCCTGGCAGCCACACTAGATCTACTGGGCACCAGCTGCCACTGGGGTAGACCACTGCGCTCAATTTTATGGCAGTTTAGAGAATGCTACTGTTTGAGTCTAGCTTCCTCTGTTGCTGCTGGTCATCCCATACTGTGTAGCAGTCAGTTGCATGCATTAATTTTCATCTCATTGCCCTGGAGCCACAGGAAGACGTTAATAGAGTAGCACAGGACCCAGGAAGGGTAACAACAAGGGACGTGATGTAGAAAAAGTTGTAATAATTTCAAGAGCAAACAAAAGGATGATGAGGGCCAGGATTTAATCTATTGCACCGTTCAGCTCAACTTTGGAATATCATGTGGGAGCTCCTGAGCTTCATGGATATGCTCAGGCTCCACGTGTGGCAGGAAGATTAGGCATGCCTAAATGCTTCGCTGGCTACCCATGAGCCTTACAGAATTGTAGATTTGGAAGGGACTCCGAGGGTCATCTAGCCCAACCCCCTGTGATGCATTTTGGGCATGGCATTGTCCCTTGGTAGACAGGCAGTGTTTGATTTTGGTGCCTTTTTCATTTTGCTGCTTTGACATAGGACTCAAATGTGACCTTGAAGAGTGCAGGATAGTGGTGGCTGAAGGGTGGGGGGTGAGGAGGAGGCTACACCAAACAAACACTTCCATTATTTGTTTCAAAGGGTGAGAACTTTGATATAAATATTTAACAGGATTGAATGGAAGAGTACAAGAGTGAAAAACTAGACTAGCATTAGTAAAAAAACAACAACCTGTGTCTTAGAACACTTTCGGGTGCCCTTTAGTGCCAAAGCCTCCTCATTGCCTGCCGCAACCTCTGGCCATGCTGTAGCCTTTTGGTTGGACCGATGGCAGCATCAGCAACTGATGGTGTAGGAGGGAAAGGTCATGAGCTCATGGGAGACTTATGTGAGACTCTCTGGTCTGGAAGATACTGGCCTTGACTCTTCTGCAGGGAAACAGCTGCAATCATCCAGATGCTGCTAGAGTGAGTGGCACAAGTGGCCCTCGTTCTGCAGGGATGTGCTGGGAAGTCCTTTTTCTGCCAAGGGCATTCAATGTATTTTGCCCTCCTCTTTTGAAGGCAGCCAAGAACAGCTTGCAGCATCTCACAGAGGCCCTCTAATGGCATCCTGGAGGCACTCTCCTGTCGGGGGACCCTTGCAACCTGCAGGAGCTGTGCCACAAGTTCACCAAGCGCCTGGTAAGAACCCTTTCTCCTCTGGGCATTCCTTCTCCAGTGGAGAGGCAAGAAGGTGGAGCACAGTTGGCACACCAAGAGCAGACTACCGGTACATGGCATTTGACTTTGTCTGTTATCTTTGATTAGGCACCAGAGCTCAGCAAGGGGGTTGGACGCTGTCAGGGAACTGCCATCAGTGCCGGAGGGAGAGAGCAAAATCCAGAGGGATTCCGGAGAGTGTCCCGGGATTGGGAGAGGCAGCCCATCTTCTGGGGAAGAGAATCAGCGTAACACCAGTGGAGAAGGGGGGCAGATGGGGGAAGCGGCGAGGCGGTCCCATGACTCCTTGCCGGGGACCAGCGGGGAGAGTAGAGGTCCTCCGCTACCTACGCCCTCCTTGCGCAGAAGGCTTCTGCGCAGGGAGAGTAGGAGGAGACTTGGCGTCAAACAGCTTCTTTGCTGGAAGAAGTTTAAGAAATGCCCACTGACGGATTCTGCCAGCGATTGAGACAGCCACGGGTGAGTGGCTGTCCGGACAGAAAAGGTTCACTCAGGCAATCCAGCCAGGTGTTTGCACCGGCTTACGCACGAGCAACCCCTAGAACCATTACAGACGCCTTTGCTTATGACGTCCTTTCCCACTTCCACAGCAGGCAGGCTTCAGTGAGGAGCGCTACTGCCATGCTCATCGCTAATTGAAACAGTGGATAGCCAACAGGCAAGATCTCCCTTTATAGTTTCATTGTTTGTCCTGAAGATGTATAATTGCAGGCAGAGGCGTACCTATGGGTTGATCAGGTTGTCCCCTGCCAAGGGTGCAGGCGGGCGGGGCGGGGGGAGCAAAAATCGCACCTCTCAGTGCCACACTAGAGGAATCCAGGCACTGGTGCGGGCCATCACAGCAGCCCTGCGAAGCTCCCTTCCCAGACACTGCTGCTTGGCCCTGTGTCCTCCTAGCATGGCCACTTCTCCTTGCCCTCCTGCAGGCAATGCTCTTAATTTACCACAGCCGAGTCACTTTTCCTTGGTTTCTTTCCCACCTTGACCAATTTCCAGCACACGCATATTTACCCCAGAGGTTTACTCCATATTTACCCCAGAGAGCAAGGGCCATTGACTTAAGCAAGGCTTACTTTTCCAAGTAAAGCACAACTTTTCTGCCAGCACCTTGTTGGAAGTAATGAAAAGGCAAATGAGGTATTGTCAGAGGTTCCTGCCTCTGGCATGGCAGATTTAGGCTGCAGTCCTGTGTACCCACTTTCCTGGGAGCAAGCCCCATTGAACTCAGTGGGATTTACTTTTCAGTAGACATAAGATTGTGCTGTTAAACACTCAGTTTAAGTGTCATTTGTAATTGCTGAATTACATCATGGTGTTTTTTCCCTGGAGATTGGGGTGGGGGCACCAGGACATCTCTTTGGCAAGGGCGGAAAGGATGGGGAGATAGGGAAATGGTTTCACCTGGAGAGGGCTAAAGTAAAATTCCTTAGGGATCCCGTAAAGGGGAGGGAAATATCACTCTTGCCGTTAGACCAAACAGACCACTTGCAGGTGGCTTTTGAAATCTGGCAGGCATCTCAGTGATCGGGACCCTGCAGTGAACTCAGCTGGGAGTGAAGTTTGGAACTGCGGTGGAAAGTGGGAGCAACAGCGACTACACTGACACTGTTCACTGATTCATTCAGGTGCACTGGGATCGTAGCTGACATTGGAATAATGGAGACGGAATGTTTAAAGAAAAAGAAGAGGAAGAACAGTTGTCACGAAAATCACATCCATGCCCCCTTTTCCTGATATATGCCTTGTACCACAAAATGACATTATTACAATTACAGTGGTACCTTGGGTTAAGTACTTAATTCGTTCTGGAGGTCTGTTCTTAACCTGAAACTGTTCTTAACCTGAAGCACCACTTTAGCTAATGGGGCCTCCTGCTGCCGCCGCGCCGCCGGAGCACGATTTCTGTTCTCATCCTGAAGCAAAGTTCTTAACCCGAGGTACTATTTCTGCGTTAGCGGAGTCTGTAACCTGAAGCGTATGTAACCTGAAGTGTATGTAACCCGAGGTACCACTGTAGTTGTTTTTTTTTTATATATATAAGATATTTATTGAAGTTTTCAAGATATTACAAAACACACACACACAAAAAGAAAATACAAAGTAAAAATATTTAAAAACAATTCATTCCTTCCATTACTTAACCTTCATTTGCTTAGTTCCAGGACCTCCTCACACCTCCCTTTTTTGTATTCCAGTTCAATTATTTTGTTCAGCAAATCCCTCCCCTCTTTATGTATCCTAATCATTAATCATAAAGTATTGTAATTTTGGATTTTTACATATTAATAATCCATTTTTTCATATTCCTTGTAACCTTTCAGCTAAAGTTCACTTAGTTTCTTTCCAACATCATTCTAGCATTCATTAATTTTACAATATTTCTGTAGATAGTCTTTAAACTTTTTCCAATCTTCTTCCATCGACTCTTCTCCCTGGTCTTGGATTCTGCCAGTCATTTCCGCACTGTAGTTATTTCTAAGAAATCCATCAGCTTTCCAACACAGTTTTAAAATTTAAAATTGGACAATTTGTTCACACATTGTAGCTTAATTTAGGTTAAAAAAAAAAAAGCTTTAGCAGTCTTGGTGACATAAAAAGCTTTTAAAAAAACAGTCTGAATGGGTTGTCATCTGAGAATGCAATCCAGAAACACCTTTAGAAAACAATGAAGTTTTGTCACCTTACACAATACGGATTTCTGGTCTGGCCCAAGGACTATATAGACGCAGGGGTGCCAATTTGGCTCCCCAACTGTGGGTGCCCAGCACACTTGTCGCAACATCATGCTGAGACGCCATTTTGTTGTGGCGCGTGTGTGCCATAAAAGAAATTGGGCCTGCACAGGCCTAGTTTCTTTCATGGCACATTTTCCCTGAGGGCCCCACTGCCTTACCATGAAACTGCATCTGCCAAGGGGCCTCAGAGGCCCCACGGTGGAAGCCCAACCCCCGGGGATGCACAGGTGGGGGTGTGCGTGGCACATGACAGGGGAGTGGCAGTGGCAGACAGTGTGGGTGGGATGTGGAGGCTGGGTACCCACAACAAAAAATTTGTGGGTGCCTGGGGCCCCCCCAAACATGGTGCCACTGTACAGATTGCTGGTTGATGGGGCTGGAAAGGAATCTTACCATGTTCGCACTTGGCTTAAGCAATGTGGATTGTTTGCCTTCCCTACAGCAATGGATTGCTCTATGGCACCCATGTAAACCCTTTAAGCAATAAAGCTTTTAAAAACTAAACTTCTCTCCTAGTGAAACACCCCCCCCCCAATGTGTTTCTAAGGATTTTCATGGATGTTGTTTCACTTGCCTCCTGATCTAGCAGGCGGGGCTTCTGTGTCCTCCTGCAGCACTCTTTGCCTCTTTGCATGGTTAGCAAAAGCAATGGGCTGGTGGGCGCGGGCCAAAATCCATCACGTTATTTAATGTTCACGCAAGAGATGCTTTGCATAGCCAGAAGATATGATTTAATGTCCACTAATAAGCCCATCCCATCTTTGAGGATTAAATTTCTGAAGGACTGAAACGGCCAGCTCAGGTTAACTATGATCTATTAATTAAAAAACAAATTAAAAATCCAACTGCCATCAACTCACAGAAACAGGGTGTGAAGGAGCAGAGATGGGGAACAACATATATACTGAGTGATCTGTGGTTCACAATTATGTATGGATGTGGGGGGGAGGCATCCCCTAGCCTGCTTTTGGTAGACCATCCGCTTGATCCTTTGGCACCTGAGTCCACAATGTGAACCCTGCAGCTCCTCAGACTATAATGCTAAAGTCAGCATGTGACCAGCAAGCCGTGGTTGATCTCCCTAAATGCAGAATGCGGCAGTGGGGAGCCTGAGGTATCCAGGCTCAGGGGCAATTGAAACCTTGATTCCCCCAGGTTGCCTCCCCAGTGACCAGAAGCAGAAGACACCTGTGAACACCTGTGTGCCTTATTCTGAGTCACACTGCTGGCTCATTCAGGGCAGCACTCTTGACTTCTGATGAGCAACAGCTCCCCAAGGCCCACAAGGAAGGCGTTTCCAAGCTCTGGTGCCCAACATCCCTTTATATCTGGGGACTGACGTGGGGCCTTCTAGAGATCAACCATGTAGGGTAGAGCTATACAGTGATGGTCTTGTATAAAAAAGATTTTGGCAAGTGCTATTTGTCATTCCAGAGACCTGCAGGGTGAGAAAAGATACCCCTTCAACTTTCCCTCTTCTATACAGTACAAATGTGAATAGTACAGGAATCCCCACTCCCTATTGCCACTGGACACTTCATACCATGTGTTAGTAAGTTCCACAAGTTAATTATGCTGCTGAAATGGAAATCGTGGCCAGGGATGGGGTTTTTTTTTTTGCTGTTTCTGTACTCTATTGGCCACCACTGGAAACGCTGAACTAGATGGGCCTTTGGCCTTGTCCAGCAGGACATGTGTTGAAACATTTATTTAGAATTTTTACTGTTTTGCACAATTCGTTCTGCTTCTGCCAGTCCCAAGAGGGGCAAAGAGTTCTACAGGTTACTGAAACCCCTGCCTCTTGACTAGATTTCCTCCCTCCCCATTTCTTTTCCTTTTGTGCCATATCTTTTAGACTGTCAGGGCTCATCCACACTTCCACTTAACCCCATCACTTTCTCCCGGCATAACCCGCTCTATTGGTGCAAACATCAGTTGGGTTTTCTCCAGATTGACGTTTGCTTCAATTTAGCACTAAAGAACAGGTTTTTGAGCGGAAAGGAGGAGGACAAAAGCAAAACTGCTCAGACCTGTGCTTTCTTGGCACAGGGCAAGCAGAAGTGTGGACAACCCTTCAGTCTATGGGAAAGAACCATCTTGTTTGTATTGATACTTGGGATTCATTAATTTACTTGGCTCATTTTGTGGATAAAAATTCTTTAAATACACATAAATATCTGAACACCTTCCACAACTGTTTCCTGGCTTTTGAGATTTCAGCAAATGTTGCCAAACTATTTCCAAGCTATGTTTACAACACGTTGCTGGAAATGAAAGGAGTGAGGAAGAGAGAGAGAGAGAGAGAGAGAGAGAGAGAGAGAATATAATGGAAACTTTGATTCCGCAGCCCAAACTCTGCCATTTTACTGCCCTTCATGGGATGGTGGCATACAAAGGTATGTTCTTAGGGTCACGGTTAAACCAGACAGGCGTTCCAGAGGTTGCATGCACCACTACAGCTGGTTGAAGGGGACCAAATCCATTTGCCAGTCGATCTGGTTCCTTTTTACCAGCGCCAGGGGCACAAAAGCATACAGGCAAGCACTCACTCCTTTGCCTTCTCTAGCAGCTGCTCTGTGTGGCGTATTCAGAGTTGTTTGCTGCTTCCGGAAAATTGCAGGCCGAGAGCCGATGAAGAGAGGTCATTCCAGGCAGGGATCCCATCCCAATGATACATACTTCTTAACATTCCATAATGCCAGCCGACTCCATATGGGCATATGAAGAAGTATGTAGGCTCAGGAGGGAGCGAAAGAGGGAGTGGGCAGCTTCATCTCCTGTCCTGTGCCTCGCAGAGGAACCCAGCAAGATCCCTGAAAAATAAGAAAAACCTGTTAGTGGAGGTCAGAGAAACTCATGGGCGTGGCCAGCCCTTACATTGGGCAGAGTGAGGCAGCTGCCTTAAGCATCCACCGCTATGAAGGTAGAAAGTTGTGGCAAGCTATGGGAGGATAATGCAAGCCTGCCCCCCTAAGCTAGCCTATGGCTCTCAGGTGCTGTGGAAGATGCTGTGCTGTTGCCAGTGCTGGAGGGCCAATCTGGTTGGCTTCTGTGTGTGGAATGTAGGGGTCCCATCATGTATTTTGCCTCCAGATGACCTGTTTGTTGAGCATTCATCCTGATTTGCTCGCACAAAGGTTATGCAGAGACTTCACGGTGTCTGTCTTTTTCATTATTTTTTTAAAAAAACAAAATGTAAGCTCAGAGTGACTCACAATACAAAAAAACAAAACCCAATACAAAATTAAACCTACACACACACACACACACACACACACACACACCCCTACCTAAAAGGTGGCCTAACGCATCCCACCTACTAAAGGAACCCATTCATTCTTATTTGCTTGTGGAGTTGTACAACCACAAGCATTTATCCTGATTTCATCCTGATTTGCTTCTGCGCCATTTATACATCTTCCTGTTAATCAATCATCTATCCCACACTTTTAAAAATGCACTTCCCTGTGACTTTCCTAACCACAAAAGGCCTGCTGTTTATTTTTAAGTGGATTTGTTGCACCAGAGTGCTTTAATCCACTTTTAATTGCATGAAGCTACATCTCCAGGAATCAGAATTGAATCCCTCCTGCAAAATACTGACACAGTCTGGATGCAACTTCAGGCATGTCTTACGCCAGCCCAGCACATAGAGGAGATGTTATCAGTGGTGGCTGGTTTGTGTTGGGACTGGTAGGGCGTAAGGTAGGGGAGACCAACAGCAGGGGGAGCCGGAGCCAGTGACAGGCAGAGCTGAGTTCTACAAGGGCAACACTGAGATTAAGGAGGAAGAAGAAGCTGGCAGCCAAGGCCAACCTCTGGACTGCTTGTAAGTAAGAAGGCAGGCAAGTAGTCTACCCTAGGGTAGGCTAGAGTGGAGACACCCAAAGGGACCAGCCTCAGTGGGATGTTCTTCCAACATCCATCAGCAAAGTTGGCTTTAAAAAACTTCCTGGTCAAAGGCAGTATGCCTCTCTGTTTGCCAAATGCTGCATGCAAACAAGAGGAGATGGTCTTCACATTTGTGCCCCCCTCATGAGCTTCTTGGGCATCCAATTTTATCATCACAACAACCCTGTGAGGTAGGTGAGGCTGAGAGACAGGCCTGATCTACACACAGCCACATAAAGTGGTAGAATGCAGAAGTGGTGGAGAGGGATGCTTGTATTGCTGTCCCATGTGCCAGAAAAAAGCTAGCACATCAGGGCTGATCTCAAGCATGTGGATGAGTGCAATTTTCTCTTTAATATACACATTTTTATTTGCAGTTTTGCCTTTTATACATGGTTTTGCAAAACAATTCCCCCATATGTAGGCTATTTGCACTTTCGTATGCATTTTAATACACACTTCCCTCTAGTATATGCATTTTACGACACGTTACTTCACTGGAGAACTGCACTGGAAAACTCAAGAAAGTGTTAATTTCAAAGGGTGGATGTGTTTTGGTTTGCATATTGTTTCGGAAAGTGCCGGTTAGGTTTGTCCAAACCTAGCAAACACAAAGGAGCTCTGGAGTCTAGCTTTGCAGCGGCTCCAAAAGCTGCCCTCATCTTCCCACTTGCCTGCAGAGAAGGTGCTCTTGCCAGCTTCACACTCTCAAGAGGGGTGAGCTGAGAGTTTGTCACTTTTCACATTGTGATTTTGAAGGGTTGGGATCCAGACTGCCTATTTAAGGTAAAGGAACCCTGGTTGGTTAAGTCCAGTCGAATTCGACTATGGAGTGCGGCGCTCACGTCTACCTTCAGGTCGAGGGAGCCGGCATTTGTCTGCAGACAGCTTTCTGGGTTATGTGGCCGGCATGACTAAACTGCTTCTGGCGCACACAGCACTGCTAGGTAGAAATAAACTTATTACTCAGAAGTCCCAGAGAATCCAGAATGGAAGCTGGATTGGGTTTAGACAAATCTGCAGAAGGCAGATCTCTCAGAGGCTTTTCATCGTGGCAGCTAAGCAGAACCTCCATGGACAAAAGGGGTCTATTCCTGAGTATCAGGTGCTGGGGACAACCTTCTGTACCCTGCTTTGGCGCTTTCCAAAGGTGCCTGGCTCTTTGTTGTCCGATAAGAGGGCTGTGGGTTTTTCCCAGCAAGATTATTTTTATGAGATGTTGTTGGCTGCATTCCTGAGATGCTGGCCCACTCTACTGCCTCTGCCTCTGGGATCATAAGAACCCTCCCACAAACATAGCAGGAACTGGGTCAAAATCCCCTCCCTGCACTGTGATTTGTTCGTTGGGTGCAGAACCTAGGGGCAGACCAATCTGTCAGTTTTGGTTCTTTTCAGTTCCTCATTTTTCCCATTTCAAGTCCAGTTCACACCATTTCCACATCAGTTTGCAATTTTTTTTTAATCACACAAAAATTCCTATGCACTTTCCTGTTCATTTCTCCCAATATATGAATTATTCTATGCAACTTTGCACATATTTCTGCAATCAATTTCCCCTGATAGAATGCATTCCTGCACATTGTTTTCACTAACTTACATGCATTTTGCTATACTTTTTTGGGGGGTTGGAGAACTGCAGAATTTGTAGCTGCATGAATTTCAAAGGATAGCTGCTTTTCACTTTGTGTATTGGCTTGGAAATGATTAAGGCTGATTGGAAATTATTGGAAATGATTAAGACAAGTATGCATAAGCCCTACAACAGCCCAAATGAGTCCCCTCTAGCTCTTGAATCCAAACCAGAAAACAGGGTGCGGGATCTCAGACATAGGGGCCAAATACGGCCCTCCACTCCTGTCTATCTGGCCCTTGGGATGCTTTCCAGGCAACACCCCCTCCTCAGCCACAGCACCTCTCACCCATGCTGGATTAGGCCCATGGCAGGTCAAGAGCCACTAGGTACAGGGTTTCAGCCTGACCTAAGGTGGGCGGCAGCGGCAGCATAACTGCATTGCACTCTGTGTGGGGCCTCCTTTGCTCTTGGTCCAGAAATTGCAGTTAGTGCACAATGCTGCAGCATGACCGCCGACAGGAGTAAGATCCTATCAGCATATTGCACCCCTGCTCGGAGATCTGCACTGGCTGTTGATTTGTTACCAGGCTAGATTGAATAGGTTCCTATCAGTAGATAAAGCCCTTAATAGCTTGGGAACAATCACCTCACCCCATATCTACTCACTTGACTGCTGCGGTTTCAGGAACTGGCATTTCTACAAGTGCCACATGATGCTTGTTCAGCACATTTAATCAAACTTATACTCTGGAACTCGCTGCCTATTGAAATTAGACAGATCCCTTCGCTTTTGGTGCCTGCTGAAACCCTTTTGTGTTTAGGCAAGCCTACTTGGACATATTATTGTGTATATTTGCATTTAAAATCTGTTGGTTTTTCATTATTTTGACAATTTTATTACATCTATCAAACCTGTTTTTACTGCTATTTTAATGAATATTTTTTAACTTTTTACGCAAACTACTTAGAGATATTATTTTGATTAAGCGATATATAATCTTGACACACACACACACACACACACAGAGAGAGAGAGAGAGAGAGAGAGAGAGAGAGAGTATATACAGTGGTACCTCAGGTTACATACGCTTCAGGTTACAGACTCTGCTAACCTAGAAATAGTACCTCGGGTTAAGAACTTTGCTTCAGGATAAGAACAGAAATCAAGCGGCGGCAGCAGGAGGCCCCATTAGCTAAAGTGGTGCTTCAGGTTAAGAACAGTTTCAGGTTAAGAACGGACCTCCAGAACGAATTAAGTACGTAACCAGGGGTACTACTGTATTATGAAGTGGGTCCCCCAAAATACATGCTTGGGCTCAATATGGGTCCTGGGTGTGGAAAAACTGAGGACTATGTATCTAGTATAACGTCCTGATCCTTGCAGCGGCCAACCAGTTGCCTCTGGAAAGCTCAGAAGCAGGACATGAAGGCAATTGTCCTCCCCAGCAATTACTCTCTAGCAGCTTTCAATAGCATATGACCTCTGATCATGGAGGTTCTCAATAACTAGGGATGGACAGATCAACCTGTTTCTGACGCACATCAGTTTCACACACTTTAATTCATAAGTCTCTTATGACCCATATCTGAATCATTCTGTGAAGCATAACTATTCTGATCCAGGAACTGTAAATCATCCTGGTTTTCTTAAAAGTATGGAAATGAAATTCTCAGTCATCTCAACATATAACCATCATGACCAGTAGGCATGGATAGACTTCTCATCTAATCCCCCTTTAAAGTAACCTAATTGGGTGGCCACCACTGGCTCGTGTGTCGGTGATTTCTGCAAGCCAACTGTATTGTGTAAAGAAGGCTACCTCTTTCTCTGAGTCTCCTCTTATCTGGTTTCATTGAATTGTCCCAGTGAGGAAGAACTTATTTTTGTGCATTTTCTCCACACCAAGGACAGTTGAATACACCTCTATCTTGCCCTCCCTCTTTGTAGACTGCTTACACTCCAGACATTTAAAGCACATACACCCAACCCCAGAATCCTAGGAAAGGTAGTTCCCCCCTCATGGAGCTACAATTCCCAGCACCTTCTATAGACCATGGTTCCCAAGATTTTGGAGGGGAGAAAAATGTGTTTTGAATGTGCTTTAAATGTATATTATGTACTCATCCAAAGTTATCTTTCTTTCTAAACTAAGAAGGCCTTCAGGATGTTATCCTGAGGCTGATATAGTAATGCCATCACCACGAAGAACTAGATAGAGGAAAGGCTGGAAGGGTCTGTTCCCTGCACAGCATTTAATGGGGTTTGGCCAGGTCCCTTCAGAGATTGTCAAAAGCACCAGATTTTCTTCCTTGCCTAGTTCTGGACACCCACCAAAGACCCATGGCAGCTCCACCAGGTCAGCCCTGTCCTAGATACAGTTTTGGAGGCATGTTTGGGCTGCTGCATCTGAGAATGTTAATTGCTGAGGGTCTTGGGAGGTGGGGTGGGGGACACCACTGACATCAGGTCAGTAATGGCAAAACAAATCCAGAAAGCAATCATAGCCAGGTCTCTGTGGTTCAAGGCTGGTGCTGAAGGCTTCTCCTGAACCACAGCAAGTTTACAGGACTATCAAATAAGCTGCCCCAGGCAAGAGAGAAATCAGCTCTAGCAAGCATCCCCAGTTCCATTTGCAATCTGGACACACAAACTGGGATGAGCCCCATCCTTCATACTGACAACTGGTTCTTGATTCTACGTATTTTGGAAACCTGTTCACTGTGCATTTGGACCCCTCTTTAAGATATTGTAGCCAAATTTTGCATTCTAGCTCCTGAGATGAAGGAACAGGTTTTTGCATGTTTGGATACAACTGGATGCCATTTTGAATCAATATGGTGGACTGAACCCTTGCACTGGTTTTAACCACTGGTTTTGGTTGGTGGCAAGGAAAAATAAAATAGGTCTAAAAGAAGAATTCGTGGATGCAAATATCCAGGTTTGGAGCAAGTACTCTTTGGTGAGAGAACCCCAGCAGAGATTTTAAATCACAAAATACACAGCAAAGTAAAGCATGGAAATACAGACCTTGAAAATGCCCTTCCAAGTTCCTTCCACAGTTTCCCTCTTCCCCAGCATAGAAAATGCCACATGTCTGGTAAGTTAAAAATACCGTAGCTTACTTTCAAACTCTCCAAAGGTCAGATTCATGTGCTTTTCCATACAGCATTCAGAAAAAGTTGCACAGGCAGTAAAACTTGACTTAGTTGCAGTGATTAAATTATTAAATTGTTGGTATAGGAGCAGCAACCAGCTCAGACCTCCTCACATTGCTGAGCTTCTTAGGCCAACTGGAGGGGAACAAGCCTTGATTATCTAGTCCCTCCCAAGGTGAGCTAAGATTGCTCTATGGCATTAACCCCTTCATGCATTAATTAGACTTTAGCATGTTGGTTATATGAGGCTTTTTGGTTTCTTAGAATTCCTGACCTTTCTTAGAATTCCTGATATGAGGTTGCTAGAACACACATAAGAAGGAAGAGTAGAAGTGAAAGCTGAAGCTCAGTGGCAGAGTGCATGCTTTGCCTGCAGAAGGTCCCTGGTTCAATCCCGGGCACCTTCCGTAGGGTAGTCGGATGGATGAAGAGGCTGGTGTTCATGTACCTTTAATTGTAGAAGAGGAATCTCAGCAGGTGTGCCTTATGTGAAAACTGGCTACACTGGCTGAAATTCCTTCTTCATAACTATTAAAGGTGCAGGAGCCCTTTCCTCTTCTTCCATCTCGCCCCTCCTAATCTGCAGGCAGGACTGGGAAAGTCGCCGATACTGAGCTAGATGGTCTGTTGGTCTAAGGTAGCTTCCTGTATCCCCATTTCCTGCTGCCACTGTTGTGAAATGCTCTTCTGCTTCCAGAATACATTAGGTCCACCTAGAAAGGGAGGGTGTTGCAGCATTGTGAGAAGGACTTAGGCTGGGGAAAGATAGAGGAGCAAATGTAATGGGGACTGAGTTTGAGCATAATAGGGAAGACGACTTGCCACTGCTACCCTTCTTGCCTTTTCCAAAGGGGAAGTAAGTGTTGCTGAGTACCTGTAGAATGCCTCTATTTTGTGATGAGCAAGGTGGCCTCACCTGTAGAGACAGGGAACTGTGGAACTGGCTTGTCCATCTAGAGTGGTGACCTACAAGTGTCATATTGCCCTAGGCACCTTTCTTCTCAACTAAGAGTCTTTGGGCTGATGCAGGCAGGACTTTCCTTATACTCACTGGGCTGTAGAAAGAAGGAAGTCATGGGGATGCAGTGGGAAGCACCTAAGGACATGAGACAGGCACTGTTGTGTTTCAGATGTGCCCACCTGATACTTTCAGGAGCAGTGGCCTGGGAGATGCACTTTCCCTAAACTCCCCATGCAGCTGCAGACCTCGTTTTTGAAGTAGGATGGTGAGACAGAAAAGAGGACAGGGCTCTTGCACCTTTAACATGGTCCACCCCCACCACTTAATGGATCCAAATGGTTTCCAAAGAGTAGTAGGAGGTGTTTTATCCCATGTTGATGGCCTCTTAGCTGATTCCCTGGTGGCCTGCTAGAATGTGGAGTTAACCAGGGCTATTGGCTGGCTTCGAAGCACCCTCTCCAATTGCATGGAGCCCAGAGAGCCCCATGGTTTCCCCCAGAGCTGAGGGCGATGAAACAATCACTTGAGTGCTGGTGGCGGAAAACGCATTCTGAATAGGACTGGATTAGAGCTAAACATCGAGCATACCAAGTGGCGATAGCGACAGTGAAGAGTACCTTCTTCACCGCCTCTATTGCATCTGCATAAAACAGCAGCAGAAGACTCTTTCAGGTGGTTCGCAATCTAATGGCACCACCTCCACCATTGGGGCCTGGTGGGGACTAATAAATGTTAATTAACTAATCCAGAATGCAGCAGTTAGACTGGTGTCTGGGAGTGGCTGCTGAGACCATATAACACCGGTCCTGAAAGCCTACATTGGCTCCCAGTAGGTTTCCAAGTATAATTCAAAGTGTTGGTGCTGACCTTTAGAGCCCTAAACAGCCTCGGCCCAGTATATCTGAAGGAGCATCTCCACCCCCATCATTCAGCCCAGACGCTGAGGTCCAGCTCTGAAGGCCTTCTGGCATTTCCCTCACTGAGAGAAGTGAGGTTACAGGGAACCAGGCAGAGGGCCTTCCCACCAGATGTCAAGGAAATAAACAACTATCTGACTATTAGAAAACATCTGAAGGCAGTCCTGTATCAGAAAACTTTTCATGTCTGATGTTTTACCATTTTTAATATGTGCTATAAGTTGCCCAGAGTGGCCACCTACAAAATAGCAACTGTCTGGAAGCACCCATTATTAATAAAGTGAAGCTTTATGGTTTTAAATAACTGGTGGTGAGAGGGTTGTTGCTCAAAATGCCTTGAATTTCATATGCATGATACATAATTTGAGTGCATGCCCCAAACTGGTCACAGAGTCTTTGATTGAAGAAGAAGACAAAGAAGAAAGCTTTAGTGGTGACGTTTAAAAAGTCTGCCCAGGCCGCAGAAATGCCCCTCCCCTGCAACCCTCTTCTGAGGTGCACGGTGATGCAAAGAGTCATGCAGTCTCAAGGGCTCTCACTTGGAAGATGGAGCGAGCGGCTGCTCCAGAGGGCAGGACTCAAACAAATGGATTCAAATTAAAATGAAAGGAGACTGCAACCAAACATTAGGAAGAGCTTTCTGACAGTAAGAGCTGCTTGACAGTGGAACAGGCTACCTCAGAAAGTGCTGGACTCTCTTTCTTGGGAGAGTTTTAAACAGAGGTTGGACGGCCATCTGTCAGGGATTCTTTAGCTGTGATTCCTGCACTGCAAGGGGTTGGACTAGATAACTTTTGAGATCCCTTCCAACCCTACAATTCTATGATTCCATTTTGCTAACCCTGCAACTGTCTATTTTCGGTGAACCAACTGGAGCACAATATACTTGTGAGGGGAAAGCAATACACATACATACACACACACACACACACACACACACACACATATATGAGAAAGACTCTGTGCATTTCCATTCCCAGCTCTGCTCTGAAGGCTGACAAATCTGCTGAACCCTTGCCAGCTTGGACTGGAAAACCAGTTTGCCCCATGACCTTGCAGAGGCTGACAGTTCTTGGCCAAGGTGGCTCTGTGAGGAGGTGGCAGCTGAGCCTGGCATCCTTCGACATCTTCCACTGCATCTGGGGGAAGCAGGCCAGCTTAGGAAGGGCAGGGCCAGCCGTGTGGCACACACAGCCCTGTCCCCCCCCAAAGACACCTTGCCAACGCACCCTGCCACTCTCACCTGAGACAGCCACCTCACTCTGCCCAATGGTAGTGAAGGCCCCGCCAGCCATCCTTTTATGCAGGGCTGGGGAAGAAGAACTTCTTCCACTGACTGTTCCAGCCTCATTCCTTAAGGGGGAAACTAGATGCCTGCATTAAAACAAGGGGTTGCTGCTGCATAACGGTACAGCGGTAGATTGGGGTGGGCAGTGTCAGATGGGAGATGATGCTGAACTCTTGCCCCCATCTGTTTCATCCCTCTCCCAGGCCACATTCCCACCAACTGGCCACTGAAGACCAGAAATAAGCTTGGCTTGGGGAGAGGAAATGGTGAAAAGGAAATGGCTTAGACTTAGAGCAGGGGGGAAGAGACCCATTTTGAGGGACACATTCCCTTCTGGGCAACCTTCTGAAGGCCAAATGCCAGTGGTGCATAGAGTAACAAATGTGAATGTTATCTTTGTACAGTTTCAACACAACATCCACACACCCTTCGCTCTCCTCCCCCCAAGCAAGCATCCTTTCCGACCAGGCAAAAACACTCAAGGGGGGTTCCAAGCAAGGCCAGTGACCTGGGGAGAGTTCTGAGGGCCAGGCAGAGAGGTCTGCAGGGCCACATTTGGCCCCTGATCCTGAGATTCCTCGTCCCTGGCTTAGGGGCAAAGGCTGCAAAGGGGTACAGCAATAGGGAAAGAGCATAAGAAGATCCCTGCAGGATCAGGCCAGAGGCCCGTCTAGTTCAGCATCCTCTTTTGTCAGGGGCCAACCAGATGCCTCTGGGAAGCCCACAAGTAGGACATGAGCCCAAGAGCATGCCCTCATTCATGCTCCCCAGCAACGGGTACTCAGAGGTGTACTGTGACAAGTAGCCATTCACAGCCTGACCTGGCGTGAATTCGTCTAATCCCCTTTTAAAGCATCATTGAATAACCTCAGGTTCCAGTATTATGAGAGGAGAAAAACTTCTCTCTACACCATACCATGCATAATGTTATACAACTCAATCATGTATTGGGGTTAGGAAATCAGTCCATTTTGGTTTTTATCAGACTCTCGCTTTTCTGGTCCTAAATTCACTTCTCGCCATTTTCACATCCATTGGTGTGTTGTTGTTTCTTAAGTCCTCAAGAAATTTCCCTAGCGTTTAGGCGTTACTTTCCCATTAATATACATGTTTGTGTGCAATCTTTCCTATTATACATATTTTTGCAAAGCAGTGTTCCCCACCACAATGCATTTGTGTATGCTATTTGCACTAACATGTACATTTTTATGTACACTTTACTCTGGCGTGTGCATTTTTATGCACCGCACTCGGCTGGGGAACTGCATTGCAACATTGGCAAAAGTGCAAATTTCAAAGAATAGCTGTCTCGGTTCGCATGTTGTTTCAGAAAGTGCAAATTAGGTAAATTTTGGAACTGAATTGATTTCTCCCCATCCCTAAGCATGCTTCCCATTATTTGCCTTTCCCCTCTCAACTAAACAGTCCCTAACACTGCAACCTTTCTCCATAACAGAGATGCTCCAGCCCCTTGGCCATTTTGGTTGCTCTGTTCTATACATTTGTTAAGAGAAGGATGCAGCACTCATGTCCTTCCACTGCTATCCTCCCCCCCCCCCAATCATCCCACCCACCTGGCAACCTTTGCTCAAAGGTGTGGGTCTTGTTGCAGCGATGCTTCTTCTCTCTGTCCTTCAGGGCAGACCCTTGACTCCCTGGCTCATTCAGCTTCACTCTACCAGTGACTGTGCAAAGCACAGCAGAGGAAAGCTAAGCTTGGTGTGTACTAGCTACCCTCTCTAGCAGGAGTTAAACTTGTCCTCATTGCCTGTGAGGAGCAAGGATCCCAGAGGGATGCAAGTACCTGATGCAGCACCTGATTCAGCTGCACACAGCCAACACAGGCAGGTGCTGCCTCTGTCATTCAGCAGCTTCTGGTAAGAACAAGTAAGCACTGGGAACTTCTAGGTGACCAGTTCATTGGCCATTCATCCTGATGATGTTTGCAGAGAGGTCAGGTGGAAACAAGTGTTATTCCACACTTTCTAGTGCATTTCCTTTCTGCAAAAAGTGGGAAGTGGGTTTGTCCAGCAATACCTCCCAGTCAACTCTAATTGCGTGGTGTGAATCTGTCAGTATGTAATTGAATCACCTGAAAACCTGACAGTCTGCAAGCGCCCACTGTCCCTCCAGGTAAACTAATCAACAGCCATTTGCAGTTCTTGAGGAGGTTAGGATCCACCGCTTCGCTTTTGCATGTCGAACCCTTTTTGCACACGGTCGAGTACAGCCTTGCTATGGGCTCCCTATTCAATTTTGCACATGGAGTTCACCTTCCTCCTGCAAATATTCCCCCACATGCACTGTGGTGGGAAACTTTAAAAGTACTCTATCTGCAATTGCTTGTGGTGCTCAGCCTTTCTTCTGGAATACCACCAGCCCTTCTCCATCCAGATTATTGACATTGCTCCCCTTTATTCTAGATAGAAACTTTCACTGGAGGAAGACCTATTTGAGCCCACCAACCACAGTCTGCCATCAACCAGCCCCCACCTGCCTGGTTATATCTGGCCCAGGGGGTGGCACTGATTATCAGCTTCCTCCTCCTCAGTACCTGTAGAATTCAACAGGGAGGAAGATGGGGACAACACTAGAATGAGTTGGCCCTGCCTGTCATTGGCTCTGGCTTTGCCTGTCTCTGCCTACCATTTGCTCTGGCTCCACCTACTGTTGGCCTCCCTGCTTTGCAACCTACCAGCTCTAATACTCATCAACCACCACTGGGAACTTCATATCCTTGCCCCCACTGCACCATCTCATTCATAGAATCATAGAATTGTACACTTGGAAGGAACCTTGAGAGCCATCTAGTCCAATCCCCTGCAATGCAGAAATCTCAACATGTGTTTCCCCATCTAATTTGAAACCATATTGGACCCTGTTTAGTTTTGCAAACATGCTAGCAGTTTTAGTGCTGCACTAGGGTGCCCTTTCAAAGGGATACTCCTAGACAGATTGCTCAGGTAGTTTACCCTTCCTATCTCCTCTCTCCTATCCCATTGCCTCCTCTCTGTGTTTGTTATTTTCTTTAGATCTTCTCAGAAATCTCAGGGAACTTGAGGCCTTGTGATTCCCGCTTCAACCCACTCTTGCAGTTTGGGCTCACTTTGGGAGGCTACTTGGTACCAAGCTTAGAAAAATGTAGATGCTACAAGTGGTGGCGATTATTATAACCGGGGAAGCACAGATACAGCCAGTATCAGTTCCCATAATAACTGCAATGCTGTCTCAAATCACAAAATGTGCTTCTGGCTGCATTTCACTGACTTTTGTGGATGATTGCAAGTGCTTGCATGACCAAGAATGGCTTGGGACCATTCAGGTATAGGACAAAGGTCCTCTCAGAAGCATCTTCAAATCACTTTGTACATTACAGGGCAGTATATTCAGCTTGCTCATTTGCCACCAGACTGGTTCACATGTGTATGGGGAGGAGCCGTGGCTCACTGGTCGAGCATCTGAAGGTCCTGGGTTTAATCCTCAGCATCTCCTGGTAGGCCTGGGGGAGACTCCTTTCTGAAACCCTGGAGAGCTGCTACGAGTCTGTAGACAATTCTGAGCAAGGTGGACCAATGGTCTGACACAGTATAAGGCAGCTTCCCATGTTCCTAATTGGTTTGTTGCAACCTGACATGATGGATCGCATGAGTGACCAGGCCACTGCAATTCCCACAGACAGAACTTCCATGACACCTTAGCCACAAAGGCTAAGTGGAATCAAAGTGGAATCAGTTTACACATGCACAGCTGTCAGTCATAAAAACTTGCTTCGCACATGTGAATGCAACACCAAACAATGCTCGCCCCATGGTGGGCAAAAGATTCCTGCATTGCAGGGGGTTAGGCTATATAACCCTTGTGCTTCCAACAATTCTACAATCCTATGAATTTAAGGTTTGGGTAGCTTGATATTTGAGAAGGTTCTCTCTCAGGTAATCTGTTTCCAAGCCTGGAGTGGCTTTCTTTCTGGAGTGAATCTTTCTCCCTGCCTTTGGAAGGTGAAACCCTTCAGCCAGTAAGAACTCAGGCTCAGGGGCTGTTCTTGAGATTTTTCCGTTGGGGCTGGCAGGCAAATGGAGCCAGGCAGAGAGCTGGGAGATTTTGTGCTCAAGCTTAGTTGGAAGTAGCTGGTGGGGAGGGAGCAGCTGCTCTCTTTGGGAATCTGATGCAGGATCAGCAGTAGTTTTCGTGCCTGCTGCAGGAGTCTCTTTGCTTTCACTTGCTTGCATGTTTGTAAATAAAACAGAGATGACAAAGACATTCAAAGCCTCCAGTGTCCTTTTTTCAAGGGAAATAGAAGACAGGTAACCCCCCTAATCATGTCTTAGCTAGACTACTGCAACCATATCCTTTCTGCTTTTCTCTTGTCTCACCTTGGGATCATCCAGAGGGTCACTATATTTGGGTGGAATCACATATGAGAAATTCAGGTTGCACAATTATAGTTGCTTTGGAGGGCTTGTGCAACAATCCTGCTTCCCCAAAAGATCAGACTTTTTGCAATAAGGAAAGTGACGGGAATAACTGGAAAGTTTGGGAATAACACTTGCTCTGATGCAGCACAATCTGTTCTCTCTGCAAACAAGTCAGGATGAAGACCTGGAAGTGCCCCTTGTTCCCTAGCCTATAGCCAGCTTTCGGCTGCCCAAACCGTTTACCTTTCCCCGTTGACAATGTGCAGTGCCTCCAAAAATCCCCCCCACTGCCTTCCTGTCTGTTCTTGGTGGATCCAGCCCAGCTGCCTTCTTCACTTTACTGTCCTTGGCCATGCCTCCTCCTCATCTCTCTGCTCTTCTTGTTTGATAAACAAAGGATGAGGAACCTAGTGCCCTCCTGCTGTTGCTGGACCACAACTCCCATCATCCCTGATAGGCCATGCTGGCTGAGGCTGATGGGACTTGTGCGTTTAACAGCATCTGGAGGGTCACAGGTTCCCCACTCCTGCGATAAACCCTGGCTCATGACTTTCACGTCTCAGCTCCACCACCTGCAGCCATCCAATACGCTCCTGCTCTTTCAAAAGACATCATCCATCCTTGGTGCCCAGATGTGAGGAACTGCTGTGCAGAACACTACATGAGGTTACCACTTACTTACTTACTTACTTACTTACTTACAATCCCTCTTCAGAGGCCACCTATTCCATGAATTCTGTGACACAACCCTCTAGTTTCCCATATACTACTGCAGGGGTTCCTGTCAAGAGTGCATGCAGGAGCCGGGCCCTGTGACCAGTAGGGGTTCGCAGGACTGGGGCCTTCCTAAGTTTGTTCTGGAGAGGCAAGGCATGGCCGCACAGGTGAGGCCGCTTGGTAAGTCACTGCACCTGGTGGCTAGAGCCGGAAGAGATATAAGGTCAGCATTTCCCTTCGGCTCTTTGCCACAGTAACACGTTTCCTGCCTCGCTGCGTTTGGCTTCTTGCTTCCTGATCCTTGCACCTTGGCTTCTTGGCTCCTTGCTTCTCGACCCTCTTGACTTCGTGACTCCCTGCTTCCTGACCCTTGGACCCCTGGCTTCTCGTTCCTGCTCCCACCCCTCCATCTTGCCCCCGGTCCCAACATCCTCAGCCAGGACTTCGATCACCCGTAGACCGGACTGTGACACTTGCCAGCTTGGTGCCCATGGACATCCATGCACCTGCTGAAATCTTCCATGGCGCTTGCAGGATCCCCTCCCCTTGCTGGAATTAGCCTTGAAAGCAGCTGTCTGTTGTAGTCAATAGAATAGGTTGTGGGGTGTGTGTGTGTGGGGGTGGGTGTGTTACCCTGACAGTTTCTCCACCTTGCAAACGTGGCTCACAGGCTCCCAAAAGTCTAATGCCCCCTGCACTCCTGTAAGCAAGCCTAAATAAGTTCATCTGAAACAGAGCAGTTTGCATTTACCCTTGCCTCTGTTCCCTCTTCCTCCTCCGCATCTCCCCAGAATTGATTTTATGGGCAGGGAGCTGTTATGTGCCTGGTAAAGTACCAGGCACATCCATGGTGCGCTAGGTAGGGCATTTCCACACCATGATCTCTGGTGGATTCATTGCTCCCTGTACCTGCAAGTCCTGCACCATCATCCTCATCAAAATGTTGCCCTGTATTATTTTCCCATTTACACTGGATTCACCATTTCTTCAGAAAATCTGATTAATTAAAAAATAATAATCATGGTAAATCTGGGTTAAACTCAGAGTTGGTGGGATGGGATTTTGACAAGAGCGATGCCAAGTGGATGCTGCGACAAATTTGCAGGGATGAGCAACACTCGGTGCACAATAAATGGCGTACGAAAGCATAGATTGATGATAGATGATAGATAGATATGGATATAGATATAAGCCCTGAGCTCCTAATCATTTGGGAGAACAAGAGAGCTCTTAACAATGCGTTCAGCTGCCAGTCATCAAGGATACATTAAGGAACTGCAGGGAAATCGAGTGACACAGATGTACGAAAGATGCACGTAGGAAAAGGCCCCACACAGCCACATTTCAAGGTCTGCCCTTTCAAAACTGCCTGTTGCCCAACGTTGACACTGCAGTTCATACTTTTGAGCGGAATGAGGAGGTGGAGTAGGAGGGAGGGCGGGTTTGAGGGTCATCCAGACAGCCTAGAACTAGTTTGGGATGGTTGTGAGAAGGGACATTTTGTTGATTCTGCCGGGCTCAGGAATCGGCGGAAGAATGTTGGGACTGGGGTTCAGTCGCGTGTGAAGCAATAGGGATTCCAGCCAAGCCAAGGCACTGATGAAGTTTCTTGGGGAACCTGCCAAAGGCAGATTGGATGAAGAGAAACACACACACACACACACTCCTTTTGCTGCCCAGCATTTGCTATAAAAGGAAGTCTCTCGCTTTTTAATCCCATCTCCTTCCAGCTCCAACCCTGGGTTTCTGCAGCCACTCACTTAACAGAGATGTTCCAAGTTTCACTACTCATTGCCATTGCTTGGCCCAGTTCCTGTTTCTACTCGTCCCCCCCACCCTACCCGCCAGCCCTGCTCCTCTGCCAGCTCCATCGATCCCATTATAAAGTGACTGCATTAGCCACTTTATCAGATGAACACATTAAAAAAAAAAAAGGAGCAGAGAGGTTTCAAGAAAATAAGTCTGGAACTTCTTCAAATCCACACCCTATTCTAAATCAACAAGCTCTGCCAGTTAGGAAGTGAAAAAACCCTAACCTGTCTGTCCGCTTAAACCCACCAAAATTAATTTCACTTGGATCAATTACAGCTGGTCCAGCAAAAGAGATAATCTTTCCAACTGGAGTCAAAGTAGCAAAAATGCGACACTAACATTCAACCACTCAACAGACCTCTGTCATTTCCCTTCCAGCTTCAGAGAATCTACATTTTGCCCATCAGTGTCAAACCAGACTAGAAAAAAACATATATTTATTTAAAGTCTAGCAACCAGCATGAAGTGTTCAGGAGCCCAGTTCAACATAATGCTTCCCTACTACAAGGCCTAGTATTCCATTTGCATTTTTGGATTAAGAGAGAGAGAATTCCACAGTAAATATTAGGCTTTATCTACATCTTTTTGTACACCCTAATTAAAACAACACAGCAGCACATTAAGTGCACTCTTGAGATCTATCTATCTGTCTGTCTTACTCATTTTACAAGTTTTTGTCATTGGACACGTATACAAGATTAGCCTCTACCAAATGTCCAGGGTTTTAGGCCTGGGGCTCCAGAAGCAACTTAATATACACGCTTGACCAAGACTGGGAGATTCTGCACTTCTGGGCAGCATTGATGGGGGTCAGGATTGTATTAGTCTTCTTAACGAGGGTTGTTCATTCTTCTAGCCCATCTGCATGGGGGAAGAGAGAATGGCGCTGCCCTCAAAGCCACTAAGACGTCTTACGAATTCTGGTTTCCAAATTGAATTTGACACAATAAGTCCCCAAAAGTTACAGACCTGAATGTGACTGGACACCTGATCTTGATGCTTTACTTGGTGACACTTCTCCTCTGCAAAACTTGATCATGCACCCCATTGCAGAGGGGGGGAAAGAAGGGGCAACCCTGCTAGGATGATTTATTTTTACCACCCTCTCCCTTTTCCTCAGCATTCTGACAAACTCTCTCTGCTGACCCTAATTCTTCCCAAATCCCCTAGAGAGGGTCTCTGTTCTCTGGACCACCCAGAAAGGAGAAAATTGCAGCTCTCAGCAGAAGCCGCTTCTTTTCCACCTAGGGCTTTTGAGAGATTTCCCCAGCCTCCCCAAAGGAACTCCCCCCTGCCCAAAACACACACACACACACACACACCCTTGCAAAACTGGCAAATGGTGCTGCTTCCAAAATGTCAAAGGAGGGGGGTGTCCCAGCTCATCCCATCCCATCCTCCATTTGCAAGAACCCCCAAAAGGTGCCTCCCTCTGGGTGCCCAAGCTTTGCAACACCAGCTCTGTACTGGTGAAGGTTAAACACGCCCAACTCTTCTGCAGTGCCCAGCAATTTCCCCCCATCTCTTTCCCTCTGCTCCTCTCCCGCTTCAGCATCACTTACAGTCCTGGAGGTGATTTCCCATCCTTTCCGGTGGGGGGGTCATCATGGGCCTTTGGGATGGTGCCCCGCAGCCTGCCAAGATCTCTTTCTTTCTCTTCTTCCCCCCTTTCACCGGTGCTCTGATGCTCCTCTTGACTTTGCCACAGGAAAAAAAAAACTCCCTGCACATCTCTCTCGCGCCTTCTGCATTCTGTTCCCTGGAAGCCGGTAGCGGCAGCAGCGGCAGCAGCAGCAGCAGCAGCAAACCCTCTCACAGTTCAGCTTGAGAAGTTCCTTCCTTGCAAAGAAGGGGAGGGATTTAAAAAACGGCACAGAAGGCAAGCTAAGCTTTGCAGGGGTTTCCAGGTGCAAAGGAGGTGAGGTGGCTCTCCCCTACTCTGCCTCGCTCCTCATCCATAAAAGAGCTTCTTTCTGCACACTTGGCAGTGGGGTGGGTGTCCCCTCTTCAGTTCCTGCCCCACAACTTAAAGAGCAAAACCAAAATAATAATTAGTGCCACCAACCTCCTCTTTCCCGCATGCTTGTGCAAGTGCACACGCATGCACACACACACACACACACACACACACACACACACACACACACTTTCCAGCTGTCAACCAATGGAACTTTGAGCAGACTTATGCTAATGAAATCCTTGGTGTCTTTATTAACCAGCAAATATTGTCACGGGCAAACTGCGGAGAGGGGCTTTCTGCTTTCCAGATTTCACCAGCACATGCAAATATGTGAATAGCTCTCCAGAGCTTGCTTGCCTTTTTGGCCCCCAAGGCAGGTAAGAAGGATTTTGCCTCATTAAGTGAAATGTTAAAAGCAGCTTTTATTAACACGCACACATTCAGCAGATAGCAAGGCTTTGGGCATGGCCAGTGCCACAGAGGCCAACGAAACAGGGCAACTGCCAGGGCCCAAACCTTGTTAAGGGGCTCAGCTGCTGATTGTAGCAACCTCATTCTTTTCCTTGGGGAAGGTCCGTAGTTCAGGAGGAACATAAGAGCCTTACTGCTGGATCAAGTCAGTGGCCCACCTAGTCCAGCATCCTTGGTTCAAATTTTAGTTCAGCCATGGAGGCCGTGCAGGGGCTTAGTGGACCCACTCACTATCTCTCGATTTACCCTTCCTCTCAAGATTATGGTGAGGGTAATCTTGTGTCCTTGTTTTATGGAGGGCAGTCGTCTATTTGAAAAGCTGTGTCTGGCCCAAGTCCAGTTTAAAGTAAAAAAGGAACCACTGGAAAGAAAAGCAGGAGGGGAATTTGAAGTTGCCCACCACCAGTGTGCAGCACCCGGACCACTGACTGGGCAGGCCAACAGGTCACCTGGTAACAGTTTTCCCACTCTAGTGAGTCATATTGCATTTCTGTTTAAATGCATCTATGCATATGAATTAGCATGTGGACATTTTTTAATGCAAATTGGTGTCCCTGAAGATCAAATGGGCCTCATCCACTTTATGGAACTGCCCTGCGGAAGCATGTGGCACCAATATAACAAATCCTTGGGAGGCAGTTTTGATCAGAGGCTTGATTTGGCCTAGCTCAGAGCTAAACTGATCTTACCCTTTACACAACTCTGTTCTACCCCATAATGACCACTACATGCTCAGATTTCGGCATGCCTCTGCTGCTCTCCCCAGGCTGCCTGGGTGCCAAAGATAAGTACAAAGCATTTGTGTGGGTCAGGTGCCAGGTCTGAACCCTGAAAGGAGCCCTATGACTTTCAAAGTTACATAGAAGGGAGAATTTGGCCTAGGGCTGCTTTTCCCATTACAGAGCCCATGGCCCAAATACTCAGCTGCAGACATGCATTTAGTATTCTGTGGAAATCAGCCCCTTGCTTGTTGAATTTCTTGTACTTGGTGAAGACCTTATTTCAGCAGGCATTTTAATTTAATTTTATGGTTAATCTTAACAGATCTTATCACCGTTGTAGCTTTTTGTAGCTTTATTGTACACCGCTTAGAAACCATGTCATTAAGCAGTAATTGTTGGAATAATAATAATAATATATTAAATTTGTATACCACCCCTCACCCAAAGATCCATAACAGGAAAATACAAAATGGGAACTCAAAATACATAACTAAAACAGAAAAAACAAACCAATAATCCCCCTCAAAAACGTATTATTTAATATTATTAAATACACAGGTGGGTGAGTATGGCTGATGAGTCTAACTGTACACAAATGGAAAACACCGTCTTCTTTGTCTATTTACAGTGATGCTTTTGATGTACACAATATTTTAAAAGGCAGTGAACGGGTGGAGGGGAAAGGAATGTCATAGTGGTGGAGCCAGCAGGCAGTGGTTACCGGGCAAGAGGGGATGAGCCAGATCTCCAACAAATTGTCTCATTTTCTGGCAGACTAACTGTGTCTTTAACAGCTGCACCACAAACAGAAATGCATCCGGTGCAGCCGTTCCTGGCAGGGAGGTGCAGTGATAGGGAAAACTTCACTTACTGAATTCCAGCTTGTCATCGTTCAGCTGCCAGAATTATTATTATTTCTTTGAACCCTGCAGTGACCCAAACTTTTGCCCAGCCCTTTCAAAGAAAATTGCCAGCTGTCCTGGTTGTGTCAAGATAATCCAGAAAAATAGCTATTGTGGCCTGAATAAAATCAAGCAAAGGGAAATGTCCCAAATTTTTAATACTTGAAAATAGCAATGATGCGTCTTTTAAGAAAACCTAACGGCACACCTTCCACCCCTAAAACATGCTGCCCTGTTATGTGAGAAAGCAGAGTTTCTTCCCATGAGGTAGCTGCTATACTACTTTGTTAAGAAGAATACACAGATGTTGTGATGAGGATGGCAGCCATTTTGTTTACATAGTCAGAGAAGCTCTGAATGAGGCACTGCACCTCTGCCTTCCCGCTCAAACAATAAAAAGCCATCAAGGCTGCCCCAAGATGTTTTGTTGCTCCAGGTAGAACAGCAAATGGTGCTCCCCTCCCCAAGTCAAGGTGCATTAATTTACAAGACCCTCAACAACTCGGGCTCAGGATATGTCAAGTACCACTTGATCCCTTATATCCCAGTCTGATCACTGAGGTCTTGTGGAGGGTGCCGGTCTAATCTCAGTCACATGACAAAGACTTTCTTGTTCCAGCAGGCATTTGAAGGCAGTGTTTGGTTTTATGATGCCTTTTTATTGTTTTATTCTCTTATGTGGTTCATTTTTATTCACATCACTTATAAATGCTAATGACTAAGCAGTATGCAAATACCATAAATAAATAAAGAGTTTGTATCCAAGTTTGGTCGAGTTATTTTGGCGTCTGAGACAGAAAAGGCCACAAACACAGCTCCCCGAGAGTAAAAATATAACAGCAATAAGTTGAATTACCCACAGAGTCCACAAAACGTTGTAAGAATCTAACCATAGTGCTTCAGTTGGAGGATAAGAGGCCAGGCACAAACTTTCCTCTATAACCAGGCATTTGGCCTTTAACAATCTCTGGACTTTTAGAAGTGGATGGGATGTTTTTAATGCTTGGTCCTTGGTTTTACTGTATCTGTGGAGAAGTTTTGTTTTGTTTTGTTTTTGTAAGATGTTTTGTGTTGCCTTGGGCAAGATAAAATGACTAACAGATTTAAAACAACAACAACAACACTATCAGTGGGTTTTGAGTGGTCAGGGGTGAAACCTAGTGGGGATTTGGCAGGTGAGGGAGAGGGGCCTGGATCATTTGGTCACCTCTGGAGGTGGAGCCTGGGCTTTTTGTTTGCCTGGGGGGCTGAGGGGGGGGTTAGAACGTGAGAGGGGCTTGATGGCTTTTGATGCAGCAAGAGTTGCAAAATCAGACAGGGGATGAAAAGGAATGGAAAATTAACACTTGCCTTGGCTTTTCATTCAGCGAAATCCCCAAAACTGAATTTGAGGCTGCAAAACTGAATGGGCAAGTAAAATATTTGATGTTTAGCAACTTTATCTGCTACAACACATTGACACTGTTAACACGAACATAGTCTAACAAATGAGCTAAGTAAACATAAAATCAGATTTCAAGATTCTGCAGCTAAATTGGCATTAGAACATAAACCTTAGTGAAACAACAAAGAAAAGGTTAACTGGTCTCCTGGAGGATAAAAGAGTACCAGTCTGTCCGGGAACAAACTTATTCAGAAGGAGAATTCCCCAAATCAGGAAAAGTCTCTTACCCTGCCCCCCCCTCAATATAGACAGCAGGTTAAACCAGATAGTTTTTGTCAGCCAAAGACATTTTGCTGCCTGAGGCAAAGGACAAGATGGTGCCTCTCTCACTCCATGTACAAAAGCTGTCCAGACTGACAAGAACATAGGAAACTGCCATATTTAGAGTCAGGCCACTGACCCTCCTAGCTCAGTATTGTCTATGCTAACTGACAGTGGCTGTCCAGGACTTCAAGCAGAGAGTTCCTCTCCCAGTCCTACCCAGAAATGATGAAGGTTGAACCTGGGACTTTCTGCATCTAAAGCAGATGGTCTGCCACCGAGCTACGTCCCTTCCAGAAACAATCTGCCACTACTGTCATGAACTGGCAGGGCAACAGGGAGGAGGAAGAGGATGCCGGCAAGGGGTGTAGCTGGGACTGGGACACACCGAGGCAAGCAGGGGATGGGGAAGGAGAAGCTGTTGTAGGAAGTAATCACAGGGTGACAGAGGACAATGCACAGGAACCAGAGCAGCAGGACCCATCACCGGATCCAGAGGGGGCCCTGTCCCCAGGAACACAGTGGGCTCTGAAGCATAGGGAACAGCAGGAGGGGGACTCCAGGAGGCTAAGGCAGGCAAGAGCCCACAGCCTAGCAAACTAGCTCTGAAAGAAGGGGTGTGATTCCTCAGCTGGAGTAGGCTAGGAACAGGTGAGGCTCATATGCCTCATCAAGGTCAGATGCTGCAGTCAGCAGGCAAAGTATACAAGGGCAGCAGAGCTGAGGTGCTGGCTCTGCTCAACTGCCCATGTTGATGGACCTGGACCTCCGTGGGACTATGTTTTGGGTTTGACTCAGGACTGTATCCTGACTGCAGGACTTTGGACTTGGCTACTTGGATCACCCTTGAACCTCTTTTCCTGAGCTTCGGTCTTTGGATTTCGCTTGTGTGGATCAACCCTCAGACTTTGAAGTTTGGACTTGGCATACTGACTTGCTGCCAGGTAGGCCAGGGGTTCAGGGCAGTTACCGAGGCAGACCATTCACCTGCTTAGCTCAGTATCTCCTATACTCACCAGGATTTCAGACAGGGGTCTCCCCCAGCCCTACCAGCAGATGCCAGGAACTGAACCTGGCACCTTCTACATACAAAGCTGTGGACAAAATTGGCCTACCACTGGGCTACGTGGCCCTTCCCCAGTTGAATCTTACTTCAACCCTGAGCTTCATAGCTGAGCAGGGATTTGAAGCTAGTTTCCCCTTGTCCTAATCTGATACTCTAACCACTATACCACACTGACCTTCTCACATGCATGTCTTGCACCCAGGAAAATGCACTTGAGAACATTGCAGCCCCGGCGTGTGTATCTGCACTCTTTGCACCACACTTTCACCATCCCTCCATCCCACAGCAGGCGCTGTAACTCTCCAGCTGTGAGACTTCACCCCTGAAGGAGCACTCTTCCGTTGTCAACAAACCAACATAGTTAGAGGGTTTGGGTGTCCTTGTTCGTGGTCTCCTCACACCCCAAAGTATAAACTAGACCTGGGATTTATTTCCTGTTAAAATTAATATTGAACTGCCCACATCACGGAAGCCAGTGAGAGAAAAGGACCACAATCAAGTTGAGAAGAAGCACCCCTTCTCCCCCTCCACCATCTGCTTCCCATTCCCTCCCCCTCCATCATATTTTTACCCCATGTAACTATCCAGCTTGGCTGGAGTCAGTCCCAGTTCTACCATTGGGGAGAGGGAAGCAACCGCCTCAGGCAGCAGAGAGGCACTGGAGATATGTGCCATGCCACACCCCCTACATCCTGTTGCCCTTGGGTGTGGTACAGAAAGCTGCCCTGCTGCAAATGCCAAAATAAGATTCAGCTGGAAGTACACATGGGCTGTGTGCATGTGTGTGAATGTGGGGGAGGTCTTGTCCTTCACCTCGGGAAAGGAAGGTGGGTTTCAAATCTCTGCTGGTGACCAGTGGCCTCAGTCAAGCTGTCTATTTCTCAGCCTCAGGCTGTGAACACACCATACATTTAAAGCACCTTTAAAGCACATGCCCTTCCCCAAGACTCCTGTAGTTTATGCCGCACTGAGCAGCAATTCCCAGAACCCTTAACGAACCACATTTCCCATGATTCTTGATCTCTCTCTCTCTCTCTCTCTCTCTCTCTCTGTGTGTGTGTGTGTTTTAAAATATATTTTATGTGGGTATAGCCTCAGTTGCCCAATTTGTAAAATGCAGTAGTAACTAAGTGTGATGCTGGATGGCCTATTTATTGAGCATTCATCCTGAAGCATTTGTGTGGAATTTATATGACGTGTCAAAGCAAGCATTACCCTCACATACACTTTCCTGTGCGTTTCCTGCTCACTATGCTTATCGCAAAAAGTGTGATCTTTTGAGGAAGTGGGTTAATTGCATATGACCTCCCAAACAACTTTGGTTGTGCAACCTGAATTTGCCGGTATGTGATTGAATCCCACCCCAAAGCGAGCAGCAGTTTGAAAATGCCCTAACCTGACAGGATCACTGCAGGGAGAGGCTGGAAAGAACTACCTTTGGAAAGGAGATAGCTTCTGAAGTTACAAAATCCCGATTCCTACCTTCGAGTTTGTTATCCTTGCTACACGGGCCCCCCACAGACAGCACGATGTGGGAGCTGAAGCTGGCTGTTCTTCTTCCACAGAGTCCAAAATATTAAACACACAACTCAAATCTGAAGGCCCTTTCAAGGCTGTGTTCTGGGATGGATAAAACACTTCGCTTAAGCAGAGCAAGACTGGGACATACCTTTCTCTGTCTCTTTGCTCTCCCCACCCCCCCTCCCCTCACTCCCCACACCATACAATGTTTGCTTGCTATTTTTGGCAGGTTCCTCAAAACTCTGCTCCGCCTATTAATAAGGAGAGTGAGAAATCCTTTTGGCCTCTGCTATATAAGGAAAGGTAGAAGGTTCCACCACAGCTAAATATACTGGAAGCTTGCAAGGGGTGGGGGGAGAAGGGGGGGAGCCACGCTTTTGGCACAGCATGTGGAAAAGAGATTGTGTCAGGACAATTCAGAGATAGGCCCCTTTGCGCACGTACAGTGTGTGTAAGAGAGAGACAATTCTCAACACGCAGCCAAGTCTGTGTCATCCAAGGGTCTTCAGCCTTCTGCCACTTCTGGCACTCGCTGTGCAGATGGAAAAGGGACGGTCCCAACATCTCACAGCTGCAAAGAGGGAGACTGCTGTCCTGCAGGCCTGTGACATCCTTCTTCACCACACTAAGGATTGCAGCCTAAACCCCTCCAGACGGATTTTTTAAAAAGTATTGTAGTGGATTGTTAAACTATGGAACTCACTTCCACATGAGGCAGTGAGAACCACCAACTTGAATGGCTTTATAAGAGGACTGGACAATTTCAAGTAGGATATCAATGGCTACAAGCTACAATGACTATACTCTGTCCTCCACAGTTGGAGGCAGCAGTGCTTCTGAATTCCAGTTGCTGGAAACCACAGGAGGATAGAGGGCTCTTGTGCTCAAATCCTGCTTGTGCGTTTCCCTGCAGGCATCCAGTTGGCTTCTCTGGGAACAGGATGCTGGAACAGCAGGGTTGCCAGACCTCCAGAAGTGACCTGGAATCTCCAGGTTTGTCTGACCTCCTCTAGGTGGCAGGTGAACGGCTTGAATCTCCCAAGTGGCTGAAAGTGCCTTAAAAAAATATTCTTTATTAGGCATGCAGCTTGTAACCTTCAACCTGGCAAGAGCATTTAAACCCTTCTGGCCAAAAGCAAGTAGGCTAGATTAAAAACTGACTACCTAGGCACCCTAAGCAGGTGAGAAGGAACGGGTCCCCTTACTTCAACTGAAAGGTGGGAACACCCACTTTAGCTAAGGTTTCTATCTTAATTTGCAACCTATCTGCTCATTTGTTAAACTTTGGGTTTTTTAAAAAAATTGAATGGCATGCTCTGTGGTCCATGCTTCTTGTGCCATGCTAAATGGCATCACCAGGGTCTGCCCCCCCCCGTAACTTCACCAAGAGTTGCCCTTCATTATCATCACCAGAGGCTGCCCCTAGGTTTCACAATTGGGTCCTGAAATCTCAGCCTTGGATGCTCCTGACCTGGCAACCCTACCCCATTGCTGAAAGTTCTGCTGCATCCAGTGGCATCCCTCTTTTTTGTAATAGCCTGCCCTCTGCTGATGTACGTGGAGCAGATTGTGGCCTTTTTACCCCCACCCCCCATTTTGTTGTTGTTGTTGTTGTTTAGTCGTTTAGTCATGTCCGACTCTTCGTGACCCCATGGACCAGAGCACGCCAGGCACTTCTGTCTTCCACTGCTTCCCGCAGTTTGGTCAGACTCATGCTGGTAGCTTCACGAACACTATCCAACCATCTCGTCCTCTGTCGTCCCCTTCTCCTTGTGCCCTCCATCTTTCCCAACATCAGGGTCTTTTCCAGGGAGTCTTCTCTTCTCATGAGGTGGCCAAAGTATTGGAGCCTCAGCTTCAGGATCTGTCCTTCCAGTGAGCACTCAGGGCTGATTTCCTTCAGAATGGATAGGTTTGTTCTTTTTGCAGTCCATGGGACTCTCAAGAGTCTCCTCCAGCACCATAATTAAAAAGCATAAATTCTTCCCCCGTTTTGGGTAAGCATAAATCCTTTCACAAACAGAATTTTCACTTAGTATTACGTTGGATTCCACCCATTATTATCATTTATATTTATTTGATGCATATATACATATTATTTTAAAAAAGTAACTTCTTCTTCTTCTTCTTCTTCGATTAAACACGACCATTATTATTATAATAAAATTAAACACCACTAGCTTGTGAGTTCTCTTGCTACAAGCGCCAATTTGATGTAGTGGTTAGAGCAGAGAGGAGAAATCTGTGGTCTCTTGGACTACAACTCCCAACGGTCCCTGCCAGCACGGGCAATGTTCAGGGACAAAGGGAGCCAAGTTACTGTACTGTTAGCAAAGTCACTTAAATAATGCAGAGTTCAGAGAGAATAAAAACCCTGCTAACACTTTACTGAGGAATCTGAATAAAAACAAATGTATAATTTGAGGAGAAAAGAACGAAGGGGTCTTGACTTTCTTACTCCAGGCCTTGTGCGTAGCAGGGAGATATTCAACTATACAAACAGAGGAAAACGCCCTCAGAACTACTCAGCTAATCAGAGTGTGTGTTACCTCAATGAGAATCATTCCATTCTGCTTGCCAAGCAACACCTCCACTGTCACTGCCCCTTGGTTAGTTGCCTTATAAACCACAGAATTAACCCTTAAGTCCCACAGTGAATGATCTTTCCTGTTGCACCACACCTTTTGCTACCTTCTTATTCTATGACTGTCAGATGATCCTAAAAAAACCTGTGCATTGTACTATGACTCTTTGATATATCCGTCATAATAAGGAATGGATTGACACAGCTGCCTGCGTTTTGGGGGTCTCCTTGTGGGTGTGACAGTGGGGGCTCTCGCGATGACCTCCTGCACTTCAGACACTGCAGCTCCTGAAGCATATTACACATTTCCTTTCAAAGACATCTCCACTTGCTAATGAGCAGGCCATTAACATCAACAGGACTGGTGCAAACTCGTTAGCAAAAACAGTCTCATTAGGGCCCAAGGATAAAGAAAGACACAGACAAGAGCAAAAGCAAGCTTTGCAACCTTGAAACCCTTTGATTTATTTACATTTGGTCACAATAATGTTTCTGTAATAAAGAAGGGTTGTGGTGTTTCCAGAGCACCAACAGTTTTTTATGATGGTAGCAATGAGGACAACAAATGCATTTTGTTGAAAATTATTAACGACAAATTGTGACCATTATTGCCTTTGCTAATTGGCAGCAGCGTCAAATGTAGTTTTGCCGCTCTATCTTGGAAACTGGAAGGCGTAAGGGAGAAAATATGATGCTGTGATTCGGAGTGGGAGACCCGTTCATTTTGTATTTTAAGGCAAGCATTCCAACCACAGATGGGGAAACTGCGGCCCTCCAGATATTGTTATTTATTAGATTTATCACTCAACCTTTATCACAAGGTCTCAGGGTAGGTTAAAACAAGATAAGTAAATTATATTAATTATTGATACGCCATAACTTTTTGTCATCATAAACAAAGAATACATTTAATGCAATTTAAAACTAAATAAAAACAGCACACACACCATTGAAAAATCATATTAATTCAGAAGTATAACAAGTGTGGAAAACCACATTTGGCCCAGCAGGGATCCCAGTTTGCCGCATTAGGCTGCTGTCCGCTGAACACGCCCACCTAGTGCCGTGTATGATGTCAGATGTGGGGCAGGGATAGACAAGGCCGGACCAGCCGTGTGACCAGGTTCCTCATGGAGAACTCCATTGCACAGCCACTCCCTGCAAAAGGCAGGGCTGGTCAGCTGGCGGGCAGTGAGTTCAAGCCTGCTTTCTGCAGGGATCGGCTGCGTGACAGTTCTGTCCAGGGAACTTGGTCATGCAGCTAATAATAATAATAATAATAATAATAATAATAATAATAATATATTATTTATACCCCAGCCACTCTGGGCGGCTTCCAACAAGATATTAAAATACAGTAATGCATCAAACATTAAAAGCTTCTCTAAACAGGGCTACCTTCAGATGTCTTCTAAAAGTCTGGTAGTTGTTGTTCTCTTTGACATCTGGTGGGAGGGCGTTCCACAGGGCGGGAGCCACTACCGAGCCAAGCCTTGCTGACAGCTTTGCCAGGCTTACGCTGGAGCACAGGTTTGACCAAGCCCCTTGTGCTGCGGTTCCCTGGGGCCTGACAGCCAGCTGGATGTTTGGCACTTGAAGAAGAAGAAGAAGAGTTTGGATTTGATATCCCGCTTTATCACTACCCGAAGGAGTCTCAAAGCGGCTAACATTCTCCTTTCCCTTCCTCCCCCACAACAAACACTCTGTGAGGTGAGTGGGGCTGAGAGACTTCAGAGAAGCGTGACTGGCCCAAGGTCACCCAGCAGCTGCATGTGGAGGAGCGAAGACGCGAACCTGGTTCCCCAGATTACGAATCTACCGCTCTCAACCACTACACCACACTGGCTCTCACTTGGGAACTGTTGCGCAAGGGATTTTGATAGGTTGACCAATTGTCAGTCATCTGATGTTATAATGATGCTGGGTGTTTGGCAGGTGGGTTGTCCCGCCCACCTGTCAAAGTTGGCCTGCAGGGCTGGGGGACAGAAACATCCCCCACCCCGGAAGTATAAGTTAGATCACCAAAAAAACCCTTTTTTGCCTGTTGAGGGCCATGGTGAAAAAGGAATGCACACATGAACAGTAGGAATCCTTCCTTGCAAGGGTGCAGTAGGTCTCTGCAGGGAGATTCATGGCACTTTCTGGATCCTTGTAACAAGGTAGCCCTTTCCTCACACAAGTTCCACCCATTAACAATGGGCATTTTATCGGTAGTAAGGATATGAGCCTGCCATCCTGGGCTTGTGCAAAGTTTATTGAGATGTGACGCAAAAAGGAGTTCCTACATAAAATGCTGAATTATATACCTCTCCCAACCACAACTCAACTCTTCGTCTGATTTTTTGCCCCTTTCCTTGGGTACTGCAGTGCTGAAAAATGCCTTTGCTTAACTGGCAGACTGGGCAGCCTTCGTTAATGTTCTTCAAGGACTCCACTAATTAATCAAGGTTTTTCAGCTTCATTTAGAGGCGGTGACATCCTGCGCGCTTATGCAGTTTGCTGAAGGTTGATCCCTGAAGCTTCAGCATTTTTTGCTTCCTCCTGGTGAAATCAATAGCTTTCATCTGCATCTCAGCTGCCGTCTCTACAAACAGACTGAAGCAGAATCTATGGCTGCTGCTGTTTTCCCCCCACCGCTATTTCTGCCCAGAGATCTTAATTGCTTAGAAGAGAGGTTTTGGCAAAACAGATGGGTGGCAGCGCCTTCTGCCCATGGCCAGGATGCCACAGGCTGCAACTCTGGACATAGGGCAGAAGCAGGAAGCCTGTGGCCTTATAGATGTTTCCATAGAATCATAGGACTGTGGAAAGGACCCCAACGGTCATCTAGTGCAACCCTCTGCAATGCAGGATTCGCACCTACAGAATCCCTAACAGATGGCCATCCAATCTCTGTTTAAAAACATCCAGCGGAGAGTCCTGAGGGAGTCCGTTTCACTGTCAAATAGCTCTTATGGTCAGAAAGTTCCTCCTAATTGTAACTAAAAATCTCCTTTCTTGTCATTTGAATCCATTGGTCCACGTCCCACCCTCTGGAGCAGCAGAAAACAAGCTTGCTCCATCTTCCATGCGACAGCCCCTCGGATATTTGAAGGTGACTATCATATCACCGCTCAGTCTCCTCTTCTTCAGGCTAAACACACCTCAGCCTGTATAGCTCAGCTGGTTAGTGTGTGGTGCTTATACCGCCAAGGTTGCAAGTTCAAACCCACTAAGGGACAGCTGCATATTTGGTTTGGACTAGATAATCCTCAGGGTCCCTTCCAACTCTATGATTCTATGAATCTGTGAACTGTTCTATGAATCTATAAACTCCCTCAACCATTCCTCATCAGGCTTAGAGCTCTCATCAGTCACAGACTAACATTTTATTTATAAACCACCAACTCATTACAAAATAAGTACCGTAAGTCATAATGGTGTACAGATGTACCTTGGTTCTCAAACAGAATCCGTTCCAGAAGTCTATTCGACTTCTGAAAACATTCATAAACCAATGCACGGCTTCCGATTGGCTGCAGGAACTTCCTGCACTCAATTGGAAGCCATTTTGGACATTTGGGTTCCAAAGAACGTTTGCAAACTGAAACACTCACTTCCGGGTTTGCAGTGTTCGGGAGCCAAAATGTTCGAGTCGCAAGGCATTCGCAAACCAAGGTACGACTCTATAATGAAATGATTAGAAAACCCATGAACACACAGAACAAATGGCCAACACTGAACCACATCTGAAAATTCTTGGCAGAGCAAACACTGTACAGACACTGTCTCTTTACATTCAAAGCACATTTCCCTCTCAAAGAATTCTGGGCACTGTAGTTTGCTAAGGGCTGCTGGGAATTGTAACTCTGTGAGGGCTAAACTAGAGCGCCCAAAATTCTTTGAAGGAAAGAATGTGTTCTAAAGGTACAGTATGTATGCATCCTAAAACCTTTTCAGCAGGCGGAAAAAATTTCAGTCTTTTAGGTGCCTGCCTGATTTCCACGGGATCAGTGTTCCTTAGTGGTTCCTACACTAATTTTTTTTTAGTTTGTGTAGAAACCAAATTACTATAAGATAACTGAGAAAGTCAGCAGGACCTCTGCAGATGATCTGGCCGGTGTATAAGGGTAACCTGGTCCTAGGCCATGCAGGGCTTCACCCGCCCACAGTAATACCTTGATGTTAGCTTGGTAATGTCCTGGCAGCCAATGCAGAACTTTCAGCACTGGTGTAATATGCTGATGTGGAACTGCTCTGGCCCAAAGCCGGACTGCGGCATTCTGCACTAGCTGCAGTTTCTGAGCCAAGCTCAAGGGTAGCCCCACGTAGATAGAGTGCAGGGCTACACCATAGGGCAGGCGCAGGTGGTATGGTTAGGAGTGTAGCTGGATCAATCTTTGAGATTGTAAGGGGGCAAAAACTAAGAGGCATGACAGGAGTTGGGAGTTCAAGAGCCACCTGGAAGGCCATAGGCTCCCCACCCCTGCCGCAGGGCTCGTATTATTAATTACAGTTACAGTCATACCTCGGGTTGCGAACGTGATCCATGCAGGAGACACATTCGCAACCCGCAATGCCGTGGCTGTGCATGCGCGTGATGCGATTCGGTACTTCTGTGCATGCGTGTGACATCATTTTGTGTTTCTGCGCATGCGTGAGCGCCAAAACCTGGAAGTAACCCTTTTCGGTACTTCCGGGTTTGGCGCGGTCCGCAACCCGAAAACGCGCAACCCGCAGCATTTGCAACCCGAGGTATGACTGTTATTATCATTTAAATGTATTAATTCCTTTTTTTGCCACAGCAACTCAAAGTGACTTACAATATTTTAAGCAAAAAGAAAACACATGCACACATGAAAGCCAGCGTTAAATAAATTAAAAAAACCCTCTACATTAAAGCATCCCACCCATGCGAAAAGACCATACATAGTTAAAAGCCAAAGGTGTGGTTAAAAAGGAATGTTTTTGCCTGGCACCTAAAGATTTGTAATGGTGGCGTCAGGCAAGCCTCCCTAGGGAAAGCATTTTGCAAGCTTCGAGTCACCACTGAAAAGGTCTGTTCTTACGTTGCCACCCTCTGGACCTCCCATGGAAGGGGCACATGAGGAAGGCCTCAGATGACAGAATCTGGGCATGCCCCCTGGATATGCAGCATACCTTTAACTCTGCAACCTACACAACGCCTGCACTGCTTCTCTCTCTGATCTAGTCCTCATGATGGCCCAGGCGAATCTCCATTTCTAAACTGGTTAGGCTGAACATACTGCAGAGAATGCCTCTTTCACTTCTGCCCACTTTGGAGTCTTAAAGGTTCACCAGGGCTACACTCTTAATGATACTGTCTCTCAGCAGGCTTGGACAAGAGCAAGCAGAGAAGCCTCTCCTGGAGACACCAAAGTCCAGTCCCAAGACTCTTTCATATCTTCTGTGAGTCCCACCTGAACACTGGGGTTGATGACTCAAGTTAGAAACCAGACACTGAACTTGGTACATTTCGTTCCATTCTGCTGGAAAGGCTTAACTGCCTAGCCCGAGGCTATGGGGATAAGGTAGGACATAGCTATATCTTTCTTTGCCCCAATGTGATGCCCTCCAGATGTTTGGGGAGTTGTAGTTATCCAGTGCTTCCCCCCCAAAAAATGTTTAGGGGTACTCTCATTTTACTACTCATATTGAAATACTACCCCTCAATGAGGCCAAACTTAGATTCACAAAATGTTTAGGGGTATGCGTACCCCCAGAAAAAAGCACTGTAGTTATCTATATATAATTTAAAACAGTTGGTCAGTCAAAAAGATGTGCTGAGCCCCCCATGAGCATGGTACATCACTTCCCTTCCTTTGGTGCTATTTGCATGTTAAGGTGTGGTGTTAGCATATATGAATGGAGAGAGGGAAGAGTTCCCCTATTAATTCTTAAGGAATTCTGGCCAAATACTCTGTCTGCAGATGTGATAGTTCTGGCAGGTGGAGGAAAACACACACACACACACACACACACACACACACACACACACACCCCTACTTTCATCATTGGGGCTAATGTGTGAAGACCATTTTTGTATTCAGCATTGACTAATGTACACATTTTTGCAAACAATTTCCCCTAATACAATGCATTCTTAATGTTATTTTCACTACTCTGTGTATTTGTATTCACAATTCACCCTCATATTCACTCTTGGTAAATGTGGTTGGGTTGGAGAACTGCACCAAAATTTGTATCTCTCCAAATTTTGCAAAGGATAACTGCATTTTCGGGAAGTATGAATTCAATGGGTTTGCATTCAATTTATTTATTCGGCTTTGCTTTTTATACCCCACCTTTCCTCCACGGAGCTTCAGGTGGCAGACATGGCTCTCCTCCTCCATATTGTCGCACCCCCCATTGAAATTTATTTATTTTTTTGCCTGCAAAAATGGTTTGCCTTTATTTCATATTTTTAGGGGGAGCCAGAGTTGTTGAGCTTTTTGGGGGAAGCCAAAGTTGTTGGAGCTGCTTTTTTGGCAGAGACCATGTGCCTTGCAACGGGGAGTCTGCCTGTCACTGAGGAGGACCATTTTGGCAGCGGGAAGCCTGCGCGCACCAGAGCCTCAGCGTCTCTCACAGACGTTTAGTGCCGCACAGCATTTTGTCACCCCCATCAGAGGTGACACCCAGGGCAGACTGCACTCACCGCACCCACCTTGCTCCGCCCCTGTCCACGCCTCACACAAAGCCCTTTGCCAATGCTTGCGTGCCCATTGGTCTCAGGCCCCATCTGCATTACGCATTTGAAGCAGTATATCACTTCAGACTGTCATGGCTTCCCTCAATGAATCGCAGGAAATGTAGCCTATTAAGGGTGCCGAGAATTGTTAGGAGACCCCTATTCCTCCACCCCCCTGAGCTACAATTCTCCGAGTGGCTTAAGAACAAGCGAACTCTGGGAACTGTTGCGAAGCAAAAGAGAACATGATTTCTGACCAAGGATGGCACAGCTTACCGAAGCAGTTGTCTCTTACGTTTTAGTTTCCACACATGGGGAAATTGCAACCACAGAGTCTCTAATTGGGAAATCACAATGCATAGCCATGCAGAACAGGACTCAAGGTCAAGAGAGGCTCAAGGTGCTTGCATAGCAAAGGAATAAGGATACAAAAGTCTATGAGGGAGGAGGCGGCGGCGACTGGCAGACCTAACACTAATGCAGGGAAGAGGAACCTGCAGCCTTCCAGATGTTGGACACCCAACTCCAAGCATCCCCAGCCAGCCTGGCCAGCGGTGAGGGGAGTTGGAGTCCAGCAAAATCTGGGAGGCCACAGGTCTTCCACCCCTGTATTATTGCTTTTGGTAACCATAAGGTGTTTATATTGCTTGGGGGGGGGGAGTTTAATAGCATCTGTCAGGGGTTCAGGGAGAGAGGCACAGGGTAGGCAGGAGATGGAGAGCGATGGGGAGGAATTCCAAGCCAGCGAGGAAGAGGATGACAATGACTCAAGAGATTCCATGAGTCTTTCCAGCGAATCAGAGGATTCCCAGAAGGGGGCGCCGGTGGTCAAGGCCAGGGGAGCCCCAGGGGGGGAAGTGTCAGGAGCAGGGTGCCAGCGGAAGATCCCAAAGTGGCAGCTGGGCGTCAGGACCAGCCTCCCCACCAGAGTGCAGCGAAGGGGGGTGGAGTTTCCAGTGTGTCAGAGGAAGCAGCTCCAGCAGCAGAGCAAGCCCGGGCGTCAGAGCACGCCGCCCACCCGGACCGGGAGGGTAGCAGTGAAGGGAGTAGTGTAACTGTCAAAAGGAAAGTTAGAGGTTTGGCGCGCGCGCCTAGTTCAAATGTAGAGGCGCGCGGAAGTGCAGGGAGCCCGGAGGAGGGGCCAGGTCCCAAAGCCCGCAGGAGGGGGAAGAGCAGTCTGGGGATTCCGCGTCAGAGGAATCCAGGAGGGCGAAACCCCAGTGGGCAGAAGGACCCTGCGGAAAAGGAAGGAGAGAAGAGGTGGAGCAGCGCAAGTCTCTTAAATTGGTGTAGGGAGGAACTGACTCAGAGGGGACTTCGGCGGTCTAGCGTAAGAGACGTAAGGCTGCGCGCCTAGGATGTCAAGCAAACCATGAACTGCAATAAACACTTTTGTATATAAGAAGACAGAGGCGTTGGTCTTTTGTGAGCTAAGACTTGAGGCAGCCTTGACAGCATCTTAAAAGCGAACATACTTTTTGTGTTCATGGACCTCCTGAAAAATGTTTGTAGTGGAAGTGTGCAAGAATGGTCAGGTATCAGTCCTCTTTGTTACAGTATAAGAAACATCCCTCTTTGAAGTTGTAAAAGGCTCTATATATCAGCCTTTTATTTAACCTACCTTGTAGTCAGATTTTTCCTCCATCACAAAAGGATGGAGCTTTTACTTATTTTAAAAATTACTATGCAGTTTCCATGATTGTTGCAGTGAAGGGTTTTTCTCTTGCCTCTTGCTGTTGTGCTCATGATGTCCTGCTTGTGGGCTTCCCATCGGGGCATCCAGGTGGCCACTGTGGACAGGATGCTAGACTAGATGAGCAAGTGGCTCTTTTTGTTTCATTGTATACTGTATGGAAACGAGGCTACTAGTAACCTCTTCCCAGGCCAGTAACCTCTGGAGGCTTATTTGCAAGGCTGCTATATATTCTGAATTAGGCTCAGGATCAGGTACTGTAGCTGCTGAACTACTAGTTCGGACCCTAGTGGAACATTTGGGGGATTACAATTCTTGTTTTGTAAACTATTGCATTAAGAATTGGAAAGCCCTTGTTACAGCACAGCACATCCTAGCAAGAAAAAAAAAATCTATTGTGAAAGGAACACAAGAGGAGCCGCTATGCATCAGACCAAAGGCCCATCTAGTTCAGCTTATTGTTCTCAAGAGTTGAAAACCAGAAGCCTATAGAAAGCCTGCAAGCAGGACCTAAGCACAACAGCACTCTCTCCTCCTGCAGTTTCCAGCATCTGGTACTCATAGGAATACCATCTCTGACACTGGCAGTAGTACACAGGTATCATGACTAGTAGCCACTACAGACGGATGCATTTGTCAGTTTCAGTTTCTCATTTTTCCAGTCAGCTCAGTTCTCCATATTTTCACGTGTATGCATTTTTAAAAATTAAATACTCCACTTGAAAATTCATCAGCATTTTAGTATGTGTTTGTCCTAATCTACACATTTTTGCATGCAGTTTCCCTTAACAGAATGCATTTTGTATGTTGCTTTCGTTCATATTTGCACGTTATCCTAGAATATGAATTTTGTACCCATTACTTGGCTGGAAAACTGCATTGCAAAAATCTGAAGGGTGGATTTTGAAGGGTGTGTATGTCTCACATTGTGCATTACATTGGGAAGGGTGGGTTAGGCAGGTTCACATTTAAATGCAAACAAAACTGAATTTCTCCCTCATCCCTAGATTAGCCATTGACAGCCTTCCTCTCCAAATCCTGCTTAAGACTTGAGGGAACAGTTAACTAGCCGCACAGGCCTGGTTTCAGGTAATAGAGGCTCCCTTAGTGCCCGCCCCCCAGCTATCTTGTGGATGGGCTCCTCGTGCAATGGTGGTAGCTCTAAGCTGCTTCCCACAACTTGCCAGCCCTGCTTTCTGAATTACACAGACTGCACCCCCAAGGCATGTATGTTAGGGAGCACAGCATAAATAAGTTGGTGGCCCCAGGGAGTTTAGGTGTGTGACCTAGAGCTCTGACAATCAGTGCCACAGTCAGGCTACCCACTCTGTCCCAACTGCCTGGAAGGAGACAGTCCATCTTTCTGTCTAGTTGTGATTTGGCAGTGACACCAATCTGAGCTCTGGGCCACACACACAAACTCGGTGAGCCCATTTTAATTCTGCTGGCCTGATCTGAACATACACAGACTGATGTGGGGTTGGCAAGACTGGCTGTGCAGCCTCAAGCTCCAATCAATGCCCCTACCCCAGTCCCCACCACCTGCTGTCATGGGCAAGCAAGTGTCAGGGTAGTCACAGAAGCAGTGGACACAATAGGTTTCTGATTGGGGCAAGTTCTATGGCAAAGTGACCCCGTGTGTTGCGGCATGCTGGTGATAGGCCTGCTCTCTCCCTCTGAGGAACACAAACTCCCCATCCCCCCAACAACGTGCCATAGATTTCTGGGAACTGTAGTGTGTAAAGGGTGCCGGGAATTGTAGCTCTGGGGGGGGGGAACTACTGTTCCCAGGATTCTTTGGGGAAAGTTCAAAGTGATATACCGTATTTTTCGCTCTATAACACGCACCCGACCATAACACGCACGTAGTTTTTAGAGGAGGAAAATCAGTAGGCATGCCACCCGTAGGCATTCCCTCCATAACACGCACAGACATTTCCCCTTACTTTCTAGGAGGAAAAAAGTGAGTGTTATGGTGCAAAAAATACGGTAAATGTGTTTTAAATGTACGGTGTGGATGTGACCAGAGTTTGTGGCTTCTCGTGTCCACTGGGATTATGAAGAGCATGGGCTCTGATTCAGTAGCACTGATTTGGAACCTTTGGCCCTCCATCAGCACCCAAAAGCATGGCCACCAACCAGGGATGTTGGGAATTGGAGTTCAGCAACATCTGGAGGGCCAAAGGTTCCCCACACCTGGGGAACTGAAAAGCCCTACTTCCACCAGTGCTGTTGTTGCCATGTTGTTGTCACATGACAGCATTGCAATGACAGTGCTGGGAAGGCTTGAGGACCCAAGCCTACTTCTCTGGACCTGCTTCCAAGGGGCTCCACGTTTAGGCATGTTGCTTCACTAAGGGATGGGGGACAACTCAGTCCCTGGTTGCAATTTAAGCAATAAGCACCCAGCACCCAACTTCTGTCATTCAGCTGGACAGAAGGGGAAGGGGTGAAAAAAGACAACAACAGTACCATCAACAACAATTCAAGGGGGAGAGATGCCCCCACAAGCTGAGCAGCATATTTAATCATCACCTTCAACAAATCAGTAGTGCAGCAATGTAAACAGAATTCAGGAGAACTTGAAAACCTGTTACACACTTGAATCAAGGATGGCCAATTTCTACATTCTCTGATGCCATTGTAGCCACCACCAACCCACCTTAAAGAGTGGCTTGTGACCTCTTAAGTGTGTAGCATTCTCATCTGGCTACCCTCACTCCAATTACAATAATAAAGGACCACAATTAGTATTGCAAGCTATTTGACTTTGGTTTGCCAACCAGGGGCTGGATCTGGTCTCTGGGGTGCCAGCTGGCCACTCCTGACTTAGAGAGAGAGCCTGGAATTCCAGTTTGGAAATTAAAACAAAACCCTCATCATCAAAGCTCAAGAGTCTTGAAGAGTTGCCCTTCAGTATTAGATGATGGTAGCAAGGGAGGTGGGGGGTGGAGTGTCTGTCAAAGGTGTATTCACCTTTGGGGAGAGACAAGGTTTGCCAAGTATGAAGCTGGTTAGTGTTGGTGAAGAGAATGCAGGTGACAAATGAAAGTAAATCACAAACATCACCATCATACTAGTATGCATCTTCCATTGACTTTAAAAAAGGGGAGTGGGGAGCTGGATTGTACAGTGTGGAAACTCTCAATCTCTATATCAAACGAGGTGCTCAAGGGAGACTCCTGCAGTTGCTTTCAATAAACAAGAAGTTTTTGAACCTCCTTGGTGACTGGACAATTGGTGTTTCTTGTGAGAAACACACAATGAACATGTAACAAACGACAAATAAAGGGAAAGGGAATTGGGAGTGAGAAGAGGCATTCATCAATTGGGGATCAGAGGGAATAATCAATTTGATACCCCCGCCTTTGTCTCTGATACCCCGCTTTCAAACTGTGCAAATATTCTTTGTAAGATAGACAGCATATCAAAGGTATTTTTTTTTTCCAAGTGGAAGAGAAACTTGCTGTCTTACAGTGTTCCTGACTACACAAAGGGAAGGCTTCCAGTATATGTGTAGAGTGCTCTTGAACAATGCAGGGGGATAAGGGGAGTCATAGACGTGGAGGTATCACTTCTGTTCCCACCAGTGGCAAGACTAACAATAATTTAAACACACACACAAAACGGGGAGGGGGACACTTTACAATTGTAAATGTGACCCATGGGGTAAATTCTTCCCATGCCCTGGAGACAGCAGTGCTTCACATTCTGCAAGCTCGGCCTCCTATTCCTTTTTGGAAAGAAAGTACAGTCCGTGAGAGATGGGGAGAGGGACCCAACAGTCCTTTTCTGCAGCTGAAGTGCTTTAGAAAAGAACACAGTCCAAGGCATCCTGGCTAGAGCAAAGCTGTGGTTTTTGCAGTCAGAACTGTCTCCCTCCACAAGAGGGAGCGTGTGAAGAAGATGGCCATCCCCCGAGGCAAGCAGATTTTGGGGTGGGTAGCACAGGGTGTGTATTGCAGTCCTGGGCAAGATGGCGCATTTCACAGTTTCACAGGAGTGGTTTTAAATCCTGCAGCATTTCGGAACCAGCACCTACCCTTCACAGTCTTTTGTTTCACAGCTTCTTTTGCCAAATTTCCCTTGAAGTCCAGATTCAAGTACAGGCAGTTCATTTTTTTTTTTTAAGAAAAGAAAGATCTGCAGTAAACAAAAGTGTCCATGTAATACATTAGCAGTGCTATCCACAACACAGCAGGTTTCTGGAGGCTCCTTGTGCAACTGAGGAGCAGAACAGGCTTCTGGGTCATTTGTTGTCCCTTTGCGAGTGCCAGTCCATGGCTATAGGATTTCCTCCCTCTGGTTCTTCGGCTTCGGCGTCACCTGCCCGTTGCGCAGGAAACCATTCTGGTTGTGCAGCAGCTTTCCCTTCTCCCGATCCGGCCATGTAAAGATGGCTTCGTCGCTGTCTAGCTCAGATTCTGAATGCATCAGGCTAGTGTTCTGGGCCTGGGCTTTCTGTTTACTGCCTTCAAATATAAACACATAAAAAAGTAAGATAACCTATTCAGTAAGAATCTCTCTCTCTGAGTGTGTGTGAGAGAGACTCCTGCTGCATATTTTATATCAGCATAAGAAGCTGGTCCACCTAGCTCAGAATCTAGGGTGGAGCACCTCCAGTCCACAGGCAATCCCATTCTGGTTCCATTTTGGCATTCGAGGTCATTTTCCCGAAACCACACCCATCTGCCCCATACCTGACTTCGCAAATGATGTCAAGTGTGGGGCAGGTAGAGATGCAGCTGGATTGACTGTGCATCTGGGTTCCCCATGGGGGACTTGACCACACAGCCAAATCCAAAGGCTGGAAGGCAGCAACTTTAAGCCTGCTTATCAGCCACACTTGAGAGTGTCTGGACGGTTATACACAACCTTGCTTCCAATACCATTTGTGCCTGCAAAAGTTTTGGGGTGGTCATACTGCTTTGTTTGCAATAGGTGTGTTTCCTGCCGCTTTCATAACACATATAGTCAGTGGGTGGGTTTTGCTCTGTCCTGCTCTAAAAAAACCCCTTTAAACCCCTTTAAATATCTTTCCTAGCTGCCTACAGCCTGAGCAAAGCTATCTGCCATGATGTGCCTTGAATGAACATAAGAGCAAGCTCCACCTTGGGAGCAATCACTCCAGTGGCAGAATTGTGTAGGGGGAAACAAGCTATTAAAATGGGGGGGGGGGGGCAGAAACAAAGGCAGCATGCAACCCTCTGATGGCCTTGTTAGTACTTTCTTAAACTGTGTTTTTCAATGTGTGTTTCCAGAAATATCTTTAAGGATTTTCAGTTAAAATCCACCTGGAAAATGAGACTTAGTCCCACCTTCATTGAGGTAAACGGGAAAGAATGGATCAGGGGTTGTCAACCTTTTTAGACCAGTGGGCAAATTTTGAATTCTGGGGAAGTGCTGGGGTTGTGACTTAACCCAAAATGGCTTGAATGGATAGCATGACATAAGACAGAATTATGGAGACAACCAGCCTTGACAACCTTATGCTTACCATAAGACAATAGTTACGGCCCTATTGTAAAGATCACACAAAACTAATGAGCACTTTAAAAAGCAAAACTGAATGACAGATATAATGTAGAAGTTATTCTGAATTCCTCTCGGAAACCCTCTACTGCCGAAAGTGCTCCTAGCACATGGGGAAAAGGTGACCCCCGTTTTGCTGCCTTTGTGGCAAGCATCTTGACATGCCCTGTTGGACAGAACTCTGAGGGGAACAGACACAACTGGATCACTGAAAACTCGGCTTTCAAGCAAACACCCACAGAGCTACAAGCTTCCCCTATGTCATGCAGTGATTTCAAAACCCTTGAGAATAGAAACCAGCCTGTGTCAGCATTCTGTGAGTGCTAACCTCTTTTCTGATGTCTTACCTGCTTTGGGATTTGGTTTTAACTCGAGGCTCTCTTGATCTGTGGCATCCAAGATCTTGTATTTGCTCTTCCTTTTGGGTTTTCCCTTACGTCTTAAGAAAAAATGGGGGTGGGGGATAAAGAAACAGATTGAAGCTTAGATGGAGTGTGAGGCCCTCACAGAGAACGAGCACCTAACCCAAAAGTAAGAGCAGTGACTTTACTGTTAAGGGAAGAGGGGTCTGGAAAGGTCTCAGGGCCTTACTCACTTTTTGCAGCAGCAGACCACCACCCAAGAAAAGATCCCCAAGGAGACCACGATAACAAACGATGCAATGACAACGTAGAGCACGCTCCATTCTGTAAGAAGGACAGAGATAGAATCTCAGCATCAGACTCTGGAGCTTGAACTAGGAGCCTCATAGTTGGGGCTGGGGCTCGGATCCAGCTTCTGGGAGCTGGGGCCAGTGCCTTCATCAGGCACAGAAAGAGGAACAGATATATGTGACATTGGTCTCTGTGACTGGCAGGAAATATAAAGTGCCTGGATTGGCCAAGCCTTGAAACCTGGTCTTCTGCCTTGCCTGGCCAAGAACAGATTGGCACATTCCGCCTGCTACACTTCAGGTTCTAGCTGAAATATAGGCCCTGGATCTGTCTCCAGCTCTCAGAACTTGATCTCAGGGACTATGGGTTGTAGACCTCACAGTTCAGGTATGCCTAGGGGTATAACTGCATGCTGCCCTGGCTTGGCTGACACTAGCCCAGTTTAGACAATAATTGAAACCAAAGTTTAGATTACTATTAATGATTCACATCCAGCCTTTGATGCACACACTTGAAAATTAAAGTTTCTCTTTCATTTTAGAACAAACCACAGTTTCTTATTCTGAACCAGTTGAGGGAACTGTGGTTTATTCTAATTAGTTAAAACAAACCTGGATCAATTTGACCATGATGATTGTCTGAACTGGGACATTTAGAATAACAGCAGGCTGAATTATGCTCCCGATGCCATGGGAGACAGAGGTGGAATCCAAATAGGGGCAGCTTCTCTGAGTGCATGTGTAGAAGAGTAGGGTGCAAATAACAGATCAATTAACTGGCTGAACTGAGGGCAGGGCAGGGCAGGCACAGACCCCCAAGGGACTTGCTAAGGAGCAGGGGTGCCAACTTGGGCTCCAGGTTATGGATGCCCAATGGCTTCCGTGACATAATGTGACGTCGTGATGTCAAGTGACATCAACACGCTGCAGGCGCTTCTGAGGCCTGGCAAGATCTCAGAGGAGATCTCCAAGACCTTGTGTGGCCTTGGAGATCACATATGAGGCCTCATGAGATCTCTGCCGTGACTTCCGGATTGTACCAGAAGTCACGTCAGAGACCTGGCAGGGTCTCCAACATCGCCTCGGGGGTTGCAATGGGCCTGCGACACAACTTTCGGTAGAAACTGGAAGTCACATTGGTGCCCGCACTGTGGGTGCCCAGGCCCCCAGGGCCCCTATAGTTAGTGCCTATGCTAAGGAGTCCCTCAAGAAGCGGCTCTACATGTTGCACCAGGCTGGCTTAGGTAACTCTGCTGGGACTATAAGCAAAGTGGGAGAGTTGGCTGAGATACAACTTTGATGTCTCAACTGGCCTCTAATGTGGGAGTGGGGTGGTGACACCCCCTCACTAAGCCCTGTCCTACCAATCACCTAAGATGAGGCCAGAAGCTGCTCAATATTTAAGACACTAGATATAGTACAGCTGCTGATTTCTGCAGAGATTCCATGTGATCAGCCCATTAATCCCCTCCCTCAAACATATACGGTTCCCTGGCTATACCAAACCAACACCCAATACCCTTTGCCTGTTCTTCTTCCCCTTTGAGGGCTCCTTCTCCACAGTGGGGCATGACACAGAAACAAACAGAAACTTTCTGCATTTAGGCACTGAGCCTCTTGCAGAGGCTGTTGCCTTATTAACCATGAAAGGAAAAAGAGAGTGGTACCTACCACAGTTGCTCTCGCCATCACCTAGTTGCACTTTGATGAAGTTCTCCATCCAGAAAGGGTCACAAACACAGCGCTTGGTGAAGGAGTTGCAGTGCCCATGTTCTGAACAGTTCAACTGGCAGGCTGGAGGAGGGAGAGCCCAGTCAGACACAATTCAGTTTCACAGTCAAACTTGAAGGGATGAGGATTCAAACATTTCCCCCTAGATTCTCAAGACAGCCAGGTTCAGAAATCCATTTTGTTCCTTATCTTATCTATAGGATATACTGGATGTGATTGTGGGGGACACTGATCAATATCATGCAAGCAGGCCCTGTTTCATAAGACAAGTCTGTGCTACATGCCATTGAGATGTGCAATAAAAACATCTAGTGATATTTGAATGTCCCCCTCCCCCCAAAAAACCTTAGATCCATGCATGCACATATACACACTGGTGCAGAAAGTTATGTGCAAACACTGGGGGTTTCCCCTGCCCCCAATGCCATTTTCTCTCACTTTCCAAATTTCAAAAATACATTTGTGGTCTCTTTTGCTGAATCCAAGCTTGAGTGTCAGCTCTGTAATAATGGTCAGTAGGGCTGCCTTTTCCTTATACAACATCACTGTTTGTTCTTGGTCAATGAGTAGCACCCAGTCAACTTCTGGTTTCAGCCTCAGTGGCCCCTGAGGGAGATGCCAAACCCCAGCCAATGTGCATAATGTGAACTCCCTGCAGAACATAAATCCCATAATGCAACTGAGAGTTAGCAGGATGGTGTGTGGGTGTCTGTGTCACAATGGCAAAGGCAGAGGTGGCCAGCTGTCAAGAGGCTTTTGGCTTCTCCTTCACAAAAACAGAGCTCCGCATATCCCCTGCTATAGCTCTTCCTCCACTTCCCACTGTGTGTTACATTGCCAGTTGTCTGCTCTTGCCGCTTTGCTTCTCACATTTATGTCTAATTCCCTCTTTCTTGTGCCATCCCCAGAAGTGGGAGCAGTTCAGCATGCACCCTGCATCAGTTCAAGAAAGCAGCACAGATAGCAACATTATTAATTGAAAACTTATACTTGGATCCGTGAAGATTTAGAAGTGCACAATGGGAAGTAGCTTCCAAAAAAGAAAAAGAAAAAAAAAGACTGACAATGGGAATAGAATGAAGGATAAAACCTTCTTTCTTCCCATAGATCAACTGCAAGGTCAAAGATAGGGTGGAGAAGGAAGGCGAGGAAAAGGGTGCTAAAGTGGATATGCAGGACTGAAGCCTCTCCTATCAAAACAGTAATAGCACTGTGCTGCTGGTTCATATGGCATGAACCATGGTAGTAAAATGCAATAGCTCAGAAAACTTGGCATAAAACTAGTCTAAGAACTCCCTGGGGGCAGGCATCATATACATTTCAAGGAGGTAAGAAGCAATCATATCAGTTAAAAACAACAACAACACCCTAATGAGGTAATGCCCAGGGACAGATTCAAATTATGTGGGCTTTAGGCAGATTTGTAATCCCACCCCCACCCTGCAAGCTGCAATAAACAAGAATAACTCTGGTTTAATTTACTGGGCTCCTGTTTGCAGTGATTCCTGAGATAACGTACATGAAGTGATCAGAACAACAGGCATGGTGGCTGAGGTTGAGGGAATGGTAGTCCAAAACATTTGAAGGGCACCAGGTTAGTGAAGGCTGCTATAAGCAACCATATCTTCTCCCATTCTTCAGCTTGGAAGGAAAAGACCCATCACTGTCAGTTTCTAGTAGAAACATTATTGCTAGGATGCTTGTTGGTGGAACATATCATTCAGTCTCTCTGGAATTTATCTAGGTGAAGAAATTGGGGTCCACTACGCTGGTCATAGTTCAGTGGCAGAGCATCTGTCTTGCAGGCAGAATGCCCTAGATTCAATCCCTGGCATCTCCAGGTAGAACTGGGAACGTTCCCAGTCTGAAACCCTGGAGAGCCACTGTCATTCAGTGTTGACAAATCTGATTGAGATAGGCTCCATATAAGGTGCCATTGTCAGAAGCAAGTTATTGTTTACTGTGATCCTCAACCCCACCCCAGATATGGTGCACATACAGATGCAATGGCCTTAGGGGAAGTTGGACACAGGGAAAATGAAACTTCTCACTGGAAGGAGGTGGTGCAAGGTGACAAGAAATGGTCAGCAGCCACATCAGCTGTTCCTCTAACTTACTGACTGTATTGATCTCCAGCACTCGGAAGATGAGGAAACCTGACTGCTGCTGCTTCCGCAGCTCGTTCTTGAGTGACCAAGCAATGTCATGCCCTTTGAAGATCTGATGAGGAGGCTGATTCCACACGTAGAATACCATCTTTGTGCTGCAATTAACAAGAAAATTGGGGATACAATAAGCATAAATAGAAGGTTTCTCTTCAGAAAACCGCAACTACTGGGGGTTGGGATGGGTGAATGGGAAGAACACAAAGAAAGATTTCCATAATACAAAATCTTTAGCAGGTCTCGCCCCTACAAGCCTTCCTTTCCATTAATTCCTCAAGTTTCTTTGGAAGTGAATCTATGTTCTTTGAGAAGTCAGTTCTTGGAAGCAAAATAATTATGCAAAAGCAAGGAACCAGACACACATATATCTGCTTTGTTTGCATGATTTATTGCCATTGCAGACTTCAGATTTTTTCCCCCAGAGCAAAATATGCATAGCTCTGCTCAAAAAGGACAAAATGTGAAACAGCCCCCCTGGAACCCTCTCTTAACAGCAAATCAAAGCAGCAGGACCAGAATCGAGCCATGCAAAACCCCATCCTGTCCACCTGGCACAGATAAAAGTGCTCCTTAAAGAGAGAGAGACAGACAGAGAGGGAGGAGCACAAAAAAGAAAAGAAAAAAAAGAAAATGCAGCCATATTCCATTTACTTAATGCTTTCTTAACTGCAGCCAAATATATATTGATCAGATGCAAACCTCTTCCTCTTCTGCTAGGAGGAAGAACGGTAAATGACTGGTCTGCGACTGGGATGATGTGAGGTGGCGGAGGGGGGAGGGGAGACGGGGTTAGAACTGAAAGCCCAAAGCACCTCTGTTTCTTGGCTCATGTCATTAAGCAAAAGAATTTTTTCAAGGTTAACGAAAAGTGAACACTTCACTTATGTACCAGAAGATTCAGTCTGGATAAACTTGGCAGGAAGTTCAGATGCCCAGATTTCTGAAAGGACTGGGTAATGCACCAGCTTAATCAAGCACTAGCTTAGCCAAGAGCTCTGTGCTGCTGCGATTCCTGGCGCATGAGAACCTAGGGCATGAGGATCCACAATGCAATCCAGGGCTCCAAGCCTGGGTGTGTCCTCCTGCCCCAAAACCTAAGTCCTTATTCTCTGAAGAGGTTTGGTTTGCAGTGAAGCAAGGTTGACAACATAAACTTATGAAAATATATCCACACACAGGGTGCTTGAACTTGCACTTTAAGGCTGAAAACAGTTTTATGTGCAGCCTTTTTGTGTGTGTGGCTATAGTTAAGCGCCCCTTTCCCCACCTTTTGTCTTCAATGGACACATGCATCTGGCTCTGCAATGAATGTGGGGTGCTCCTCCTCCTCCATGGGGGCTATCTCCCTTAGCTTTGGTTTCCAAACAACTACATGGTCAGTGGCTCAAATGCTTGGCACTTTCTCTTCAGGTTTTTACTGTTTTACTGTTCTAAGAAAGTGGGGGAGAATGGGAAGAGAGGAGTGGTGGCTTCATGGCAGATACAAAGGCCAGAGAACTAGCACTGTTCGAACCCAGCTTCTGCTGCAAACCTGGGGAAAAGCAGGTTTCCTCTGAGCATGATACTGTGGATAAGTTAACATGAGACATACAGTGAGTGCATTCTATCTATGTCTGTACATACCATGAAATTCTCATTATGAATGAATCTTTTTCAAGTACACATATGAATACAAGTGCACACAAACTTATCCACAAAATATTTCAATCTTGAAAATCAACCTCCATCACTCAGCTCAAAAAGGGAGTGCTGTGTTTTATCACTTTCCTATGCCTGTTTTCAAATGAGCAAATTGCAAGTGGTGCCTTCTAGGCTACAACTAGGTTGTCTCGATTAAGATCCTCTCCATGGTCTCCTACCTCTCCTCTGTGTAAGGCTGAATCTTTTGTACGATGATGTCTGAATCCAGGACTCCCAGCAAAACCGCTATCTGACGAATAAACATTCCCTTCTGCCGTTCTGTCAGCTGGCTGACATTCACATCTAGTATCATCTCCACAAGGTTGTTCTTCCTTGGATCTGAAAAGAATGCATAAGTACCATCTCACTGATGAATTCCAGCTGATTTGAAAATTTTGGCTTGCCCCATTCCCAACTACATTTAATCAAATAGAAATATGAGCAAATGTACATGCTGTGTGAATCCTTGAATCCCCAGCTTGGCACAGAAGCCAACCCAAATAGACAGGTTGTGCAGAGCATCCAAGAGATTCAGCCTTTGGAAAAACTCCAAGAGAAGAGCATAGCTTCTAGCAATTAGGCTGTTTTATAATCAGATGCTGAACCAACTCCTGACCTTTTGCCCCTTCCTTCAAATTCTTCCATTTCCTGATACTCCCCACTGGATTCTGCCTAACACCTGCCCTCCAAATCTCAAAAAAGATCTTTGTTAACACCCCCCCTCTGGCTATCGGGGAAAAAAGTATCACAGATACTACACCCATTTTCTCAGTGTTAGGCAGTCACAAAACCTTTCCCACGCATGTATTGCAACAATTACTACTGCATCCCATTACAAATGGGATTCCAGTTCTTACAGCTGTGTCAAGATATCAACAGATGTAAACTTAGGAAGATGGAAAATTGGAGAAGTACTGATATGCAGTTGAAAATAGTATCAAAAGGACCCATGGAAGGGATGGGGGAAAGTCAGGAGATCCAGAGTAATCTCAGAATTTGGATTGTGTATTGTTTTATGTTGTATGTTTATATTTTCAAAAATCAATAAAAAAGATTATTCAAAAAGGATATCAACAGATGTAAATAAAGAGAGCCATATATGAGGCTATAGAGGGATCTGGTATTGTTTAACCAGTATACTGCATGTCTAACAACCGGATTTACTTCTGAGTAAACTTGTAGAACATCAATCATACTTCTCGTGTAATCAGACTGATACAGGGCCTTAGTCCCGAGAGCTGGTGTAAAGTAAGGTCTAAGAGTGTTAGCTGGGAAGTTGGGATGGGAGGACCAGTCTATTTACCCTCAGTTTGCTTTCTTAAAAAGTCATCCCAAATACGTGTCAGCATTTTAGTGTGCATTTCTCCTAATACACACATTTTTGCAAGCAATATCCCCAATCATGTGGTTTTTTGTACAAAATTCACAAAATATGTAGAAGTGTAAATTTTGAAGGATAGTTGCATTTTGGTTCACAATCACATACTGTTTCAAGTGAGAATGAGAGTAAGGTAGTTTCACATCCAAACCAACGCCCGCCTCCCTACTAGGAAGTCCTCAGTCCAAATCTCACCTCACCCATTAAGGAGGGCTTATGGATGCCCCCCTTCTCTATCTCTCCATCTCCACATCTACAACAGGGAGTTATAATCTTTACAATATGTAGACCATTATTACTAAGGTACTGTTTGCGAAGTGCTCTGAACACGCAAGGAATGTGCATATATTACAGTGGTACCTCGGGTTACATACGCTTCAGGTTACAGACACTTCAGGTTACAGACTCCGCTAACCCAGAAATAGTACCTCGGGTTAAGAACTTTGCTTCAGGATGAGAACAGAAATCGTGCTCCAGCGGCGCAGCGGCAGCAGGAGGCCCCATTAGCTAAAGTGGTGCTTCAGGTTAAGAACAGTTTCAGGTTAAGAACGGACCTCCAGAACGAATTAAGTTCTTACCCCGAGGTACCACTGTATTGAAAATCAATAAATGAATACTTTTAAAAGTGTGCATATAAGTGCTAATTATTATGATTAATTAGCAATAGTTTCTCTTCCAGAAGATCAAGTACATGTGAGTGTGTGTGCTTGTGCATGTGTAGCTCACCAGGTTTTACTTCCACTGTGGCTCTGTCCGTATCACTTTCCCCTTTGGCATCAGTCACTTTGAGATGGAATGAGTATGTCCCTTCCACCAGGTTGGAGAGGAACAGCACCGCATGGTGGTCTGAGTTATTTAACACCTCCTGCATTTAACAAAAACATACAAGGGTGATGATGCACCTTGCAATCCTGTGAAATACAAGGGAATATATCAGAAGTGCAGGGTCCCAGGGAGACCTAGGGGAGGAGTATGATACCTATAGCCTCCTATATGTTACTGGACTCCAACTCCCATCTTCCTTGACCATGCTGGCTGGGGCTGATGTGAGTTGGAGTCTACCAACATCTGGAGGGCCACAGGTTCCCACTTCTGGTCTAGGGTGATCTCTTCTAGAGCTGCATTTTCCTGAAACATTTCACACCCTCCCTCACCGTAACAAGTACCAGATTCCCCTAGGCAGAGGAGAGTTAGAAGCAAGCTAGGCTGTTTTTTTAGTGAACAGCTTAAGAGAAAAGCCATCTTCTTCCAGATACCCTTTTGTAACCAGGACTTTGAAGGAATCACTAGCATTTGAAGCACTGAGACTATCTTGACTTTCAACATCTGAACTCTAAGAACATGCAGCAAAATTCAGAATATTGAAGAACATGCAGTCCTAGTCACAAGACACACTTGTTGATATAGTGAAAAAATCAGGGACATTCTAAAGGTTCATGAGTCAAAAGAAGAGGTTTAAAAATTAAGTCAAAACTGAGTGCACTTCAGAGGCATAGCTCCCATTATATCAACCCTTTCTTTGCATTTGCTATAATAAACTAACATGCTTTCCCCTGTGGCATTTTGCTCCAAAAAGCACCTCTGTGTAACTGGTCTTAGAAAGATTTAAGCAGGCCCTGAAGAAAAAGAAAATTCAGTACATTGGACGGTCTCCCTCTTCTTGGCTGAGTGCAGTAACTCATGTAGCACTTTCCAAGCTTCACTAAAATTCGATGAGTCACTTGCACACAAGTAAACACTGCAGAATAGATAGCAGCATTACTCACCCCAGCCGCAGGGCTGACGTCATCCCGAGTCCAAAGGAAGGCGACAATTCCTTTGTCATCTGTGGATCTGGAGCCATCAAGCTCTGCTGTGTTGGTAGGAAGGGTGATGACAACGTTCCCAGCTATCTTTGCTGTGGGTGGCTTATTGATCTCTGAGTATGAAATGAGGACAAAGGATCAGAATACAAAGGAGCTTCAGCAAACTGTAACCCATCCATAACTAAAGAAAAGTTGACTAATTCTTCTTTAGCAATTCTAATCACTTAGTTATGTTTGATGAAGAATATAATAATACCAGGTGACCTGGTTGGGAAATCCAGGTCAGAAGTCCTGCTGTGTAGCCCACTGGGTTGTCTTTGGCAAAGTGCAATGGACTGTATGGGTTTATTGCATAGGGGCAATTCTCCATCTCCTCCTGCTCTCCTCCCTTTCCTGCCCTCTGCTGAGGGATGGCAGTGCCCTCTGAAAGGCTCAGCATGCAAGGCAGGGATCTACGCTGAGAGTGGTGAGTTGGCTGAAATTAGGTGGAGGTAGCTTGCATATGTGCATGAGTTTGACCAAACTGCGGGAGGCAGTGGAAGACAGGAGTGCCTGGCGTGCTCTGGTCCATGGGGTCACGAAGAGTTGAACTTGACTAAATGACTAAACAACAACAGCTTGCATATGAGTTGAGTTCTGCTTATGCAAGCCACCTCTGTCTATTTTCTCCAGAGCTCCACTCACACTACAGGCCCCTGTCCCACATCTGAGGCCTTCCTCAGGATACCCTGAACCTTGAAATGAAGATACTTATATCACACACACCCCACACATCCAAGGAAGCTGCAAGGTAGGAGATCAGGACAGACAAAATGAAGAACTTTGCACAATGTATGGTTAAAAGACAGAACTTGCTACAAGACTGAGCAACAGCTAGTAGCTTGGGTGACTTCAAAAGGGGATCAGACACATTCCTGGAGGATAAAGCTATCAATGGCTACCAGTCATTATTACTATATGGTACCTGCAGGATTAGAGGCAGCATGCCTCTGGATACCATTTGCTGGTGAACATGAATGGGAAAGTGCTATGATGCTCATGTACTGCTTGTGGGCTTCCCACAGGCATCAAGCTGGCCACTGTGTGACAAGAGAGCAGGACTAGGTGGGCCTTCCGTCTGATCCAGCAGGATTCTTCTTACATTCATCTGACTGCCCACCTTCACCTGCACAGCAGGCAAGTTCAAATGCATCACATGGCTCAGTGATTCAGGCTTCCTGCCGTTTAAGTGCTGGGAGAAGTGGATGTAGGCATGACAGAACCAAGTGTGCTTCAGGCTGGAGATTTGTACCATACCTCACAGGGTTGTCATGGGAATAACCAAGATAAAAACCAGATTTTAATACACTGAAATGTAGTGAAGGAGCAATGAGTAATAATGACGGGCAATTATGATCAACTTCCTGAAGCCTTCAGGTAGAGCTCTTTTATTTCTGTAGAGCCTCTTTTCAAAAGCTTGATTTTGCAAGTGAACAGTAGAAGCATTTTAACAGGCATTAGTGCTTGGATTTCATTCTCTCACAGAAAGTCCCAGGAAAAAAATGGGATCATCTGGCCGTTTGGAGAGACATGGTTTGGGCAGTGATGGAATCCAAGACTGACTGAAGAGGGAAAACAAGAATAATGTTCTCCTGCATGTTTGTCAAGTTGCTCAGGGGGCTAAACAAGGGCTATCACACAACAACCTCACAACAATCCAGTGAGGTTAAGCTAGCCCTGCCTTGGCCAACATGTTGCTCTCAAGATGTTTTGGACTGCAACCCATCACTCCAGCCAGCAGAGCCATGCTGTTTGGGGCTGATGGGAGTTGTAACAGGTTGGGGAAGGCTGAGATATGGTTACTGACCCATCACCACCCTGTAAGCTTTCTGGCGCAAGAAGGAATTTCAGCCCATGTCTCCCTCGTCCTACTCCACCACTGCTTATCACCCCAGACCATATTACCTTCTGTTTCATCACCAAGGGATTGCAATGAATAGAAGAGCTTCCTTACATGGAGTCTTCTTAGCCAAAGGCTGTGTTCCCTCCAGCTACCCACCTTCCTTGACAATGACGTTAACGGAGCTCTGGCTCTGCAAGTTCCGCTCATCTTTGACAGTCAGCGTGAATTCGTACGTCCCGACCTCAAGCCCAGTGACTGTGGCGATGCTGCTGTTGGCATTTTCCAGTTTCACACCATCTGGGCCCCTGGCAAAAAGCCCCAAAAGAATCAGCATGCAGATGTCAAACTTTTGCACAGAAAAGAAGAGGAATATTCTTTGAACACTCTGCGAAGATGCTAGGCTCCCAGGTGCACTGGGCTAGACCAAGATAATTCGTGCTGTAGGCAAAGCATTTTTTATTCTTCCCTGTATCTTGTTGTATATTACAGGGATAGGGTACTGCTTTCTCTTCAGTTCTCATGTAATGCCAAATCTGTCCAATTCACACTTTCCAAAACAATATGAGAACTGAAACACAGACATCCATCAAAATCCGCAGACATTCAAATTTTGCAACCTAGTTCTCAAACCAAAGAATGTTCACAAAAATGCAAATATTAGAGGACAGTATGCATAAAAATCAATATATTAGTGAAAGTAGCATACAAAAATGCAAAACTGTATGCAAAAATGTGGTTTTTAAGGGGGAAATTCATGCTAAAATACTGAGGATTTAGCTTTAGTTTCATGAGGATTTTTTAAAAAAACAAAATTTCACAACTTGCTGAAGAAACGTGGGAAAATGAGCAAACTGAAATTGAGAGATTATTCCATTCCTGTTCCTGATTACAGCCCCTCTTCTCTATTCCATACAAGTGAATGGAATGAAAAAGCTTTCCCCCTATTCACTTGTATGGAATACAGGGGAAATGAGGTGTAAATAGGAAAACTAGGCGGGGGCACAATTCCTCCCCCCCCCCCCGCCCCAATTTGATTAGTTGGGAGCCCTTGAATTCTCCCATCTTAAGGAGGCACAGCTACTGCCTGCTGGGTTAGGCTGGCCTGGATAATAGTGGTTTTGTTTGGTTTTTTAAGATTCTACATGCACTATGCATGTTAGGGTATGATACAGCATAGTTCTGCATTATCATGTGCAAGGTCATGTGTATGCAAGAGGGAGACAGAGAAATGTACCGTGTTTTTTCCCAAAGGAAGGATGCAATCTTCTGATCATCTGAGCTCTTGCTGCCATCCAGAGTGGTGCTGTCCACAGGCAGAGTTAGTTCTTTGTCTGGACCAGCATCTGCCTTGGGAGGCTTATTGTTTTCTGAGCAAAAGTTCATAAAAAGAGAGATATAAAGGCACTCTTGAAAGGAACTGGATGCTTATGTGGAAGGTGACAGACAAGCATAGTTCACATGAATATACAAAGCAGCCTTGAAGCAAGTCCATCTAGCCCAGTGTTACCTCTGCTGATTGGAAACAGCTCTGCAGGATGTCAGGCAGGGGCATTCTCCAGCTTCCTCCTTGAGAGCCTTTAATCACAGAGATTGGGAACTAAACCTGGGACCTGTGTTAACCTCTGAACTACAAAACCTTCATAAACCCTCAGTGAAACAGAACCAAGGACGTTCCCACACTAGAAGGGTACCCTGGAAATGCCATGCTTTGTTCACTCATTTTCTATGAGGCATATATATGATATAGTCATTATACTGTTATTGTCCTGTGTTTCCCCCCGTACTTTTCCTATCTTTTTTTCAGACTTCAGGAAATCTAATCAGTGTGTGTACCAAGATTACAACAGCACCAAAATCTCTATAGGCATAGACTGCCTACATGAAACCCTTCAGGGTTTTTTTTTAAAGGGGTGTGGTTTTGACTTTGGCAATAACATATTAGGCTGGAAAACCTATTGCCATGCATTCATACTTCGTTAAATCTTCACTATTAGCTTTTCAGTTAGTGTCATTTTATCAGCATGCTTATTTTTTAAGTTGCACTAAAACAATCTATATCCACATTAACGAAAAAGAATGTTAGTGCAAGATTAACTTCAAAATATTGTGGTCAGCATCATTTTAGCAGTGTCCCTGCTCCAACACATTTAATTAGCATTAAGATAATTTTTAGCCTTAAAAAAATTAAAGTAATGACATAGTAGAGCCTAAATAAGAAAGGCTTAGCAGAAAAATGGAAAAAAAAACCCCAACCACACAATACAACTACCCTGCATGCTCAACTAAACGGTCCTTTCTCCATCTACATGGCTTTATCACACCAAGTAGTGTGGAAGATGCACAGCTCACAAACTATAGGAATCCAATTACAATTGTGTTTGTAGCTTATTTATCTATTCCCTCATTTCCTTTCTAGACCGCTTTATATTTTTAAGGGGAAAAAATCAAAGTGGTTGAAGATAAAACATTATCTTTAAGATTTCAAAATAAAACATTATCTTTAAGATTTCAAAATAAAACATTATCTTTAAGATTTCAAAATAAAACATTGCTAAAGAAAGTCAAATATAAAGCTAACAATAGAAGAGCAATTATTAAGCCAGGCATGGGGAATCTTCTGTCAACCCTAGCCACTGGGCATGCTTGCTGGGGCTGATGGGAGTTGCTGTTGAGGAGCAGCTGGAAGGTCAAAGGTTCCCCATACCTGGATTAGGTATTACTAGCAACCACTTGCTTGGAAGCATCCTAACACTCCTCACACACTAAGGCCAATGCATATGCAACAGCATAGTCAATGATTAAAAGAAGGTGAGTGGGCCACAGAATTATATGCTCTCTGCCAGATTCAAACAGTGTTTAAGAAATCTGATTAAGCAGGAAATCTAGTTAAGACATGTGGCGGTGGAGATCTTAACCACAAGAGATTTCCCCCAGCTTAAAAATTGCAGTGTCTTCCATTCTGGATCAGTTTGACAATAGGTTTGTGTCTCTTCACAAAATGGAAGCTCACAGGACTCAGAAATCAGGCTGACATTTTCATAGCACCACACAAATCAAAGGGCATACAATCCAGAAAACTGCAAGACTAGCTTTCTGCTTGGTCCAGCAGAGCCTTTGACTTTTTGCTTTTTCCTGAATAGCAATTATCTGTGCTGTACAGCAAGCTGTGTTTGAAATTGAAGGGAGTGGGTGGCACTGCTATTTGGGGAAAATAGGCTTTACAAAAAATAAATAAAGGGAATGATCCAAAGTTACGTGCTTTGGAGTACCCACTGGTCTCAATGGTTGAAATCAATGGTACCTATACATATGTTCTTTTGTCTGGATCATGGCCTGTCTAGAAGAGCAGCTGGCTTATTTTCAGATTGTCCCAGTGTTGGACATGATTAGCTACCAGACATTTATCTAGGTTCAAGAGAAAACCAGCTGCTCTCCATCAGCCCCACACACTGGCTGCACATACACCATATATTTAAAACACATGACTTCTCCCAAATAATCCTGGGAACTTTGTTAAGGGTTTTCTTAAGGGGTTTGGAAACTATATCTCTTTGATGGCTAAACTACAGTTCTCAGGATAATTTTTTTTTGGGGGGGGGTCATGTGCTTTAAATGTCTGTGTATGCAGTCACTATCTCTTCATCCCTCTTAACCCTGGTCCCAAATATATTAATGTCAAATACAGGCTTCTCATATTTAATGGGGGGAGTTTAACACACAAAAACCCTTATTAAGCGTACCGGGTTGCACAATCACTGTGACCTCAGCAGTGGACTGGTGGCCAGCAGAATCCGTCACCGTCAGCAGGTAGGTGTAGTCACCTTCACGCATTGCAGAGAGCTGCAGAGTTGAAGTCCTCACTCCCTTGGAAACAACAAATACCAAGAATTTAAGTCCTCATTCACAAAGAAAGAAAATAAAAGGAGGCTTAAGAAAGGCACCACTCATTGCAAAGTTATATAAACCAGTTTCAGGTGGAGTTTTTTAAACAATCAAGTGGTTTATACATTTTGTGAAAGAAATAAAATTATTTAGAGGATACATGGGGCATCTCCTATCTAGCTACTGACCAGCCCCAGATGTGGTTGGCTTCCACAAGGTTGCTGCAATATGTGCCCTCCAATTATGCCTTGGAACCATCCAGTAATTTATCTACCTTTAGATGCTTGGGGTTTTTTTGGTTTTGAAAAAACAAAAGATGGGACAAGAAAGAGATGTGTAGGTCATGCAGAACCAGGAGAAAGTAAATACAGTGATACCTCTGGATGCGAACGGGATCCGTTCTGGAGCCCTGTTCGCATCTTGAAGTGAACGCAACCCGCATCTGCACATGCCGCAATTCACCGCTTCTGCGCATGACCTCATTTTGAGTGTCTGCGCATGCACAAGCGGCGAAACCCAGAAGTACTGCATTCCGTTACTTCCGGGTCGCCGCGGAGCACAACCCGAAAATGCTCAACCTGAAGCAACTTTAACCCGAGGTATGACTGTAAGGGGCATAGATAGCCAACATGCCCCCTCCCGATGATGCTGAACTACAACTCCCATGAGTCCTAGTCAGCATGGCCAGTGAGAATTGTAGCCCACCAACATCTGGAAGGCACCATGCTGGCTACTATGCCTGGAACAGGGAGTTTTTCCTCCCTTTTTTGTAACACTGGAGCCCAGGATCATCTAATGAAGGACTACTATCCACCATACAATCCTGTCTAAGAATTGAGCTCTTCACTGTCCCCTCAGCTATTAAGGTTCCAATACGCAAAACAGCCTTTTCTGCAGCAGCCTCTTGCCTCTGGAACTCCAGGCCAGGAAACTGGCATTGCTTCTTCACTGCTTGGGTTTAGGAAAGCAGTTACAACTTTTAATCACACTTTTGTGCATACTTTGTTTATTTATTTATTGCAATTCTCCTCTACCTTCTTCTCCAGGGAGCTGCAGGTGGTGTACGTGGTCGGTCCCCCCTCGTTTAATCCCCACAACAACCCTGTGAGGTAGGTTAGGCTGAGAGGCAGTGATGGGCCCAAGATGACGCTGGACAAATGGGGATTTGAACCCTAGTCTCCCAGGTCTTAGTCCAACATGCAAACCACTACACCAAACTGACTCTTCTTCATAGAATTGTAGAGTTGGAAGGGACCCCGAGGGACAACTAGGCAAACCCCCTGCAATGCAGGAATCAGGAATATTGTTTTATTGTAAGCTACTTTGAAGAGTGTGATATAAGCAATTTTATATAAATGCATTTATTTATTTTTACACAACAGATAGGGAAATCACTGCCACAAGTTGTGGCTGCCAGGTTGGGAAAGGGGGATTAGACAAACTGACCAAGAAAAATGCTAAGAACTACTAGTCACAATGTCAACATAACACCTCCAGGATCAAAGGCAGCATGCTCCTGAATATCAGATACTGGGGGGAAGAGGTGGGAGAGTGCTACTGCCCTCATGTCCTGTGTGTGGGCTTTTTGATATACATCAGGCTGACTGCTGTGGGCTAGAAGGATAATACTAGAAATCCAACAGAACTTAATAAATGACACATAGAAAGAGCATGTACCCAAAGCGCATACAGCAAACTAAGCTCAGCAACAAAATTAGCCGCCAGACATGACAGAAGGGACATGCTCTCACAAAATTACTAGGTGTACAATGTTTGAACACACACATTGTATTTTTAAAATGATGATTAGATAAGTAATTGTTGGGTCAGAGGTGTTTACAGTGATTGAACAAATTGATTTACATGAACTTAAACATAATAGGAAATGTTTATTAAAGTGTGTTGACTCCTCTCAAGACGGAGCCCCAAGATCTTACCTGCATCTCTACCACTTTCCCTTTGCTGCTGGGGCTGAGGGACCATTCATAGCTGACAATGCCGTGGTCATCTGTGCTCTGGTTCCCATAGAGGGTGATGGAGTTTTGGGGCAGAGTGATAACTTGGTTAGGGCCTGCATTCGCTACGGGTGGGTAATCCACAGCTTTGTTCACAGTCAGGCTGGCAGTGGTGGAGTTGCTGGCACCATCCGAGTCCACCACGGTGAGGCTGAAGAGGAAGGAAGGAAGAGAATTCAAAGATCAGTACAGAAAGGGAAAAGCTCAAAGGAAGCCACTGGCAGAGAATGAGTAGTAATCTCCCCCCACCGGCCCCAAAGGGAAGGGAAGAAAAGTAATGGTTTAAGCTGAATATGTATAAACCTGGGGCGGGGTGGGGTGGGGAGACAGATGCCTGGAACAACTAGGAGGGAAACATGCAAATATCAAAATGTGATGCTATTTTAAACAAATTTACAACATGCAACTATATTCAAACACATCCATATTTATAACAAGAAAATAAAGAAATCACAATGCCAGATACACATTTACAGACTCAAAGTCTATTCACAAATAATGATGGTTTTATTGTAGATTTTTGTAATGTTTGTGTATTTTATTTTGCCATATACCTTAAAATATTATTTTATAAAGTGGTACAAAAATCACCTTTAATAAATAAACTGAAAGCTGTGTCAAACAGACCCAAAAAGTTTATTTTTAAAAATCTTCTCTCACTCTTGCCGAGTTGAGAATTCATTCACCAATAGTAACCTATTTTTGACAGAGCACTGGTTTTACACATGTAAGAATAATGTACTTTTTTCCCCAAATACTGTATTTTTTAAAAAAATGATTAGACATATCATTTTTTAGCTTTTCTGAAGAGCCTCTTTTCACATGGATAAATTATTCAGGCAAAATCACACATGACATAATAAAATTTCTCTACACAGGATAACTAGTGGCTGAAATTATGAATTCATTCCATTGAAAAGCAGGTAAACTGAAAGTTATATGTGTGGTTTATATCTGAGGCAACCCATTCACATGTGCCAGGGATCAAGTGATGAGTGTAACCAGCTCTCTCTTAGGCAATGGCTAAACAAATAAGAGAACTGGCTCTGACCAGTAAACTGCGTTTTGTCTGCCTAGTGTGCTTTAGGCAAGTTCACAAAAACAAAGAATGGCTGTATCTATCCCATTATTGCTGAAGTCTGACTGTGGGAAGTATTCTGCCTCTGAAAAGTCATGTCAGTCTTCTGCCACTCACATTTAGTAGCTCCTATTTAATGAGTCAACTGAATCCGTGTTTAAAAAACCTTGTATGCTAATGGATATCATCACAACATCCTGTGACAATGAGTTACACAGGCCAAGTTGTTTTCTCGTTACTTCCTTTTGTTTACCTCTAACATACTGTATGAGAAGTGGCCCTACAGTAACGTATTAAGTGCTCCTTGGGAAAGCACTGTTAATTAGCGAACTGTGTGACAAACATTTCCACAGAGTCTCTCTGTCATTTATTTCCATTTACAGATGGGGGAAAGGGGAGGTTGGAGCCACATGGCAAGGAAAAGGCTTGGAACTGAAGCAGCAATGATAACACTAAAGCCCCTCATCCAGAAGCTCTCTTTATAAGGGCCATAGGTTAGTAGCAGAGCCCATGCTTTGTGTCTAATGGGTCCCAATCAGGATGACCATCAAGCTCTGCAGTTAAAAGGATCTCAGGTCAAAGTATGCAGTGCAGTGCTAGATGGACCAACAGTCTGACAACTTCATATGTGTATCTCTCCTGGCCTCATTACTGCTGATAAGGTCAATATGCATGAATAGCCTGTCATAATTTGCTGGGGCTGTGTGGACAGGAGGGAAACACATAATTTACAGTTCAGACAATTTCATATTATATGCTAGTGGGTTCTGTAATTGCTCTCATCCAATGTCACCCACATAGGACCTGCAAGCTGGAAAAACATAAAAAATAATAGAATGAGGCTACCCACAGTCCTGCTTGCAATTAAACCAATTTAAAAGCTGGTATTCACTGTTGAAGCCAAAATATCTGTTTAAAAGACTCTCTAAATGCATTAACAAAACTCTCTTCCTAAGGATTAAGAGAGCGAGCGAGAGAGAGCTTAGCAACTGAGATAATCAAATGCATGTGCAGACTTCACAAGTAAAAGCACAAAAATCTTTACAACCAGAATTTGGATCATTTGCTGTACAGCACACTCCCAACTTCTTCCCCTTCTTAAAAACAGGCTTGTAATAGGGGCTGTGCAAGTCATTAATTATTTAAAATCATTGGTAAAGAAACCGAGGAAACAGACCTTTAGAGGAGGAAAGAACCCAGTTCACACATAATGCTAAGCCACACTGGCTTAGAAAGAACAAGCAGGTGTGTGGATACCCAGAAGGAAACTCGCAGCTGCTTTTCCCTTCTCCAGGTCTTCCTGCTGCTACACAACCCAGGGCTAAGCCATGGGTTGGATGAGCATTACATGCACACCTGAGCTCTTGGGCTTGTCTTGCTCCCAACCAAAACCCAAGCAGTAACCAAGGCTGACCACTTGTGATTTGTTTTGAGAAGGCAAAACGCAAGCTCAGATTCACACATAACACTAAGCCAAACCACAGCTTAGGTCTGGCTAGTGTGGCAGCAGGGGGATTGGGGAGGACCAACTCAACCACAATTTACTCTCTGGGTACCCAAAAAACTTGTCTGAATGAGGATGAAGCACTTTACTGGCTCCCCAATTCCCAGGGAGAGAACACAAAGCTGAGACACACAGTTTAACCATGGAGTATACTAAAAACGATTTTTTGCTAGGCTTAGCAAATACAATTTCATTTTTCAACCTACTGAATATTTCAACTATGAAGCAAATGGCAGACACACACAGAATCACCCTCATTCCATAACTATAAAGCTGAGGTCGGCTACACTAAACCAAAAGAAAATTGAATTATTACAGGAGAACTCTTCTTGAGCTACCTTGAACCTTTTATAAAGGAAACTCATCTAAAGATATCCTTACCCAATATATTCATTTTCAGATGGGCCTTAGAATAATCAATTTATTCCTGAACCTTTTATCCCCGACTAAAATCACAGTGACTTATTCAATAGTTATATGCCAGATCCTATTTTTATAATGAGAGAGGGTGAAAAAAATGGTTTAGAGCTGGGGGCAAAATAAGCTCTGCTCTATGGCACATGCATTCCTTCCACTATCTCCCCGCCCCCAATTCACATTAGCTGTCTAGTCACACATAACAGTTTAAATTGGGAGATTACAATTTTATGAATATAGCAATAACCTCAACCTCCATGGTCAGGGAAACTATAAAATGTGACTAGGTAGCAAAAAGTTGTTGCTGGTTTGTTTTGTAAATTGTTTTTTTTAAAAAAATGATATTTATTAAAGTTTCAAAAGAAAAAGATCACATTAATAAGAAATTTGACAGTAAAAAAGAAAAATACAAAATACAAAGTACAAAAAAGAAAAAAAAAGTTAAAAACAATTCCATCTTTTCATCACTTCTTTTACATTTACTTGTTTCCCGGACCTCCTCATACCTCCCTCTTTTGTATTCTAATTCAATTTGTTAGTCCAGCGATTCCTTTCCCTCCTATTTAATTCTGATCTTTAATCTTGATATATTATAACATTAAATTTTTAGATATTAAAAACCAATTTTTCCATATTCTTTTATACCATTACCGCTAGAAACCGCTTAACTTCAATCCGTCATCATTCTAACATTCATTAATTTTGCAATATTTCTGTAAGTAGTCTTTAAATTTCTTCCAATCTTCTTCCACCGACTCTTCTCCCTGGTCTCGGATTCTGCCAGTCATTTCCGCCAATTCCATATAGTCCATCATTTTCATCTGCCATTCCTCCAGTGTGGGTAGATCTTGTGTCTTCCAATGCTTTGCAATAAGTATTCTTGCTGCTGTTGTGGCATACATAAAGAAAGTTCTGTCCTTCTTTAACACCGATTGGTCGAAAAGCCTTTGATTGCTTGGAGTGGAAATACATATTAGCAGTACTAACTAACATGAAATTTGGCCCCAACTTCCTACAAATCCTCAAACAAATATACTCCCAAGCCTCAGCAAAATGCAGAACTAACAATATGGATTCTAACACTATAGCTATCCAAAGAGGCACGAAACAAGGATGCCCACTGTCTCCCTTCTTATTTATCCTGGCTCTGGAACCCCTAGCAATCCGCATCCGAGCAGCCACAGACATCAAGGGAGTGGAAATAAAAGGCAGAACCTATAAATTAGGGCTCTTTGCAGATGACCTAATGGTCACAACACCAGACCCCATAAGCACAGCAACCTCCCTAATCAGAGAACTCAACACATTTGCAATGGTGTCGGGCCTACAGGTAAATTTTACAAAGTCAGAAGCTATGTGCTTCAACACCCCTCCTCACACCCAAAAAGAACTCACGAAGGTCACCAAAATAAAACTTTGCCACACCAAGTTCAGATACCTAGGGTACAAATAACCAGAAACCTCAATAAATTGTACCTCCACAACTACAAGCCCCTGTGGCGACAAATTAACAAAGACCTAAAGAGATGGAATAACATGAACTTCACTCTCTCAGACAAAATAGCCATGATCAAAATGATCACACTCCCAAAACTAACCTACCTATTCCAAACCCTCCCAATCTGGATCCCCTCAACCCAACTTCGCAGTTGGCAGAGAAAACTACACTCTTTCATCTTCTCACATAAAAAACCAAGAATAAGCCCCAAATACCTGCACCTCCCCACCTCAGAAGGAGGATGGGAATCCCAACATAGAAGCATATTACAATGCCAACCAAATACGCCACATAATCCCATATATACTAGAAGATGAGACAAAACAATGGGTACACCTAGAGAGGGACACAATTGAAAACACCTGCACCACAACATACCCACTCCTCCCAAACAAACTAAAGAAAATTCCCACAACACTTAACAGGTACACACAGACCATGCTCAAAGCATGGAAAACACAAATAGGCAAACTATCCCCAACCCCATCCCCACTAATCCCCCTGGCGTACCACCCATTATTCCACCGTGCAGCACAAAACCTCAAGATAAAAACCTGGCGAACCAAAGGCTTATATCGCCTAATAGACTTTATAAAAATAACAAACCCTTGTCAACACAAGAAATACAAGACAAACTAGAAGACACCCAAATGCCCTGGTTAACACACCACCAACGTCATGCCCTCTTAAACACCCCCACCGGAAACTCCGCAGCAACTGGGCCCCTGACAACCTTCGAAAACCTCCTCCTAACAACAAAGGGAAACGGTAAAGGGACGGTATCCGCAATATACAAAATACTACTCCAAAATCCTGTAAATCCCCTAGACGCAATCAAAAAACAATGGGAGAATGACATAGGTTATGAGATTAACCCCACTCAATGGACCAGAATGTGGTCTAAACCCCCCTTTAAATCCATATCAACGAAAAGAAAAGAACTCACACTGAAACTCACCTACAGGTGGTACCTAACACCAAGGAAACTAGCGCTAATACACCCAGGAACCTCACCAAAATGCTGTGGAGGTGCACCCTCTCCAGGCACATACCTCCACATGTGGTGGGAGTGTCCCAAAATCCAACTATTCTGGACAACAGCCATACAAGAAATATGTAAAATAACTAAGCAAGTAATAGACATCACCCCAGAATTGGCCCTACTAAACATCTTCCAAGACAACAATGCCCATTTACACCACAAAGAACTCATAACCCACCTGCTCTCAGCAGCCAGAAACACCATAACCAGACACTGGAGAGACCTGTCAGGAGTAAGCATGGACCAATGGTACCAAATAGTATGGGAAACAGCCCTACTAGAAAAATTAACTAATAAACTGAAACTGACACGGGGACAAACAGAAGAAGACGCCTTCACCCGGTATGGCTCCCATTTATCACATACACAGCCCAACAGGACAATGACAATAATCCACCAACAGCATACAAATCAATATGGCTAACCTGATCCAAAACACCCACCCACCTCACTCACACACGAAAACAAAGATCACCACAGCCAATCACAAGCAAACAATCACACCCTAGGCCAACCCCAACCTCTCTCACCACCAAAGGAACACAAGTGAACAACACAAGCAACGCTGACACCAAACTCTACATACATTAAACATAATAGAAACACCGCCACCCGACCCCACCCCCATCCATCTTCCCTCTCTCCACCCCCCCTTTTTCTTTTTTCTTTTTTTTTCTTCTCCCCCTAATGCCTCAACAAATGAAACGGATTTGTAAAAATGTTACATGGGAAAAAAAAATACGAGGCACTACACTTCTGTAAAACAAGAAAATCCTTAATAAAATATTAAAAAAAAAAAAAAAAAAAAAAAAACACCGATTGGTCGACTATGCCCAGGAGGAAGGCCTCTGGTTTCTTCAAGAAGGTATATTTAAATACCTTTTTTAATTCATTATAAATCATCTCCCAGAAAACCTTAATCCTTGGGCACGTCCACCAAAGGTGAAAGAATGTACCTTCAGTTTCTTTACATTTCCAACATTTATTATCAGGCAAATGGTAGATTTTTGCAAGCTTGACTGGGGTTATGTACCACCTGTATATCATTTTCATAATATTCTCTCTTAGGGCATTACATGCCGTAAACTTCATACCTGTGGTCCATAACTGTTCCCAGTCAGCAAACATAATATTATGTCCAACATCCTGTGCCCATTTAATCATAGCAGATTTCACCATTTCATCCTGTTAGCTGATACATTGTTTTCCTTGGCTCACGTGAACAAAGGGTTATCTAGCTGTTTAACATACCAAGGTTTGTGTCATCTATCTTATGCTTTAGATCTAGAAAATCCAAACCAGAGGTATGATCCCAGGTTCTTTGTCTTACCTGAATGTGTAATTTCCTGGCACCAGATTGGTCAGTTTCAGAATCGCAGTGTCTGCCGATACCTTCTCCTCCCGTAGAGGCCCCTTCAATTCTTCCCAGTGATAACTGACTATTTTGTCATCATCAGTACTGTCTGATTCAATGAAAACAGATAAAGCCACATTCCCAGTAAGTTCAGGAGGAATTTAAATCTATTTACAAAGTAGCTTAAGGCCATACTACCAGTATAGCAACTTTCACAAGGGACAAGAGTTAATTTTATTTTTAAACTGTGAAGCTATGCTTAATGTGCCATGTGATAAAAGAAAGAGTATTTAAAATATGAATGATATTCCCCAGAAATGGGATTGCTGAATGAAAATAGGAATGAACACACTGGTAGAATCCATGCACCATTAATGTAAAGGTCCCAGAGTCTATCCCACATCACTGCAGCAAAAAAAGTCTCAGGTAGAAGGGCTGAGATTCTGGGGAGCCACTATCAGTAATACAAGAATAAGCCAAAGTAGGGATGGGAAACCTCACACTGGGGGGGCCAAACGTGGCCTTCCAAGCCTCTCTATCTGGCCCCCTCCTCTGCCACCCCCTCATTAGAGTGGCTTTGCACTCTCCTTGAGTTTGCTCTGCTAGAATGTGTCACTGAACTCTAAAACTGCTTCTTGCTGGCCTGGAGAAAGGGGGGGGGACACTAGCCAACTGTACAAAGGAAAAACACATGTCTATTGCTCTGCTTATTTTTGCCTCTAGCTCTGCCCACCCCTGGCATGTGGCCCCCAGAAGGTTATCAGAAGGGAATGCAGATCTTAAGCTGAAAAAGATACCCCAGCCCTGAGCTAAAGGGACCAGAAGGCTGATTCTGTGCAGAGCAGCTTCATATGTTTAAACAAGTCCAGTGGGCAGATGTTTTCCTTGTACTGAGTTGAGGCTGCCCTAGTTTAACTAATGCATTTGGCAGTGAAGACCAGTAGCTACAAATGTACATGTAGATGTGCCCACAGCCAGTGCATGATTTGAACTGATCCTAATGATACATCAGCCACATTCCTCTAGAATCCCATTCCTTAATAGACAGTCTCACTCGGTCTCCTCCATGACTTTTATCTGAGGCTTGCAGGAATAGATTGCACTAGTTTTAGTAGGTACTTACGGCTGCCATCAATGACTGTTGAGGTAGTTGGTAGTGAGATCTCCAGGAACTGGGGTAACACAATGGCCACAGGGGGCTGATTCACTCGAGGCTCTGCGATGAAAAACAGAACTATTACAGCCACCATAGAAAGTTTCCATCCTAGTCAACTGCAGCATTGTAGCTAAGAGATGGAGCTGTGAATCAGGAAGTCCAGGGCTCAAACCTCACCTCTGCCATGAACTCACTAAATGGCCTTAAGGAAAGATGGCCTCTCCCAACTTCAGCAACTACACCCCCCCCCCTTTTCAATTTGCAACATGGGATAAAACAATAAACAAGAAGCACTTTGAACACTTGCAAAAGCAAACAGCTACATAAACTGTACATATTAATATATTATTGAACTTGCGGTTAAAACTTGCCTTAGAAATAGGACTCCCTAGGTGACTTTAGGCAAGTGAGCTCACTGAGCCTCAACTTTCCTGTTGCAATATGGAAATAATACCACTAACCTATTTTACAGGATTGTTGTAAGGATCACAGATATATAGCCGGTAAAGCGCTTTGAGTGCTTACAGGAAGTGGCACTTTCCACACGATCAATAGAAGTCACTGCCTTCCCTCTATTGCTAAAGTACAGAGTTCTGAGGAACCTTGGAACATATTAAGCCCTGCTAGCAGCACCTAGTGGTATTTGGAGGAATAACTATGCCAAGAATAGTAATACATAGTTTGCCTTTCTTGCCACTGAGGAATCAAAACCAGCTCTCACAAAACCAGAATGAGGAAGAAGAGGAGTTTCTTAGTCAGCAGAGACCTGAATCTTGGTACTTTCCATTCTAGAAGTCAATCACTGGCTATTAGAAGCCATTAGGCCTACTTCCTCCCTTTTCATGGGCAAAGGAGATCCAAGAGGAGATCTATGGCTGGTGAAATACAGGCTCTTTTACTTGGATGGCCATTCTCATCAATTATCTTTGTTTATATGCCATTGTGACATTCTGAAGGAAACAGTGTTGGTAAAGGTATTCCTACCACTCCCTGGGAGGGGAGGGGAGCAGCAGCACCTGGCTGCTAATCCTATTTGGTCTACTATTCTACTAGATCAAATATCTCCAACCATTTCAGACACAGGACCTGCTTTTAACTCAAACATGCATTGGAAGACTCATTTTTTAATCTTTCATTTGCATGGTGGTAGTGCTCCTATTGTGACCCACCTTGGGTCAGGCCACAACCCACTAATGGATCCCGACCCACCAATTGAAGACTAGATCAATGGTTCTTAACGATCAAGGCCTCCTGCTATGTTTGCAGCATTTGGCTTGGGCTATGCTATCATAGCACTATTCATCTGTTGGGAGGGGAAAGCACCCAGACTGAATTCAGTCAAACTCCCTCTAAGACACACAGCAGGGGAGGCTAACCTGCATTTCTCCTGACATCGTTCAACTCCAGCTCCTAGCAGTCCCAGCCAGCATGGCCAATGGTCTGGAGTGATGGGGGGTGTAGTCTAACAATATCTGGAAAGGAATAGGTTACCCACCCTGCAGTGTTTGCAACACAAACCATTACTTGGGATAGAGGGGGAGAAATCTAGGTGCCCTCCCCTACCAATCCAAAAACTCCAGGTCAATACTATTGCTGTTATAGTGAATTTGGTTACCATAGAGAAAAGCCTGGCTTTTGAGTCAATTCAAGCAGCTCCTCTAACATATCAGGTAAGCACTGATAGCAGAGGCAGTGGTGAGCAGCGACTTCATTGTCTGGTGACAATTGCAAACTGGCAGGCAGAGAGGCAACCCTGGCATTAATGGGAAAATGGCCAAGTGACAAACACCAAGTTTCTAGATTTGCTGACAATAAACACCCACACACCTGTTGTACCCAATGTTTCCTAGGTGAAGGATAGGAAGATGTGAATTTGGAGTATAAGCCATTCAACATCCTTTAACGGGTAGGAACAACCACCCACTCCTGGCACCACCTCTAGTTCTTTTAGGCACCAGGCGAAAGCATTTTTTTCACCCTGGCCCTTAGATATTAACTTTCTCCTTATCTTTCAGTGGGGTGAAGTTGGATTTGTGTGTGTGTGTGTGTGTGTGTGTGTGAGAGAGAGAGAGAGAGAGAGAGAGAGAGAGACTGACTTGTGTAATTTAGGATGTTTTACCCTATTGCATCGCTTCGAGTGCTTTGCTTCATTTTTTGAAAAAGAAACAAATAAACACAGTAAGTAAATAAAATGAAAATAAACATTGAGACTAAGGAGAAGGAAGCTGACTGCCACTGCTGCCACTAGGACTGGTTGTAAATAAGAAGCAGACATGGTGGCCCTGGACTGAACCAGGCAGAGGCTGGTGGGACAGTGCCACGCTTGCCCTAATGGACTAGCCTCCACCGAGTCAGACATTTGCGGACTCCTGTGCACAAACATCCTGCTCTCACAGTTCCCTGATTTTGCAGTCTTAAGTGCACTGAAATAAAAGAAAAACCTGTATAGCCAGAGATAACAGTACAGTGCGGGGAGGGGACAGAACCAAATGGGTACATAAGGGCAAATGAACAATGCTTCTATCCTATGATCTTCCAAAAAGTATTAGCCATGTCCAGCCTTGGTTGTAGTGGTAGCAACCAAATTTGGAGCAAATTCTGGCTCACAATTTGGCCTCATTTTGGCTCACAATTTGTTTTGGGAAGTGTGAATTAATCACAAAGCTATGCCAAACAGGAAAGAAAATGGCAGCCACTAAGAAGAGCACTCCTGATGCTGCCACCCACCATAAAAAAAGACAAAGAAGAAGGCAAAAGTTAGTGAATGATTTTTCACATTCTGTTTCACCCAACGCCTCCCTCCCACTGCAAATTTAGCCAAAATTTCTCCCTGGAGAACTTGCAGTCATTTTCCTTAACACACACACACACACACACACACACACACACACACACACACCCCAGCTGTCTTGCATCTCAAGCTTTTGTGGAGATTGCTTTTAAAAAAAGGAAATATATAACCTACAAGCTGATAAATGTACCTGCTAAGCATACCTGGTTTAACTGTCACATTCACCATTCCTTCTCCGTGAGCATTATCACCATCTACTATCACATTGAATTCATACAGGCCAACTGTGAGCTAACAAAGAAAATGAACAGGGCACATTAGACAGGGGGTAAGGCTGTGTCTACCTGCCCCCACCCCTACATTAGACCCCCACAATGATGTTAGTACCTCATAGTAAGCAACTAACATATACTGAATTATGAGAGACATGAGCCATTGATGCCATGTGCTCAGATGAGAATAAACCCCTTCTCTATTTGGACCCTAACATCCTGCATTACCTTGGCCTTGTGCTCAGGGGGAAGTGGGGATATTTTATTTTTTTTTGTCTACTGTGGACTCAGCAACGCGTCAAAAGCAAGGAGAGGATGTGAACTCAAAGCCTCTAACAGTTTCATTGTACCTGACACCCCAGAGAACCACTCAGAGTCAGACAATATGTAGTTAGATGGGCCGATGGTCTGACAGCATAAAGCAGCTTCAGTACATATATATGTTACACACTGTAACATTTGCTTCCCCTAACCTTGCAACATGACAGTGCAAAAGCCTACAACTGAGATTTTAGATTTAAGAGTTGCCAAAAAGCAAGAGATTCACCTTGGATAACTTGAGAATCTGTGAGTGCTGTCCTTCCATCTCTCCACTATAATCAGTGGGGTGTGTGATCAGCCTCCAGTCATAGGAGTAGCTAGTCCCTAAACAAACAAACAAACCAGAGGTTAGAAGAGCCCACTATCAAAATAAACTGAATGAGAAGATCAAAGCAGCTCAGAAGCTTAAGCCTTATATTGAAGATTCAAACTAATGTCACTTCAGAATACTAAATTGTGTTATATCCACATGTGGTGGTCCAGCACATATTGGGAGTGAAACTGATGCAATAGAAAGGAATACTCATATAAGCTGAGATTTGAAAAACAAAAAATGAAATATTTTCATACTGATTATGGCCAGAATATGTCATACTAAATCTTGGGAAAGAATGTCCATTCCCATCACTGCAGAGTGGGAAAGTAAAATATAAGAATATCTTCCTATATGAAATCTAATTAACTGCACCAGAATTGAAGGAGGGAGACTATACACTTAAAACATCCCATCCAAAAAAACCTTGCAGTGTAAGCCATGTATCGAATACTGCAAAATAAAACGCACACTTCCACTGGCAGAGGAACGGGGGTGCGGACCGCCCCCGGCACCACTATTCTGGTAGGGTGCCATTGCGGCGCCCCCCCGGACACGCGCTGCACCCCCTGCGCATGTCGAGCGCCATGCCCCCGCAGGCAGCGTGCCATGCCCCCAGAATGTGTGCCACACCCCCAGGATGCGCACCACCACCCCGACTGCTCTCCACCCCCGGTAGCGGAGCATGCAGCTTCACCACTGCACACTTCCACCAACATAACATGCTTCTTTAGCGGGCTGGAAATTGTTGCTTATTCCAACTGACCATCTATATTTCTATTGGCAAGGAAATTTATTTATAAATAAAATGAAATTAACACCAAATATATATAATAGTATTTATAGAGCCCTTCCAGATGACCTGTTTATGTAGCATTACTCCTGATCTACTTCTACAAAGATAACATGGTAGTTAAACTATGACTGTTGAGCATGTACTCTGATTTGTTTACAGGATAGTTATAAGAAAATGACCATTCATCCTGTATTCATTTTGATTTGCTTTTGGGGAGTTTACACATCTTCCCATTAATAATTCATTCATCCCACACTTTTCAGTGTATTTTGCACTTACTTAACTGCAAAACTTTTTTAAAAAGTGGATTTGTTATTCTAGGGCAACAGAGCACTTATTCCACCTTAATTGTGAAAACTTAATTTGGCATGTGCTTTAATCCCTCTCACAAAATGGTAGCAGTTGGCACCCAAAATATATACAGTTGAGTCAGTTCTATGCCCATCTAAGCAACCATCTCTGCTCAGGAAAGAGCCTCCCCTGAAGTCTTGCAAATATTTGCACTCTCAGGGTATATCAAAAGCTGTTCAAAGTGGAATTCAGTGTGTGGAGGCTGTGTACACACAACTGGCTCAGAACTGGCCAGTGTATCTTGGAGTTAGCCCAGATGAACTTCTTCCTGCCATGCTCATGTGGACAGGCTTTACCTGTTGATTACACCAAGCAGGTTTGACTGAGCGTTTCCAGCTTCATCGCCTATATTGAGCTGTCATTAAAGGAGCATGCATCTCTTCCAGCAAAACTAACAAGGTGGCAAACTCAGGTTTGCTACCATGTACTATGTGCCATAGCCCCCTGGCATCTACCTTTAGGTGGTGGAGGCAAGACGTATGCATTCAGCTCCACTTCATTCTTTGGCAGTGTCACTTCAACACTGTCTCCAGCAGAAACTGCCAGTTTCTTAATAACTGTAAGAGAGAGAGAATTAAAAATTAAAAGACAAGGCCATTTCACATGTTACATTTTCCATTCATATACCCAAATGCTTATGGAAGAAGTATTGGCTCAGTTTGGATGTGATGGTAACTCATGGTTGAACTTTGCATGTAGGCCAGCCCTTCATTTCCTCCTTGCAACAGCCATTTTGTTATACAAAAAGGATATGACATTGTCACTTCAAAAAGAAGGGGAAAGCATGAGAGAGTAGAACACGTTGAGAAGTATGTATTCATTTTAAAAAGATGCAGCAAGGCACGACTGTAAGGAGGAGATCAAAAGCATCCACCTTCCATTCTGAACTAACCAGAGATTCTCATTATGTCCAGTGCTTTTTTCTTTTTTTTAAAAAAAGGTTAGGGGTACTCTCATTTTCCTACTCATATTGAAATACTGCCCCTCAATGAAGCCAAACTTAGATTCACAAAATGTTTAGGGGTATGCATCCCCCTGCGTCCACCCAGAAAAAAAGCACTGATTATGTCTAAACTGGTTTGTTTAAAGTATGGCTTGATCCTGACATGTCTGAACAAACTAGAGTCCTCCACCCCAACCCATTTGGATACAATGAGAAACTCTGGTTTGTTTTAAACCAGAAGCAAAAGCTTCCAATCTTCCCTCACCCACACTAAGTTTAAGGGTTGCTGCTGCTGCTTGTTGTGCATGCCATGCTAACCAACACTTTTAAACCTGTTACATCCAAAAGGGGCCATTGTGTGAATGAGTCATATGCTTCTCAATTAACTACAGCAGTTTTCAATATTCTGGAGCCTGGAATACGGAAATGCATGTTTTTGATGAGAAGCAAGCTGTGCATAATAACCCCGGGCACAGAAATTGCTTGCAGAAATCATCCCACGTCTCAAAATTAAAGTGCACCACAAGCCCTTAGTTGAAAAAGCTTTAGAAATAACAAGTTACAAATTATTAAACTATAACATCCCATCCTTTAAACTTAGATGCCATTTGAGATTTTAAACTGAAAGTGAATACAAACCAACAGAATCATACAGAAATTAAACTCTTTGCTATCGTTCTGGAAAATTCAACATGCACTTTGTGCTCTGTACTGAAGGGAGATGTCAGCCAGGTGCAGTAGAGATGAGAAGAGCTGAATCAGATATGTTTCAGGAGACAATCTAGCTGCTCTTTCATAAACTGAGAGGGACAAGAGCCTCTATTTATTCAACTGTAAGCTTAGCCTTTTGCAAACATAGCAAGAATTTGCACTATTCTGAGCTGGAAACTGAGAAGCATTTTAAGGTCCAAGAAAGTATGCAGTTCCCATAAAATTTAACTCTCTGGTACTTGTTGTACCTTTGCATATGGGGTGGTATCACTGAAATTGATCTTTATGCTTTGTTTCAATTTTAAAAGCACTCCAGTTCTTCTCAAACAGAAATGAAATGGCACTTTAGCTTCAGAATAAGGGGGGGGGGGGATATGGAACAGCAGAACACCTTCAGAAGTATCTACAGTGGTACCTTGGGTTAAGTACTTAATTCATTCCGGAGATCTGTTCTTAACCTGAAGCACCACTTTAGCACAGAAATTGTGCCGTGCCGCCGGAGCACAATTTCTGTTCTCGTCCTGAAGCAAAGTTCTTAACCCGAGGTACTATTTCTGGGTTGGTGTAGTCTGTAACCTGAAGTGTATGTAACCTGAAGCATATGTAACCTGAGGTACCACTGTATTTAAACAACAGAGAGGGAAGTAAAACATATATGACCATAGACCATATATAGAGTTAGAACACTAGTCCCTCAAACTCAGTATTGCCCAAACTAGTGCTAGGGATTCTGTGGCCCTTCAGACGTTGGACTGCAGCTCCCATCAGTCCTGCCAGCATGACCAATAACAGGTGTGCAACAACATCTGGAGGGCCACCAGTTCCCCACCACTGGTCTACACTGCATGACAGTGGCTCTCTAGTGTTTAGACAAGAGCTTTTCCCCAGTCCTACCTGGAGATACAAGGGATGGAACCTGGAGCCTTCTGTATACAAAGCATGAGCCCTTCCCTCAAAATATACTTGGAGAAGAGGTATAGCATGGGGGCCAAGACTGAGAGTTGCAAAATAACCTTACCTCAACCACAAACCCACTAGGTGACTTTAAGCAAGCCACACAGTCACACACACTCCACCTGAGGAGAAGAGGACTGGCCTCCTTTACAGGACTGTTACAAAGGTTCATGAGATAAATGAGTGTGAAGTTCTTTGAATACTTGAAATGTGTTATATAAATGCTAATTATTATAATGATGAGCACAGTTGAGTGGTACCAGCAGCCACCATTTTCTTTTCTTTTCTTAAAAAAATGAGTTTTGTTTTGTTTGCTGCTGATTGACAGAAACTGGGTGCAAAAGAGGAGAACCAGGCACAGCACAGGTGTGCAGAAGGGAGAAATCTGAAATTGATGCTTCTGGGGGCTTAGTCATCAGCTGTTGGTATGAAAGTCCCAGCCAGGCTGCCAGAGAAGGAGAATGACAAAATCAAAATGGGAATGTAGAAAACAGAGATGTAAAATGTAAAAATTAAAAGATCTCAAACTGAAGGTTGAAGTTAGAGGTGGGTCCCAGGAAAGGCAGCTGTATATAGTTTTTTGTAATTATTTATCATTCGAGGCCAAACACTGTAAAACGTTTATTTCACTTAATCAAGCGATGCACAACACAAAAGAGTAGCTGTGGAAAAGTGCAAAACCAGAATGATACGTTCCTAGATCTTGTACAATATCCCCAAAAGGTTTTTTTTCCTCTTCCGAACTAAGATAGCAAGATGTGATGTTTTAAACAAGCACTAGAAGAAAACTTCTGTCAAAACATTTGGCAAATGAACAGTCAGATTAAGAGCTGAGATTGTGGAACTATGCCAGTAGCATTTAAAGGCAGGCTTACAACATCTCCTCAGCCGACAGTTGCTCTTACCTGGCGTTGGGGCAGCAGTGCTGGGTTGCACAGCAGGGTTTGTTGGAACTACAGGATTACTATCATTGGTGGGGGTGCCAGTTGGAACAGAAGTAACCAGCTGCGTTTCCCCCATACCCTTCCCATGAAGACTGCCAGAAGTTGGAATGGCATCCTCCAACGACAAAGGCTGGGTAGAAGTGTTGTTGGATGGCTCGACTTTCTCAGCGTTCGCAACAGGACTGGGGAATGCAGCTGCCAGAGAGGGTTCTGAAGTGGAGGCTCCAGCAGGGGCCTAGTGAAAGCAAAAAAAGGAACGTGAGAAAGCATTCACTGACCACAACATCCAAAATGACATTTACAACTTAACTCTTATCATCACTAGTCATGAAAATTTCCCCAACTGTGTCAGAAATTTCACCCCATTCAGAGGAAGAGTAGGGAAGATGTAGTAGTAGTTGTAGTAGTAGTAGTAATAGTCATTATTAATGTATGTGTCATATCACTTGAGAAAAACATGTTTGGCTAGAAACAGCTGGTGGTGCGCACACGTGCACAAATTGCACATTTCTGGACAAGAAAGAGAGGGGGAAATCAAGTTTCTGGAGACCGCATGCTGACTGGAGAAAGTGCATACTGCCTGGAAAATGTGCAAAATGCAATTGAGATATGCACACTCCCAGGGGCCTGTTGAAGGTTAGGTATCCTGACTAGAGAACGTATAAAATTATGTCAATATATGCACATTTCCCAAGGCCTATTGCAGATTATGTATCTCGACTGGGAAATGTGCATAATTCCTTCTTCATGGAATGATTATATACACTTGAATATGCACAGTGGCTCGTTATGCACATTAACCACTCAGTTTACATTCCTTTAAATGAGGGGTAGGCAACCCAAGGCCCGTGGGAATCAGCATGTTTTTACATGAGTAGAAAGTGTCCTTTTATTTAAAATGCATCTCTGTGTTATTTGTGGGGCATAGGAACTCGTTCATTTCCCCCCCAAAAATATAGTCCAGCCCACCACATGGTCTGAGGGACTGTGGACCAGCCCATGGCTGAAAAAGGTTGCTGACCCCTGCTCTAAATTGTAAAATTCCTTCCCTACAGAGGTGCATGTCACACCTTCACTATACAGTTTTCAGCTAACACTTTATCCTGGCCTTTGCATGCCTGAGAGGTATGCTTTAAATTGTTGTAACCTGCCTTGGAACCTGTTGGTGAATGGTGCAAATAATAATAATAGGCCTGAATGCCAAAAAAATGATGGGATTATGCAGAAGTAAATTAACTAACAGCCTCTGCCACATGAGAGAACTGGATGTTCAAAAGGAGCACATTGTGCAAACAGAATTTCTGGCTTTATGGTCAAGAACTTGGGTGACAAGTCCATTTTGCTCACTTATAAAATACTCCCACTTTTGAGTGCCGTGAGAGTCTAATCAGACCAGTGTAAACAAGACAAGGGGACAGACGAAAACAATTTCCTTTCTTTCATAAGAAAATTCCTTCCCCAGGCCCTCCTCATTCCGGTGGGTAGCCTGAGGCAGCCAGAACCAGACATTTCAGCTTTAACTGGGCTTATCTGTATATGCTACATATTTTCCTCAGTTGATCTTTGTATAGCATAAGATGAACATTTAAATCACAGCACACAGAAATATCAACAACCTGGACTTGATTTTCATAACAAACAAAAAAATCACAGCACACTTTCTTGTGACAAAGTCAAATGGCAATACTTAAAAGGTCAAGCTAAGGGTGAGAAATTCATTACTTCTGTTATCATATACGTTATGTAATTTGGGAAGGAGAGTACCAGCACATAAAGCTCTGGATTTGAACTCTGGGCTCAGGGCCCCAGTTATGAAATAATTTTGGGTTGCGGTGATGTTCTGTTCAAGATGTGGTACCACCTGAATTTAAAGGGAGGATCAAAACACACATTCAATTCATAGATGGAGAGAGAGACCACTGGAGACTATTGGACTGAGTCAATCTGGATTATGAAATGTTGGTGACAGAACTAGTTATCTGGTTTAGTATATGAATTTGATAGGCTGGTAATGTTCATATCATTTTGGATCAAGCCTTGTTTCCTCAAGAAGCTATTCTCTGGTATGGAATGTTAAATGAGATTCTGAAGGTGTACAGCCCGGAGACCAAGTGCCCCAAATCACAATGTACACTAACTTTATTTAATGTTAACCCATGGCTCTCAATGAAACTCTTGTTGATTGTTGCAAAACTACAAAGCCAGTTGCTTTGAAGGCATATGAAAAGAAGTTCTTTCAACATTGCAGCCTCATATGCAATGAACTCTCATTTGCTATTGTGAACTATGTGATGAAATCATCAAATCAACAAGCAGGCTCATGTTGGCAAGCAACTTCTCCAATTGTGTAAATCAATTATCTCAATTATTTCTTGCACAGATTTTATGTGGTGGTTGCCTCCTCATTCAGACCCTCTCTTCTCCTGCATGGTTTTTTTTTGTTTTTTTTTAGTGGGAGATTGAGAAGCCTTTCCACAATAGCTGATGTTCAATGGGCTGGGGTGCACAGCAAGAGAGATCAAACTACATTTCTCAGGATGTAATATACAACTGTGTGCACATTGCCCAGCACCATCACTGCACATGTGCTAACTATCTGGAACTCTCTTAAAACAGACATCTGTTTCAGAACAATCACCAAGAAAGCTTGCACTGAGCCAATTCAAGACAGGGAGCGCAGTTTGCCCATCAATAGTCTAGAAATAGACACAGGCACATACATTTTTAATATGTGCAACCTTTTCATATGTAACTGTTATGAAACAGTTCTCAAAATTCAAAGGTTTGTTACTAGCAAATTCTGGTTTCTTCCCTCTTGGTTCCTCCACATATTCTGCTGATGAACAGCCTTCTGTGTCAATCCCTATGTTTTTAGGGGCAGGGGGTCACATTCTAATATATTTAGAACAATGTTGAACTCTGATCACTCTGCAGAAGTCACAGGACCTAAATTTGCAAATGCAGCGAATATGATCCGTAACCAAGGCAAGCAAACACTGGCCAAGGATAAAGACACTTCAGCTACACCACAGTCGAAGTGGAAGTCAAGAAACACTAACCTTGTAAGAGATTCATTTGAAAAAAGCGCTTGCTTCTGCAAGCATACCACAGTGATGCAGCAGCAGACCCCTTAATCAACAGTGCTGTACTTGAATACTTCTCTTGACTAGTCAATCACTGTTGTCTGACTCAAATACACAGCATTGCGCTTGAAGACAAAGGCACTAATTTGGCAATGGAGCCAGGCTGCAACTTGGCACGTGGCAGACTCTCACTCACTCTCATGAGCATATGCCAATTTGTCTTCCTGAGGGGCTTTCAAACATTTTTAATATGAGCAGTAAATGTGAGACTATCTTCCCCCAACATAGTACTTCTGTTGTAGGGAAAATGCAGTGTGTTGGTATTGGCAAAATGAAATACCGTCTCCCTCACCAAGTGTGTTTGTTACAAGAGTTTGGATAATAGATACATGAACGTCACAGACAGGTCCACAGACAAGTGCGTGCAACATCATTATGGACATTACATGACACTGGTTTCTGTTCTGCCCTGTATTTGTTGCATACAGTACTGTTTTTATTCTGCTGCAGTTTGTCTTCCACCAAAAATTTCATTATTTGTCTTTCACTGAGGTGAAACGACATAACGTATGTAAAGTATTTAAATAATTACATAATTTAGGTTGCCATTATGTTATTCCATCCCATTCATTTAAATGCAAAGGGAACACAATGCAAACTGGGTGGCAGGAGCATAATCAGTTATGTATCGGTTGCCGACTGAAAACAACAGTGAATATCAATTATATTCACTGGATTGATTTCTGTTCCAGACACGGGACAAAAAAGTGAATGCTGATAATTCCTGCTCCTTTTTCTGCTTTCTTTGGAATTTTCTGACATCGTTAGACATCCCCAGTAATTAATAATTCCTGCCCTATCATTATTGCATCTCACACACAGCATGACTTCCCTTTCTTCCACAGCCCCAGTCTCATTATGTGGAGGTACACTGATACAGTTTATGTTTAATGCAATGTAGTGCTAAGAATAAGATGTGGTATTTTCCCCTTGCTTGCCTTACACAACAGCCGGGGTACACCAAATTCTAGTTAACATTTTCTCACTTCATTTCCCTCAGAACATTATTTGATCCTATGAGAATACGTATATGAGAATAAATCCACTATTTATCAATCAAGCTACAATACCACTATAAGAAGCAAATTATTCTAAAAATATGCCATTTCCAAGGGAGAATGCCAGGTTGGGACTGGGAGCTCTATAGCAATGCAGGAGGTTGCTGGGTGGCATTGTGTATGTCCTATCCCTTTCCCACTCCTGAATATCTCCCTGCAACCCTGAAAAGCACTGCAAGGCTCCTGCTTCTGGTTGACTGGAGCCCTGAACAGGAGTATGCCTGAGAGGGTGGAGATACACAGCAACACTGCCTGGCAAGTCCCCCTTTTAAATTACTATAAGAAGCAAAATACGCAGCTTGCATCAATCTTTAAATGTACATAACTACACTTAGATCTTGTAGGAGGACGTGGGTTGTGGGACTACTCGTGGTTGTGATCTTAAGATGGATGTTGTGCAAATTATATTCTGTTTTTCTTATGAAGATTTTTGTCCTGTGGGGACCTTCAGTTATTGCAAAACCTGCTTTCCATAACTTGGAAATCCAAAAATGTAAGTTCACCGTGAGAGAAATCACAAATGGGTCTATAGTGGTAACCCTAGGGAAGTGGCCTGGAATGGCAGCAAAACATCAGATTTTAGATAATTTATTTTTACAGCCTTAATTTTACATTCTCTGCTCAGCTGGAGCATTAGAAGAGAATCTGATAGCTCAGAGCTCAACACCCTGTTGTTGAAATCAGCAGGGAAATTAGGGACACATTACTATTTATCACTTAGGGCAAGCAAGAATCAATCTTAGCAGAGGGATTGCAGTGCAGTCTCTACCACACTGGATCACTTCCTGAGTGACAGTCTCTTGTGAGAGGCCAGATGGTTACGGTTTTAGGGAAGCATCATTATTGATGTATTGCTGAGACAGAGGAGCCAAACAGCAGTTCCTAAGTGACTGTTAAGAAGTCAAGGGCTGAGGGATAGCTGAGTCAGCAAGGCAAAGTTAAACCATGCGGTTGTTTTGCATGCTAACTAGGACAGCTCCAGGTTTCCTAGTCGTGTCCTTTGGCTCTGAGCCACATCCTGTTCCGCCAGGTTGGCAGTTCCCATATCACAGCTGCAATGTAACCTGGGACTGCAAAATCTGCAACCAGGTACATGAGAATAACAGCTTTCAAGAACCACAATCTACTGAAAACATACTAAGTTGAGCAAGGGATTTCTAAAAATGAGATAGACCCCACTGATAGGAGTTATATCACTGAGTTGTCTGCTATTATAGACTCTCTGTTGCACCCTTGCCTGGATGCGAGTAAAAAAGTACACTTGGTACACACCCCACACATATGCTGAGTTCAACCATTCTGTTTGCTGCACTTGCCATGAAGTTATAAGCAACCAGTTTTATTTCTAACTATGAAGGGGGAAGACTGGGAGATGTTTGGCAGCTCTGTGGCCAAGGTGCCTGGAAAGCCCTGGCTATGCAAGGCTAAATCAGCACTTGTAGCCTTTTGTGCTCCAGAACAGGAAAGGTCAGTGCGGGCAGAGGGGTGATCTCTAGGAAAAAGTGATCCAAGCAGCCTTGCCTAATGGTGCCCAAGCTGGAATGCTCTCCACCAGAAAATCCAGTGTGTGGGAGGTTAGACTTTCAGCAGTTGTGTCTAAACTGTAATGGTCCTCCCTCCCCACCAGCACTCCTCTTAGAAAAGGCATGTGAGTTGCCTTCAATCAGGAGTGTCCAAGGCAGTGTATTCCCTTCTCTGCCAGACTTTTCCTCTGTCTGAGGTACCTTCAAGCAGAGACATCCCAGCTGACAAGCTCTCTTCCCTTCCAGACTTTCTTAAGGAAAAAGCTGGGGGGGGGGGGCGTCTTCCAACTTCATTTTTTTACTTGACAGACATAGCTCTCCATCATCACAATTCATGGACATATTTCAGCCAGACAAAATTGTCTGAGAAGAGCATGGAGCAAAGCCAGTGAGGAGTGTGACTTGAGGAGAGTCCCAAGGGCTGTATAGAGAGGCCTGGAAGGCTGCATTCAGTCTCTGGGCTTGAGGTTCCTCATCAGTAGTGGGCTTTCAAGCAAGTCAGACCTATCAGTTCATTGATCCACAAATGCAAGAGTGAACCTTTGAGTACCATTTCTCATCAAGGCAGTTGAATGAACCTTTTAAAATTGCACTGAATCTAACCACTGTTTTCAAAACTGTTTTGATTTTTTTATTTCTTAGAATTTCCAAACAATGTCAAGTAGGTTGCTGCTACTGTGCAATAAAAAAGAATTATAAAGCATTTACACAACAGAATTTGGATTAGTGTTGACATTAACAATATTATCTTGCACTTACCCTCGTGAGGCCACTCCCAGCAAGGTCACTTGGTCTGTTCACATTATTGCTGCTGGGGGGAGATGAGCTTTTGAATTTGGTTGTTCTCAAGTCTTCACTGTTTGGCAGCAGGTTTTTTTCTGGATCAATGTGGTTTCTGGGAAGGTTTGTTTCTTGATGGGAAGAAGGAGCTTCCGTCAGATCATTATGGGTGGATTTACTATCCAAGGGCTGAGATGGAGCAGGATGGGCTACAGGACCTCCGCTGTTGGAGCCTGTGTCCCTCTTAAGAGAGCTTCCCCTGATGTCTGCCAAGTGTGCTCTGTAAGCCAGCAACTCTTTGAAGGACCTTCTCATCCTTGTTTTACTTTGATGTCCTTCCCTCCAGTCCAGCCACTTAGGAAGATAACTTCTCCTCTCTGCTGCAGGTTGGGCATTTATCGTATGCTCAGATCTCTTTACAAACACCAAGATCGAGTCAGTGGTGTTGGTCCAGATTGCCTGACACCAATGAGGCTTGATACAGTTCACCTGGATGCACATCTTTCCCTTGAGCCAAAAGGCATCACAGGTAGGGCTCTGACAGCAAGTAGCTTGACAAGATTGGACAGAGTGAAATCCTTCCAGCAGCTGGAGGTGAACACCATCCAGTGACCTCAAATGGCCTCCCTGGAGAGCCTTCCCTGGCTGGCAAGTGCCTCTAGTCCAGCTTGCATCTGAGCAAAGAGAAATAAAATGATAACAATTTTAAATAAGAATCCAACATCATAGATGTAATCCAGGAAATAATTATATCTGGGTTGTTGTTGTGTGTGGTTTTTTTTAAAAAAACCCCTACTTCATTTCTACTCTCTAGTAATAAACATAACTTATCAGGGGTGGGTGTCATCAGCATATTGATGGTACTTCACTCCAAATCCCCCAATGACAGCTCCCAATAACTTCAAAAGGTATGAAACAAAATGGGTTACAAGACTGGAGCCTGCAAAATTCCACAAAATAATTCCTATGGGGCCAAGCAGTAGCAACCCAATTATAGTCTCTGGAGCCAGACCTCAATAAAGAAGAACCATAGCAATGCACTATCTCTAACTCCCAAAATCATGTGATAGTCCACAAGGATACCATGGTCAATGGTATCAAAAGCTATGGTGCAGTCAAGGAGAATTAAAAGAGTCACACTCCTCCTGTCCTTCTCCCCAAACAGGTCACTGCTCAGGGTGATCAATGCAGTTTCCATCCCAATATCCAGGCCTGAAGCTGGAATGAAATGGATACAGAAATCTGTTTCCTTCAAGCATGAAGTTGCCCACCCACCCAAAATTAAATTGTTAGATGATTATGATCTAAGAATAGAAGACTAAACACCCTACAAACAGGAATCATGGGAACTACTTTAAATACTGCTTTAAATACTAATGGTTGCTTTAAATAGCTGCCTTAAATACTAATCTGTTTAATGAGAAGTGTCTTATCTTCAAACGATTACCATTTGTTGCCAAAGACTAGAAGATCATCTTGGCTAGGTCAGAAGTACAAGCAAAGGAGTACTGGCAAACTCATTCACACACAATTGTTTGTAAGATTCTCTCTTTCTACATTGTTATAATCTGACAAGGCTCCCTTGCCCTATAAAACAGCAGCATGCAGTCATCAGTGCACACAGTTCTGAACCAGAGTTGCCTTCTATAACTATGAAGTGCAAAACAATGAGAAGTTACAAGAAACTTAGGAAACAAATTGTTTGTTGCAACTTCCCTAATGGATGTTGGTTAAAGTAATAATTTCACTCAAAGAAATCTGTTATCAGGAGAACAGATCTGCTATGCCTACCTCGTCCAGGTCAGACCAGGGATGAGGAAGGTTGGGCCCAGGGGTCAATGTGGCCCTTGTGACTCTCCCCTGGCTATGTCCCACACTTTACCGGTCCTGCTCCATGCCCTCCTTGAGTGCTTTTGCCTGAATGAAACATCTCTTGCCTGCCTTAATGGAGAAGGGTTTATGTGCATGCATATAAACCCCTGGCTTTTGCATGGCTAGAATGTAGCCTACTGTACAAAGGAAAGAGTCACATCCATTGCTCTGCCCACTTTTGCCCCGGCCAATACAGGCATGTGGCCTCCTTTGGAAGGTTGCCCATGAGGGAATGAAGTCCTTGGGCTGAGTAAGGTTCCCACCTGTGCTCCAGACAATGAAAGAACTCTTCTGCTGCTCCTTGCCACAGATCTGTCTTGCTTCTTCTTTGCCTCTGCCTCACTGCACCCAGCCTTGCCTGCATTCCAGGACCTTACCCCCTTCCCTTGGTAGGTGCAGAGTCTGGCAAAGAAACACAGCTACCTTGAAAACCAAATGACTATGGCTGGGGGCCTGTAGTTCTGTGCCTGTGTATTAACAGCTCCAAGGTCAAAGATCTCCTGCAAGAACATATAGCAGAAAAGGACTATTTCCAATACAAATACCATCCATAGTAAAGTCTGCTCAAACGATTACAAGATTTCCCCAATGGGTGGGAAAAATGGCTAATACCACAAGGTGCCTGCCTATCAAATTTTAGCCTAAAGTGCTTTTTAATGACTGACTTTTACAGAGGAGTTTTTGAATGGAAACACAACAGAGCAAACATCTAACACCACTGGTAATGATGTGCTCATAACACTACCATCTGTTCAGGCCTGAAGAGCCCAGAACTGCATAGCACCACCCAAGGGCAGTTATGAAACTACATAAGGTGTGCTTTACTCCCATGGCACTGGAGTAGATTATTGGTTGAGATTCTATCCTAACTTTTAAATAGCCATACCCACACCCACTCTCATTTTCAAGATGTTGCAATAGGTTGGGGGGGTATAATAATTTTTAAAGTGCCAAAGCCCTTTTCAAACTATTCTTGAAGATCTGAGCTATCCTAACTCAAAGCATAATATCTGGAGGCCAGTACAGTGGTACCTCGGGTTAAGAACTTAATTCGTTCTGGAGGTTCATTCTTAACATGAAACTGTTCTTAATCTGAGGCACCACTTTAGCTAATGGGGCCTCCCGCTGCCACAGCACAATTTCTGCTCTCATCCTGAAGCAAAGTTATTAACCCCAGGTACTATTTCTGGGTTAGCGGAGTCTGTAACCTAAAGCATCTGTAACCTGAAGCGTCTGTAACCCGAGGTACCACTGCACATGCATCTGTGTGTGGAAAAAAATATTTCTACAAGAGTATGTCTGCAGTTTCCTTTTGCAATGGCAACTCTGAATGTCTCATGAAGTATCACTTTGGAGCTCAACCTTTGAAGGCAGTTTTCAGAGGGAGAATGGGGGCAGGATACTGCTGAAAAATGGAAAATGGAAAGCTTCTACATATAAGTGTTTTACAGGTACTTTTAAGTGGATACACGTACCGAGGCAACCTCCAAGGCCTGGGCAAGAGCCCCAGACTGACTTTTTTTAAAACTCAACTGTCTAGCCCTCCTAGAAAGGAAGTTATGAAGCAAAATGTGCAGGTACTCTTCTGCAAAATGAACCAGCCTGGCTGCTCCTACCTGACACTGTTCGATAGGTGAGTTTTTTGGATACCAGGCAATAGAAAATCTGATTTCAAGATTTTCTAACTGCTGAGGTTTCTTTGTAACCACTTTGGGCAGCTCTTGTCACAATAAATTTAGGTGGAGAAGGAAAAGGGATAATTTACATTGCAATAGGATAAAACTGTGGATGGTATTCCCAGCCCTGAAGTTGATTGATCTTATTAATTCTGTAACTGGTGTACCAAACATTTCTTGTGTTTAGTGCAATTTCATTAAAAAAAAGTAGTCCGGAAATGCTTATTATTATTACAGTGGTACCTCGGGTTACATATACTTCAGGTTACAGACTCCGCTAACCCAGAAATAGTACCTCGGGTTAAGAACTTTGCTTCAGGATGAGAACAGAAATCGTGCGACAGCAGCGCGGCAGCAGTGGGAGGCCCCATTAGCTAAAGTGGTGCTTCAGGTTAAGAACAGTTTCAGGTTAAGAACGGACCTCCAGAACAAATTAAGTACGTAACCAGAGGTACCACTGTACCATGCTAATGGATTTCATTTTAATACAATTGTCACCTGTTTTCACTCCATTGATTAGTGCCTTATATATAAAGTTCCAGGGATTAAGGACACTTTAAAATAGACAGCTAGCCTCTATGAGATGACTAGACTGGGAAAATAGGCCTCTGCAAGATTAATTTATAACCAGGTCATATTGCCCTGACCCTTAAGGCAACTCCTTGATTCACATGCTATGTTCTTAGCTGCTACTGTGCCATTAAACTAAAGGTTACCAATTCACTTAAGTGAATTAAGTTTAAACTCAACAATAGGGAGAAGGTAAAGAAGACAATAAAGCTATCACATCAGTTAAGGAATTAATTATTGCACATCAAAGACGACTATTTTTCTCCCATTATCTTTTCATGTTATATTTTTTTCTTTCTAAATAAACACTGATAATTCCCTCTAAATCTGAGATGTGCTTATTGTGCTTTTGTTTGAAAGCCTAATGGTTTTATATTTCCCTGGGAGTTCAATGGCCACAGAATTGGGTTAGGCTTTCATATACACTTCCTCTTATTTTAAAATGTTTTGACCCTCATTTTACCTCTTTCTTTTTTCCTTGCATGTTCCTGATGTAGCTCTTTCCTACCCTAATATTCTTCATCAAATTGTATGGCAGATTTACAATATTCGTATATCAACTCTGGATTTCATTTCTTCTTTCTACAGCACAGCCACAGTGTCTGTACTCAGATGCAAAACAGGAAAAATCTACTAGCCAGTTGGATGTCACGTTTGTGGTTCTTCAGTGGGTACTTTGTAAATTTCACATCTGTTCAAGTTAGTTACAAATACTGTGCAGCCTTTATCTGACATTCCAATCTCCTACCTGGTTTCTCGCCCAGTAATGGTCTCAATGGTCAGCCTTTCATCCTATTTAAAATATCAAATGCTTCCAAACTAAAAATTGCTATCCTTTCTTTGCTCACATCAGGAAAATCAGATGGTGATTCAAGCGTTTTCTGCATGTTCTGCCTTTTTTCATTTGTTGTTCTAATGGTCACCCATGTAGCACTAAAACATGGCTTATCATTACGTGTGAAATGGGCCACTGCATGTAAAGCATTCTGAATATACTAATATGCTCCAAAAATATTACACATTATTATTACTGGACCTAGAAGAAAATCTGCCATCAGAAGAGTTCTCAGCAATTAAGATGCTTGCTACTAACACCACAACTGGTCACTGAACAGTCTGGCATCTTTGTGTATAATGGCATGAACGAATCCTGAGAATAGTATGAGGTTTGGGGTGAAAAGCATGGGTGTTTTAAATATTTTGTTCCTCATTACATCCTGCATTGCAAAGTCTTGTGTTCCAAAATTCATTCTGTGTTTAGCACACAGCTGGACCTCATTTTGGAACAAAGGGGCTGAGCACCCAATACCACTGGCTGAGAAAGGACAGGTGTCATAATAACAAGGGCATGAGGTCCATAAAGCAAATGTTTCTGTGATACATTTTCCATAGCAAATTGGAAGTACTGGCAGCCTTAAAGAAAAATTAAAATTATGTTTGGATTGGTCTTACAAAATGTGGATTTAACAACTGAGGCTTTCCTCAAAGTTCACCTAAAAGACAAAAAAAATAAACAGGATCAAGGGGGCTGGCGGCCAACTTTATTGGGTTTATTTCAACAGATCCCTGGAGATCTCTTAGACAGGTTCTCAAGCATGTGTGTTTTTTTAAAAAAAATTAATTTGAAGCAAAGCACAGTTTAGATTCTTACTGAGTTTGGTATTGGTCTGGTGTGCTGATTAATCTGTCAAGCACCATAAAAATTCACTGCAGCATAATTAAAATAGGTGACACAGTATTCCTGCCAGCTTTGAGATGAAATGGTGGGAAGAGTCTTTGAATCCTGAAAACAGATGGGCAAAGCTGAATATTCCTAATTATGTTTTCTTGCCAGCTGCCTTCCATTAAACATTCAAGCTGTACTTACATTTTGTTTATTTGCATTTGTCTCCCTCCTTATCATATATATTAAATAAATCCTCTAAATGCTTTGCCTAGTCACCAAATGTCAGCCAAAGCAGACATCTCATTGTGCTTCTTAAGAATGCCCAAGCTTTGGCAAACATATAAGGGAAAGAAACCACATAATTAAGGAGCAGAAATTGCCTTGCGCATGCTTGCAGCAAGGGTAGCATCATTAAGCTTTTTATAGAGCTGAAGGATTTAAGGGACACTGGGGAAGAAGCCGTCTCAGAGAGAACAAGGGGCCAAGTTAGGTCATACACAAGATATGTAATGCCTTTCATGTATCTGATATTTACATATCAAATAGAAACCATGTTGGGGGTGAGAGATTGAGGCCATGCCTAGGGGTGAGGCACTGATTTCTATTCTAACCTATGTTTTCTGCATGCTGCACTATTTCTGTTCTGCTGCAGTTCAGCTTCCGACAAAAACGTTCTTTGACTCGCTGACTGATGTGACTGAATTTTACGAAATTACATTATTATGCTTTTCCACACAATTCAATTCAATGCAAAGGCCAATCAGTTCAATGCAAAGGAAACACAATGCAAATGAGAGGGGGCAAAATGTCACCAATCATGTATTGTTTGCAGACTGGAAACAACAGTGAATACTGATAATATTTGCCAAACTCATTTCTATTCTGAACATGAGACAAATTAACAAACATTCATTATTTTCACTCCCACTTCCACTGTAATTTTCCAATATCCATATCCATGCTACCAAGAGGTGGGTCGGTTGTTAAACCTTCTGTCCTATGCCATGGTCCCTAATGAAAATTGCTTCCCTGAAGCTGCTAACGTCCCTGGAAGAGGTCTCCATTGGGGCTAACAGAAGTATCCCTCCTGACATGAACTGAAGGTTTGAGGGAGATGTCACTGCTACTGTAGTGAAGGAGGAATGAAAGATTAGCTGCTCTCACCATATATCATGCTTCTGATCCTAATCTGGTTCCCCTTCTACCCCTTGAGGTTGCCATTTAAATTTTTAAAACAAAGATAGCATCCAAAGTGTAAGGAACTCTGCAGCTTGAACTGGGAATGCTTAACATGTGGACACTTGTCTTAATAGCTAATTTACCCAGCTTCTTCCTCTCTCAATTCCCAAGGAAAATAAGCACAAAGGGAGTAAGGGAGATAAATAAAAGATGGGGAAAGTCAGCCAGGAGTCGCTACACCACAAGAGGAAGGGGTTTTTGTATTTATCAGGGGAGGGGTAGTGGGAATTTTCTATCTAACTTTTCCTGCCTTTTTGTGGAAAGCCTTGAGAATTCTCAACACTGTTGAGTCAACAGGAAGAATTTTCTTTAACATGGAGAGGGTATGCTAGACTCTGAGAGAAACAACCACTGCTTTGAAAAAGATAGAACACAAATACTGTAGAATCAACCGATTACATGGCATGCCCCAGTTGTGCCTCAGTTACTTCCTCAAAAGTTTGCAGGGTGGGTCCTTCCAGAGAAACCTGATGACTGCTATTAAAACAGCAGAGCAAACAATTCACCAGCTCAAGAACCGCAAAGTATTTATTTTCTTATCCAAATACACACACTCATTAAAGGTTTCGTAACCCTTACAAGTGGCTCATGCAGTTTTCTTGCACAAGCACTGTGACCGCATGACAGCTAACTGAACTGCTTAAACAGCAACTGCGTAGGGGGAAAGCGTGCTCTGCTAAGGACCCATATCAGTGTCATCAAACAGGCTTTCTCTACACAAGGAAAAGTCAAAGTTGCTTGGATGCTTATGATGGAGCAGCACTAATGCAAGATTTTTACTTTCACAAACAGCAGTTGTGGAGTGGGGATCCAGATTGAGGCTCTGGTGTAAGGCTTAAACTCTTTGCCCCCTACTGCTGTCCCAATTCAGAACAGGAAGACAACATACCACCGAGGATAATGGGAGCTTCTCCCAGCCAAAAAATGCCCCAGGTGGTTTCTGAAATTTCTAAAATAATGTCAGCATACAGTGAAAGCAATTCCAAGATATTGTGAATTGACCATAGGTTTTTATCAGCATAATAGCTAAGAACATGGGCTGAGATGTCTTCATTTTAAACTCTCTGGTTGTCCTCTCATCAGTAAGATTAGAGCAAGCTTCCTCAAACTCGGCCCTCCAGATGTTTTGAGACTACAATCCCCATCATCCCTGACCACTGGTTCTGCTAGCTAGGGATCATGGGAGTTGTAGGCCAAAAACATTTGGAGGGCCGAGTTGAGGAAGCCTGGATTAGAGTAATACAATACTAGGCTAACATTACAGTGGTGCCTCGCAAGACGAAATTAATCCGTTCCGCGAGAGTCTTCGTCTAGCGGTTTTTTCGTCTTGCGAAGCAAGCCCATTGACGGATTAGCGCTATTAGCGCTATTAGCGGTTTAGCGGCTATTAAAGGCTTAAAGGCTTAGGGGATTAGCTGCTAAAAGGCTATTAAAGGCTATTAAAGGCTTAGCAGATTAGATAAAGGGGGGGGGAAGCGGAAAAAAAATCTCAAGACTCGCAAGGTATTTTCGTCTTGCGAAGCAAGCCCATAGGGGAATTCGTCCTGCGAAGCAACTTCAAAACGGAAAACCCTTTCGTCTAGCGGTTTTTCCGTCTTGCGAGGCATTCGTCTTGCGGGGCACCACTGTATCAGGTTGTTGTAAATATGACCATAAGCAGTACTTTGAGCACATAAAAATGCTGTTTAAGCATTATTTTTATTACATGTATTAACACAGACTGCAAGAAGATCAAACCTATCCTTCTTAAGGAAATCAGCCCTGAGTGCTCACTGGAAGGACAGATCCTGAAGCTGAGGCTCCAGTACTTTGGCCACCTCATGAGAAGAGAAGACTCCCTGGAAAAGACCCTGATGTTGGGAAAGATGGAGGGCACAAGGAGAAGGGGACAACAAAGGACGAGATGGTTGGACAGTGTTCTCGAAGCTACCAACATGAGTCTGACCAAACTGTGGGAGGCAGTGGAAGACAGGAGTGCCTGGTGTGCTCTGGTCCATGGGATCACGAAGAGTCGGACATGACTAAACGACTAAACAACAACACAGATTGTAGCCTACACTATTGACCTTATGTTTATTACAGGCTTAAAATAATGAAATCAGTTACAGATCTTTGATGTTCCAATGTAGCTCTCAGAAGTGAACCAGTTGCTGACTTCAGATTTACCACAGCACGTTATATTAGCCTTATGTTGCCTCCAGTTTAGAATAAAATCAATCAATTAAGAAAATGCAGTTTTGCCACATTCATGAATCTTTCTCTCTCAAGAGATTGTAACTAACTCTGACAGGGTAACAGAAAGAAAGAAAGAAAGAAAGAAAGAAAGAAAGAAAGAAAGAAAGAAAGAAAATTTCACTGCAACAATTTGCAATTACATTGTTGTTTGAAAACAATGGTGGCTTTTTAAAAATTGCATTGTAACAGCTAGACAATATCCACTTTCTATTGAATAAAAAGCTGTGTGGAACAAAGAAGAATTTCATTCTTCAGTATGTGAATATTCATTATGGAGGTGGGAGTTAAGAAGAGACAGACTGTGACAGTTTAGTACGCTGGAACAATAATTCTAAATTCCAATAAAGCAATTCTGTAAGTTATTTTAAAAATGTCCAAAATCATCCTACTACTAATCTTTGGGACTCATTTTGTTGTGTGTATAAAAGTGGGAACAGAATGCACTGAAGCAGGCATTTCAATGGCAAAATGTAGGTTTGTAAAGAATTACATTCAAACAAGGCCACAATACCTTCCACCATAGAAGCCTCAAGGTCCCCCTACCCACCCACACAAATTATCATAGCTATGGTTAAAAAGACAAAAAAAGCCAGTGGTTTTTGAAACACGACTCCAGTAGGTTCAGGAAACAGGAAACTAATCTCAAAAGAAGAAAAAATAAAAAAGAAGCAGATCCATTCTAACTTAAAACATGTAATGATTACTACTTACTTTCTACAACTAAAAAGATAATAAACCATGAATTTTAAATCAACTTTGTGTGACGAGCTGGAGATTAATGGTTCACTTACTGCACATCAGCTTAATCAAATTTCCCAATTGCCGAAAGTCAGAGACAGCATAGGATAATTATGGAGATTACAGCAGCAGCCCTGTCCAGAAGGCAGAGATTTTGCTAACTATAGTACTAACCCATTGAGATCAAATGCAACTGAGTCAGTATAAGTGATCCCTCTATTCTCTGAAAAAAGAGTAAATGTTACAAGTTTGCCAGCTGGAAGGCTTATTTTTAAGAACTTTTCAAGTGGCAGGGGGCAGTGGGGAATTAAGATAGAAGAAATCTGTGAAATAAGTTACTCTTTGAGAGGCCTTAACAAACCACTCCACTCCACTTTCCTGCTTTCATCTGTTTCAAATGTTCTTAGTCATTTTAGTTTAGTTTATTACATCTAATAAATAAAAGTCCCAATGTAATTTAGAGCAAAATACAAAATGTAGTAATAAACATAATTAAAAGTGTAGCCAGAGTAAAAAACAACAACACATCCAATGTTGCTGCTGTCCAAATGCACATGAAAATGAAAATAGATTTGATTGCCACTGAAATTAGACAAATTTGATACCAGGTTGCCTCTCTGGTAGGAGAATTCCATAAGTGGGAAGCTATTACAGAACAGGCTCATTCTCTCATCACCACTCTCTGGACCTCCCTTGGAGGAAAGCACACAAAGAAGGGCTTCATCTCAGGGTTCATATGGGGAGAGATGGTCCTTTAAGTATAGAGGTCTTGAGCAGTGCAAGATCAAAATCAGCACTTGTCACTGTTACTAGTTGTGACAACAGTAACAATGTTGGATCCAAGAGTACCTCAGACTGTGAACCAGCTCCTCAAGGGAAGTGTGACTCCATCTAGAACAGGATGCATTCCATCTGTCCAAATAATAGCACCAATAGTGCCTGTGTTTTATCTGGATTAAGCTTCAGTTTGTTGGTTCTCATCCAGTCCATTACAAAGGATAGGCACTGATCCAGCATATGCACCACCACACCCACTTGAGATATAAACATTGTGTGACATCAGCAACACACATCAAAACTCTGGATGGCGCCAGTCATTGGTTGATGTATGCCAGGCTGTATCAGAAACTGTTTTTTTTAATATAATTCTTATGTAAAACAATTTTACATATAAAATACTTATATCTTTATTTTATTGTGAAATTGCCTTGAGGTGCTTTGTAGGAAGCAATTCATAAAAGAAATAATAATGCTGATGTTTAAAAGCATGTGGGATAATACTGAACCCAGAAACCCCACATTAGAGACTCCATAGGACTGAGCAAGCACCATGTTCTAGTTTAGTCCCTGCTCAGTTTAGGAATCTTGCTGCTACAGCTTCTCTGATGGTAACCCCAACCATCACAATCTTAAAATAAATTATCAGAAAGAGAATTGTGAACTATTACCTGCATATGAACAGGCGGCATTGAGGCAGGCACACATGTAGAGAAGATGGAGATGGCCCGGGCACGTGGCAGCTTTTCTAAATAAGTATCCCAATATGTTCAGAGAGCTGGTGCTGAAATTGTCTTCCAACCTTTTCTCCATGGCCTTTGTGGGAAGACCCAGAACTCTCTAAATATAAAATACACAAGAGACACAGTTCACCTTCAGGAAAGATGAATTGAGACCACTTTATGCAAAGCAATTACATCTCTCATGTGGGTACGTAAAATAAAGCACACAGAGCAGAAGCAAATAGTTGCCACAGTTTACCATTAAGCCTCAAAGTTTGTTACTGAATTATTACAAAATTCTCCCAACTGTACCTTACGACACAACTTTTAGTATATGCCCATTTTCTGGAGAAATTTTGTGAGTTATAAAGTCAGTTAGCCTTTGAACACAATGAGATGAGAGCAAACCTCATTTATCCACAGCAGTTGCCCACACAAACCTAAAAAGCTGCCTTCTTGGCACTTGTCTACTGTTGGCCAGCTGCTTTCACACATTACAACAGACAGCTCAGAAGCAAGCTCACATTTGTAGCAGCTTCCAGGATTCAATTCAAAATGAACCAAACTCCAAGCAAACAGTGCTGAGCTGATGAATTTTAAACAGGTGGATCTTTTGGACGCTCTGTTTGAAAGCCTCCAGTGCAAAGGTGGAAGTCACTTCTACCTAGGGTGTGTTAAATGCCAATAAATACAGCCCAGCTGCTGAGCAGGTGGACCTAATATCAGCAATTGCTTATTTGCACTGCCTGGCACCAGTAAGAAAACAAAAGGGGAACAGGAGCTGCACAGCCCACACAAACAGCCAATGAGAAGCTTCTCATGCTGCCATTCACTTTGCTCTGATAGACACATAGCCTAGTGTTATTGGTGTAACAAGCTGTTGAGCTGTTTTGCTCTGCCAAGAGAAAGAAAACAAATGTTCAGATAGAGAATAAATTTAAAGCTGCAATCCTATGGGGACTTACCTTGGAGTAAGCCCAACTGAGCGCACTGACATTTAATTCCAAGTAAATGTGTACAGGACCAGGTAACTAACAGCATAACTCTATACTTCTTTACTCAAAAATTCAATTCAACAGGATTTATTTCCAAATAAGTGAGGACAGGATCACAGCCTTTTAAGTCCCAGTGACTTTAGACTGGTTCACTTAATTTGAACAGAACCGATTCTCTGTGTAGTGTACTTCTAAAAATCATCTCCAACAAATACGTTTTTTGTTTGCCTTCCTTATTGTGTTTTCTCAAGGGTTCTGAGACACATGAACAGAACAAAGCCCATAAAAGTCTCAAGTGGCTATGTTTTTCATGTCTCTAGAGAGTTTGCATAACCCCTAGTGAAGAAAAGGCCAGAGCTCTGAATTTCAGGTAACAAACTGAAAGTAGACAGACCATGACAGAGGGTAAGAGTTGTTCTATCCCTCAGACATGCACATACTCTCCTCTTTGGTGCAAGCCTATTTGCCTGGCAACTGTCGCCACGCAGACAGCAGCATTCAATTTGATAACTGTTCAATTGTCAATTGAACTGCAGTGGAACTAGAACCTCTTCATGTAACCTGAATCTATCCATTCCTCAAAGCAATGTCCATTCCTCATAGCAATGTCTACTTATCTATAATCTAATTAGCACAGGCCACTCCAGGATGCATCCAAGAATTGGAACTAAAAGGGAAGCAAGGGAGCCAGTATGTGAACAAAAGCAGTGCAAATTACATGGAGGAGCAATTACAATCCCAAGACAATTCATCATTTGGAGCATGCCACCAGTACCAATACTAATAGCCCAGCAGTTAGCAAGCTTTACATTTCCTGTGCTCCTAGTGGGCCCTGAAAACTCTACAGAGCAACAGATTCAAGTGACTGCTGGGGTCAGGACTCCCCCAGTGCCATGCATCATCCTAGGAAGGGAGAGATAAAGGTGTTCCCATATGACCTAGAAATATGATCCATCAAAGAGGATCTTAGGCATATCCTCAGACTGCACAAGGAAGGAATTGGCCATGCAGGAAGCAATGCAAAAGCCCAACCTTCTGCAATGCTGTATAAAAACAGAAGATACACCTAAAAACCCCTTCATAATGTTGCAGAGGATTCTAAGGGCATATTTCCAGGTTAGCAACTCTGGAAGAAGCATGACAACCTGACTTATACTACCTCCAGCATGGCTAAGGTACCCCTGACCGTTAGGTCCAGTCGCGGACGACTCTGGGGTTGCGCATGCTTCTTGCTCTATAGGCCAAGGGAGCCGGCATTTGTCCACAGACAGCTTCCGGGTCATGTGGCCAATGTGACTAAGCCACTTCTGGCGAACCAGAGCAGCGCACGGAAATGCCATTTACCTTCCCGCTTTCGAACTGCTAGGTGGGCAGGACCAGCATGGCTAGCACCAACTAAATTGTGTCAGCCAACTGCCCAGTCACTCTGTACCACTGGGCTGATGCTGAGATCAGCCTATGAGTAGCATCTAATCCCATGTTTTGCTCTGAACACCAATGAAGGATGACAAATTAAATCAAATTCCTGCTGTTGTGCAAGTCTTTAACAACACCCTTTGAGGAGTCAGGAACAGCTCAAAGTTCAATTCTGTCAGCTACAGGCCTGAAAGTCCGTTTCCACAGAACAATGAATAGCTTTCTGATCCAGAAGCTGTGAAGCAGGTTATTCAACTGCTATAATGAGGAGTTCTTACAAAAAAATTGGATGAAGTAGGCAATAGCAATTATGAATTGTGATCAAATGTCCAGGGAACTTTGAGAATTGAATGAAAGTTTAAACACCAGCTTGTGCTATGACTAACTGTAAGACATCCAGCTAGGTTTATTTTATTTCAGTGTCTGGTTCTCAATACAATGGAGAAAATGTGATGGTAAAAAAATGTGCCAAAGAGGAATAAAACTGCAAAAAGAACCCAAAGAAACATTTTCCTGTTGTCACTTCAAAGTGCCAAACTAGACAATACTGTATGTTAAATGCCTTCATGAATTTAGCCCTTTCACTCTGCACTGTTTTCTCAATTAAAGTTGCCCCCAAAGGAAAGCTGACATTGACACCAAGGCAGCTTCACTTCTGGAGCAAATAGCAGCTTAAATTCATTGGGACCATGACTGGAGTGGCAAGATGAAAAAGTGGACAGGGCTCCTCCAACTTTAATAGTTGTGTAGAAAAGGGAATTTTGACAGTTGTAGCTTGTCATGTAAGCGCTAACAGCGATGCATAAAAAATGGGGAAAGAAACAAGTACATTAAATGCTTTCACACATTTAACACATTGTATAGTTTGGCTCCAAGATTACACGAGGATCCTAGTAGCTACAGCTTTGCCTCCGTCTGATTTACAAATGACACACACATTAATTAGCTGCCCCTAAAAAGTGCAAATTAAGCACAGCCTTCTATATCACTATGTGCTCCCCAAGGGTTCCTTGACACAAACCACTGTACTCAGTGCTAAATCAAAGAGGCTATTAAATGCACTTACTGAATGGCATTTCAAACAGCTTATTAACAAGGTATTTCTTCTCAGTGAGCTTTCAAAATCTAATGCATTCCTACAGAATTTACAACTTGCTCATATTCAGTAGAATATAATACTTTCTTTATACTTTTTAAGGTACTTTCATTCTCCATTCTCCATCACAAATAAGATTCCAACCATTCAACTTAAGTGAATGTATTAAGCTGTTCTTCCCACTATATGCATGCTTTTAAAACTTTCACTCAATGTCTAAAAGTCTACTAGACACACTGTAGATCACTTGACTCAATCTGGATATATTTGCTACTTTGTATAGTTAAATATTCTATTTTGCAACAATGCTCTTGATCAAGCAGATTAACTAGAGCTGCAAAAGATAAGATACAGTACTTAACAGCATTAGAAGAAACATTTGAATTCAGGAGGTGTTTTCAAAACCAAAACAAGATTTCTGTGGCCAACTAGGTTCCTCAATTCTTCCTAACTTTCTTTCTTTCTTTCTTTCTTTCTTTATTTATTTAAAGGCCAAGACAGTAAATTTTTGCTACCTGAGGTTGAGGTTGACTTTTTCTCAGAATTAAAACTGGAGCCACATATTTATCTCAAAATTTCTACTTTCCCAGTTAAAATGAAAATTACCATCCTTTAGATGTCCATCTCCTATGTGTCTGTGCAAGTCACAGTTCTGCATGAGCCTCCAGATGGGAAAATGTCAAGACCAGAGTAATAACCCATACAGTCACACAACAGACAGCTTTGGTGGGTAATTTTGATATGTGTTTACATGAGAAATGATCCCATCCTTTCTCAACATGAAGAAATACCTGTCTCCAACTGAAGCTGATTGGAAGGAGGCAAAATCAAAGCACCAGTTAAATGCAGAGATATAATGGACAATCTCCTTTCTGGGTGGCTACTTTAGGTTCACACCAATCCCAGTAAACAGTATAGGAACTACCGGGCTAAGAGAAAAGAGATTCAAAGTAGAATTAACTGGTACAAAATTAGTAGTGAAAGATTCCTTAGCATTTATATACACAAAAGCTTCCAAACTAGCATGAAGAGTGTGCATCCTCAAGACATACATAAATAAAATGCATCCCACTGATACCCATAGGGTTACTAATCTCTACCCCTCAAAACTTTTATGGGGCATGAGCAGGCTCACAAATAAGAATAAATCAGGTTGATTTCCTCCTCCTCTGGAGAATCATGGAAGTTTTTAAAATACAAGAACAAAAGATTACAGAATTTATTTAAAACACACACCCTGCCAGAGAACTCAGCAGGAAGATAATACCTAATGCAAACAACTTGCAGGAAGACAATTTGATACTTTTGTATGGAGAGGACCAACAAACCAAATCTTTGCCCAAGCCTAGAATCAAGTCCTTTTCACTTCAAGCTGCTCATCTTGGGGTTAACTGAGGGTTTGGGCTAGGAGAGGGTCCTTAAAACTAGATTGCCACACTCCCTGGCACACCTACAAAGGCCTGCTACAAAAATAAGCTACGGTTTCCCAACTTCTGAGCATTGTTTCGTCCACTTATTGGTACTATTTTGTCCAGCTTCAGGCCACAAATCCCTCCCCGTGCCACTTTTATCTCTAGTATTTGCAGGAAGAGACTATGATTCAAGAGTACCTGTTTTGCATAGGTAAGGTTGCAGGTCCTCTCTCTCTCTGCTTAAAGGATTTAAACCGAAGCTGCACTTCCTACAGCCCCAACAAAAGTTTGATTTCTCTGTTCAGGACGGAAACCGCCACTCTTGAGTGGAGCCCAGCTGCTCCAAAAGCCTCCAGCGTCATCTAGTTACAGGATCTCCCTCGCGTCGCTTCCACCCCCCCACTGCAGCGCACTCGGCGCCGTCCAGGCAGCCAGGACCCCTTCCCTCCGCGCTGACCATGCCTGTCACAGGAAAGGACGGACAAGGCGGGAGGCCCCACCTCGGTCTCCGCCGTTCTCCACCCGCGCCCTACTTTCAGGAAACGCAGTAAGAGCGGCACTTACCAGAGGTGCATGGCGGACGCGGAGAGAGAGAGTCCTCTTCAGTTACCCGCTGAGGGTGGCGAAGGGTCCGCAGGCCCCGCGACTGGGAATGGAGGGGAGGCTGTGGGGTTGAGGGGGCAGCGGAGGAGGTCGTCGTAGGCTTGACAGGCTCAGGTGAGGGGAGGGGGCGTCACCCTGTCAGCATCCCCCCTCAGGGTGGAGGTCTGGGCGGCAGGCCTCGCGTTCACCATGGTAACCACGTAGGCCTCAGGCTCCCTCACCAGCAGCGGCCCCCCGTCAAAAAAAACCACCACAACACACCTCAGTGTCGGAGGCTATTCAGCACGCGCCTACAGACGCTTACACGTCAGCGCGACATTCCTAGAGCAGCAGCAGCAGCGGCACCTCACTCGACTCTGCCTAGCCCCGCCCCCATCTCTCTCTCTCTCTCTCTCTCTCTCTCTCTCTCTCTCTCTCTCTCTCTCTCTCTCATCCGGAAATACAAAAAGGTACGCCTTGCAGGCCAGGCCGGCCAGCCAATCAGGGCTCGATTGGCCGGAAACGGAAAAGACCGCGCGCCGTTGCTACGATTGTGAGGTTTTCGCGAGGGACAATGTGTTTCGCCCCCCCAAACACCACGGTTTGTTTTTTTTTAAAGAGAGGGGGGTTTGTGGAGGAGGTGGAAAATGTCCATATCTGACATGGAGGCGGTGGCTTCTTAGGGCACGTCTTATGAACTCGAAGCGCTATTGGCGAAAGGGGTAGTAAGGGGGAGGTTGATTGGTTAAGGAGCGCGTGCGTGGGCTGGTGAGGCTAGTAAGTGCGGGGGCTGAGAGGAGGTGAGACGGAGGTAAGAAGGGAAGGGGATGTAATATAGTGTTTTTCTTGCGCCAGTGACGGATCCCGCTTGGAGGAAAAGGTGAGTGTCGGTGTTTGCGGAGATGAGGCGGGTGGAGATTAGGGGGGTGGTCTTTAACGAGAGCAAAAGCGAAGTGCGTCACGTATGCAGGGGATGAGGGTTTGGGTGGGTGTCTGTGGGTGCGCTATTAAGGAGGGAGCAAATGCACCTCTGGCAGAGCCTGCGCCTTCTAGCATGCGCCACGCGCGCAGGGTCTTCCTAGTTTAGTGGCATTTCGCATCTCCCGTTTGGTGTCCTGGGGGAGACTTCCGGTCAGCTTTTGCACGAGCCTAGAGCTGCGATCCTAGCAGGATTTGCTTGGCGGTAAGTCCCACTGAATTCTATGAGGCTGTCGCTAAGGTAAGCGGGGTTAGGAATGCAGCATCGATCTGTTTTATGCCGCTGGTGCTGCTTCTGCAGCGGCTGCTCTCAGTATTTTTTTAGATGCGTTTGCAGAAAATGTTTTATGCTTGCAAACATTTTTTTTGTTTTGTTTTAATATGTTGTGAGCAACCTTGGAAGAGGGTAAGCAGTGAAATATTTTTGGACCTGCACTGGGTAGACCCAGGTGCAAATCCCCACTCAGCGACTGGCCTAGTGAAAGCTTTTTAGCTATCTCCTCTGAGACTAGGCTATTTCATGTTAATTCCTGAGGGCTTTTTGTCCAGAAAGTTCAGCTGAAGCAGAATGCTTGTAGGGGCTAGGCAGTTTTATCTTATCTCGCCGATTTTTCACCGGTTGCATTGGTTACCCGTTTCCAGACGGTTAGCCATGTTAGTCTGTTGCAGTAAAAATAGCAGAGTCTTGTGACACCTTGTGGCAAAGACTAACACTTATGGCGTAAGTGTTTGTGGACTGCAGTCTACTTTATTAGATGCAAGACTACTTTATTAGATGCACATCTGAAATTCAGGTATATATCCACATGGTTTAAGGAAGGAATTGTGCACAGTGTGATCGGAGAGAAATGAAATGCAGAAAGTACAGATATGCTGATAATTACATAATTGGCAATGGTAATTCACAAAACAATTGCAGATAATGCAGACAGATGGTTACTTATACGGTTCAAGGTTCAACTTGCACATAGTTGTATGTATGTACACCTTCCTAGAAGTATGCCCTGTTGATTTCTCCGGGGCATAAATCCAGATAAGGATTGCATTTGACAGACCACTTACGGTACTCCTATACGAACCTGCTCAGGTGCTAAGAGCAGTCCTGCATTCTGGTCCATCACAATGGTCAAACAGGCCAGTAGCCTGATGTCTGTATCAGGGAGAATGCCTTTTCAGTGGTGGCACTGTATTTGTGAAATTGCCTCCCCCCCCTTCCCCAATCTATTGTGGCTTTTAAGTAGTCCCCTTATTTTTCCAAGCTTTTTATAGATCTTATTGCTGCCTGTGTTTGACAAGTTGTTTTTGTTTAACATTTTTTATTTTTAGGCTTTCAGAGGGCTTGTTCTGCAGGGGCGAATAGAAATATGTTAATTGAGATTGTTGTGAGGATGAAATGGGAAGGTGGGAAAAACCATGTCACCCTGGAGAAAAGAAGGGATATAAATGTAATGAATCTCCACAGATGTTAGAATAGTAGGAGTGCAGTGTTATTAGGACAGGGGTCCCTGCCTCAGAATCCTTGCTATACTGGTCTAATCATAGATCACAGTAATGGATCGTTGTAAGCCATTTTCCTGCCTCCCCACCCATCCCAATCTGCAATTTGGGTATACTAACAATGGACAATGTTACAGATTTGTCATTGGTTTTCCTTCTTCCACCCCCCACTTCCAGCCCTGAATGAGTATTTTGGCTTACAGGATATGTATACACACCCCATCTGTGGGATGGGAAAAATAATATTGGAAATTTTATCATTCCTAGCCCACTGCAGTTAATGTCTGCAGGGCAGCTAATGAAAAATTCATTTATTTTTCACACAAGAAGACGCATGCATGCTTTTCTGTCTTTTGGGGAGCAGGACTGGGGGCAGACATAATGTGACCGCCAAGTCTTGTGCTACATTGTTACTGATGAGCAGATGTCGCTATTACCACTTAAACAATCTGTTGGTTTGTTAAAGTGTCACAAGACTTTTTGTTCTCTTTTCTTCACTGAGGTACAGCCAAGTCTTCAAAAATAACCAGGAAATCTGGATTGCAAGCAAAAAACTGCCCCCACGTGAAATTTGTTTTAAATTTGGGTGGGGTTTTGGTGGTGTGTAGTTTTGAAACATTCATGGTCTAAATACCTAATCTTTGTCTATTTTATGTAACTTTGTGGTTTATATAGTGCCTTATTGCCACATATATGAATTTTATTAAACAAAAATAAATAAACCACTTGATGGGGGGAACGAACCAAATAAACTCAAAGGAGTTTACAAAAATTGACTTGTTTGCCATATAATCTACTGCAGAATCTTTGTGTCTCTCTGTGTGTGTGTGTGTGTGTGTGTGTGTGTGTGTGTGTGTGTGTGTGTGTGTGTCAGGGTAGAGATGTGGTGCCTTTGGCCCTGCAGATGTTGCTGGAGTAAAATTTCCATCATTCTTTATGACTGACCAGGACTAGAGAGTCGGCCAAATTAAACTTTTATTGCTTATCACCAAAGGCCTTTGCAGAAATTCAGACAGGCTGAAGAGTGTACAGTAAATCATGTTTGCCAATGCAGGTACTAAAAATATTTAATGAGAGCCAGAATCAATTATTTAAAAAGCAAGAAAAACAAACAGTAAAAACAAGGGATGAAAATGCAGTAAAATAATAAACTGTCATCAAATCATGGCATTACCATGACAATTTATAGCTATCTCTGAAAGCACTATTTGCACTCACTGCTGCAAAGATCCAAACATAAAAAAGACACAATATAAATCTTTGAATGCTGACGATATAGCTCTTTACCCTGGCCTTTGACATTCTAGTTGGCAGAGTCCTACTCAGAGTAGACCCATTGAAATAACGAATGTAAGTTATCCTTGTCCATAGTGATGTGAGATGAGAATATTCTCCAAAAGCTGTAAATTCTGTGTCGTCTACACAGCTGCTTTAAATGTGCATACCTCATTAATTGAGAATATTCTTGAGAATATTCTCCAAAAGATTATTCTCTAGAATAAATTATTATTATTATTATTGTCCAAAAGCTACAATAACAAAATGTGTCGTATTCAGTCTTTTACTACTCAGAACAGACCTATTGAAGTTAATAGAAATGGCTAATTTAAGTTTATTAATTTCACTGGATCTACTTTGAGCAGGACTTAGTTGACCACATCCCTATATTTCTAGGGCCTGCTCTGGTTATGATAGTAAATTGTTCTAAACTCTTTTAATGTTGCACTTTACATTAGTGGAACCCTGCCTTGGACTTTCTAGTGAAAAGCAAGTAATTAATGATGATAATATCTGGCAATAAACAAAGTATGTTTTCTAGGATGGTTTTGTTTGTTTGTAATCCCAATAAAATAGTATCTAGAATCCTTAAAACAGGATTCCAGGCCTAAAGAACAGAATTAAAAGTAGTGATTGCATGAAAGTATCTACATTGAGCCAGAAAAGCTTTGCCTGAGTTTAGCAGATGTAAGACTTAACCAAACTGGCAACTCTACCATGGTCATTTTTTTACTCTACCATGGTAATTCTTTACCTTAGAGCATTAATTTTATCAGATGAGATTGACATCTCTGTTGAGGTGACCAAAGTGTATGTAGAAACATATTAAGATCTGAGTATCTTCTGATATCTGGAAACCCAGTCCTTGCAATTCAGTATCAATTTAGACAGATTTTATTTTTAGTAAACCAATTTATAGACTGTGACACAAAGCATAAAAACAGAACGAAACACAGAAGCATAAACTGAAAAACAACAGAAACCTTTTACCAGGTATAAAATTTATCTTTCATAAATGACTGGGTTACACCTTGGGGAAAGCCTTCCTAAACAAAAATGTCTTCAGAAGGCGCCTACACAGCCCCATGCTAGGCATCTGTATGACTTCATCTGTGTGATTTCAGCTGGTCATCGGTTCCAGAGAGCTGAAGCTGCTGACACTAAAAGCCTGTTAAATCTATCTGAAGAATTGTCCATAATTATAACAATAAATTATAGCATTATGGTTACTGGATGAGACTGAAGAAAGTTGTATTTCTGAATGAATTAGGAGTAGTAGGGCAGAGCCAACAATTTCTTCAAGAAACTGTTCTGTAAAGATTCCAGCTTCAACGTTTGGGAAACATCCCAGCCCTGTACTTTATTTATTATTCCATTGTGTATGCTGCTTCTGCACACGTTTGCCCAAAGTAGCTCCCAATGTGACAGCAAAAAACACAGAACAATGCATCATTACTATAACAGTCTAAATGCTAACTCATTTCAAAACAGAATATGCCAATCCGAATAAATAGATCACTTTTGATGATATGGATATTATAACATTCTAAACTAATTATAAAATAAATGATCAAGCACATGTATCAGTTAACATCAGTGAGCTGAACTATATCAACCAGAATCAGCTTGGATAAACATTTCCAATTCAATCAATTATTAGCAATGATACAACCAGCACACCTTCCGTGGCAGTACTAACAAATAAAGAGCATAACATTTTTTTATAGAAGTTAAAAATTAAAGTGCACACATTTCCTAGCAACGCAGAAATTGCCTCTCATTAATCCTTGCAGGGAGCCACTCTTCAGTCGACAATAGATACTTCAGCCCTATACAAAATCAGCTCTATAAAAAAATCTGAGTCATTACCTTGTTTTGAAACCACTTTAAAGCAGGGTCTATTAGAACACCCCTTTCTATACAAAAACAGTTTAATATGGTGTCCAAAGTTGTAGAAGCTGAAACATCTCTCTACAAATTTCCCAAGAAAATGTATCATTAAACTGAATTCTGAATTTCTAGGCATTTAAATTCACCTCTTAGGTCAATCAGTTACTCATATGTTTACAGTTAGAGTTTCTGGTGTCTCTTTCCAAATACCACAGCCTTGCTTTTTGGGTACTTTAGGGTTTTTTAACTGCCTTCTTAAACCTACACGCGTATGAGAGAGAAGATGAATATTTCAGAGCAATTGCCATTTAAAAAAATCTCTGAGAGAATCTACCCTGGCACTTGGCAAGAGTAGATAACTATGGAAAGCTGACTGTCCAAACCCAAAGATGGATGTCCTCCCTCTTTGCATTTACTGGCACTTGAAGATGGTGAGTGTTGGAGTCCCAGCAACATGTGGCAGACCATAGGTTCCTCATCGCTATTTTGGGCCTGGTCTAAAGCTGACATTGCCTACCTTTTTGAGCCCACCGGCACGTTTGCAATTTTGAATGGATACCACCTCTTCTAGTTGCATTCTTTCTCCCCTCCCCTGGAGGTCACTACATAAAAGAGAGCAAGTGTGCACACAGATTATTTGTTTTTACATAGGGTGTGGGTCAGGGGTCTGCAACCTTTAAGACAAAAAGAGCCACTTGGACCCGTTTCTGAAGGAAAAAAAAAACTGGGAGCCGCAAAACTCGTCATTATAAGAATAACTTTTTTGTCACTTTTTTATTATTTCTTTGTTTGACCCCTCAGAATTACTCCTCCTCATAGAAATAAACGTTAAATTAACAAGTTACCTTTTTGTGTGTGTGTGTTCTTCACTCCCCTTCAAAACAGTGACCAGCGTACATGCCCCCTTTCAATGCAGTGACGAGCGTACATGCCCCTTACAATGTAGCGGACGGGCGGGCGGGAAGGTGACGTTGGGACGGTGCGTGACTAACGCACGCCCCCCCCCATGCGACGTCACAGCCAGTACAGCACCCGCCACAGTGGGGAGTGTCGGGGCGCACAATGCACCTCCTCCCCTCGCTAGTATCCGCCCCAGAGCCGCGACAAAGATGTAAAAGAGCCACATGCGGCTCCGGAGCCGCGGGTTGCAGACCCCTGGTGTGGGTAAAATCAAATGAAGCAAAACTGCAACGTATGTTGAATTTGCATTGCTTTGCTCAGAGTCCCCCCAACCACCATCAAGTTAAAGTTTGCATTGGCACAGTAGAAACCACAGATTTGGTGCTTGCAAGCACCACAAAACAGGTGCCTGCTCTATATCCCCACCCCACCTGACTCCTGCAGCACTCCCCCTTCTTCCCTTGACTCCCCCCCCCCCATTTTCATCACTCTGCTTTCTGTTCACCTGGCCAGGCGCTGTTCTGAACCTTAAGAATCATATAGAGGTGAAAGAGCATCACTTTGTCTCGATTCTTCATTCAACTCTACCTTTCTAAGAGGAAAAGAAGGTAATTGCCCATACTCTCTCTCGGGACAAAGGTTGCAGTGTGAGAGGGTGGGGTCTTGGATTTTTTGTGAAAGCGATGGCTTCAAGGGTTCCATTGCATGCACCACTGTCATGCTGGCAACCTCAGATCTAAAGTGACTTCATTTGGAGTGCTAAATAGGCCTATTAGTTATCATTGCCTGCTAAGAATGTGCACGGTACCACAGCTGCCTATTTCTGAAAAAGCATCGAGGCAGGATGCTTTTTCAGGAAGCTTGCCCATCACTTTTACTGATCTTACTGCGGTATCCCAGTAAGCATCAAGCTTCATAGCTCAGTCTTTCTTAACTACTACATTGTGCTACCGTTAGCTGCCTTAAAACTTGGGAATCCTGAAAGCTCAGTAGGTTTTGGGTTCTTCCCTGTTGTTAGCCAATTAATTCTAGGCATGAGCATTGTTTCTTTGCCAGTAACAGCATCCACTGCTGTAGGGGAACTTGGTCTATCCAGTGTCAATGTGATAGGTGATCTTTTGTCTATCCTGTTGTATGAAAACAATGGTGGTCTTTATGTACAGAGCTGACATCATGGCTTCAAATTCGGGAATTGTCCCTGATGATGGTGAGAGCAGCAAGAATCCTACACTGGAGAGATGCCTCAACGTGCTTAGAGATGCAAGCAATGATAGCGAACAGTTTGCTGCTCTACTTCTGGTAAGAATATGGCCTTGCACTGGCAGGAATAGACTGCTTTGGAAGCAAATTTGGGAATGAAGATAAGCTTTTTGAATCCAGCTATTCATGGTAGCTGGCTAACTGGGTGAGTGATCAGTAGTTTTCTACCTGTAAAATGACAGTCATAATTACTAATAATTGCTTAAGATAAGGACTTGGGCTAGATAATAGCATCCACTCTTGTCCTGTAGACTTAAGATGGACACAGATCCTTGTAACAAGGAAAGAGCAAAGCCTTCCATGTCTGTGGCATGCAAGAGGAACTTAGGGAGGGGGAGACCTAGTAAGCAATTATAGCTGAGGAAGGGAAACTGCTAGCTCAGTCAAGCCATGTCACAAAACTGCACGCTTCTGATGCCTCCTGATTTTATCCTTCAGGTGACCAAAGCAGCAAAAGCTGGAGAAATCAATTCCAAAACCCGCCGGAGGATCTTTGACGCGGTTGGTTTCACATTCCCAAACAGGCTTCTGACGTCTAAGGATGCCCCTGAGGGCTGTACACAGCACACATTCCAAGCCCTGGGCCTCACCCTGTTGGCCTGCTTCTGCACCGATCCAGATTTAGCTCGGCATCCCCAGGTCCTTAACAAAATCCCGGTTTTCAATGATGTGATTTCAACTTGCAAGCCAGGAGATGCTTCCTGTAATGCCATGATTGATGATGCTTATCAGTGCCTCAGGGCTATCATGGCCACTCCAAAGGGTCCCAGAGAGTTGGTGAACAGGGGCACTGTCCCAGCACTGTGCAGGGCGTATGTGAAGCATGGCTATGGCTTTGATCAGGCCTTTAAGCTGCTTGTGGGGCTTCTGATTGCAGCCGAAGCAAAGTGCTGGCAGAGAGCCACTGTTGACCTCATGGGGGTGCTGAACGTACTTAGTCTAGAATTCCAGAAGGCTGAAGACATGACCAAATTCCAGCTGTGTGAAGTGCTGCCCCGCTTCATCCCTCCCCTTCTCTCGCCCAACGCCGAATGCCTCCTGCCCCTTTACCGAGGCCTGGCTAGCATCCTGACCAGCAAGCTGAGCACTTCCCAGCGGGACCCTGCCTTGAAGCTGGCAGCCTGCCTGTCACAAGCCTGTGGCTCAGAGTGGATCCAAGGAGGGGGTGCTGGCAGCAAGTTCTTTGCCTTGCTGTCCAACCTGGCATGTGTCGAAGTCCGCCTGACTCTGGAGGAGCTGGATCTGGCAGAGGTGGACAAGAAGCAGGAACTGATGGCTGCTTGCTACGTTCTGATGGAGACGGCAATTGTGGAGTGCACAAAAGAGAAAGGTTCTTTGCTGCTGGAGACGCAGAAAGTGCAGCTGGTGGGGATCCTGGAGGAAGCCTTCGGGGCTGTCATACACTACTTGAGACAGGTATAGTAAGACTCCCAAAATCTTCCAATCTTATAAGGCTGCCTCCCTCAGGAGTTCAGGAAGCAGTTAACAGTCTTACCTTTATGAGGGTCCGAGGCTGTCAACTGTGCCAGGTTGGTAGGAGTCATCTGGTGTCCAAGTGAGGCAATTCTTGTGGGTAGGAAGCCCAAACTAGTATTGAGGGAAATGAACCATAGTACAGGACAAGGAGCAGAGGAGGAAAGGGGGAGATAGAAATGGCGTCCCTGGACTAAATGAAAATGTGGAAGTTCTGAATAACACAGCAGGGCAAAGAGCTCTGAAACGGGGGCTGCCTTAACTTTTGTTTATGTAGGGAAGACTGAACTGGGAGCCAATCAAGGCCTTTGAAATCCATCAAGGATGGTAGAAAAGGTGGAAAGAATCTACTGCTTCCCCAGATTGCTGTTTTGGCCAAGTAGCTGAAGTGCTTGTGGTCCTGCAGGCTCTGCGGCTTATCAGCTTGGATTTAACAGATGGTACATGCTCACTTTCCTTTGTCTGGCTCACAATGTCACTCATCCCAGCCTCACTGATTTACAACATGTTTGTGACTGCTTTCTCTGTCCCACAGGTAGGGCGAAAGAAGCTGGACGACCCTTTCATCTTTGCCTCTGTTCGAATCCTTGGGGCCTGGCTGGCTGAAGAGACATCTTCCCTCAAGCAAGAGATCTGTGACCTTCTGCCTTTCCTCATCTACTATGCCAAGATGCGGTTTGAGGAGGAGAAGAGAGTCAGAAGTAGTTTGCAACAGGAGGCAGAGCAGGCTGGGCAAAGCAGCATCCAGCCTCCTGTTTGGCAAGGAGATGCTATAAGGTAAATTACAGCGTTGGGTGTTGAAATATGTTGTTTTGCTGCTTTATGCCTTCTAGATTCCAGTTTGGGAATCAGAACCACTTTAGGTTTATTCTGCTTAAACACTTCTAATGATGAGCTGAGGATCAGGAGCATTCTGGCTGGAGTTTCAGCTTGGACATTAAAGTCCTTGAGGGGCCTTAGGCAAACCTCTGCCTCGCTGATACACTGATAAAATTCTGCGCTGTTACATTTTTGGAAACGTTCTTCACAGAATAGAATTGTAGACTTGGAAGGGACCCTACGAGTCATCTGGTCCAACCGCCTGCAATGCAAGAATCTCAACTAAAGCATAATATGAAGCTTTTCTTTTGTCATCTTAGTTATCAGTGTGGAAATGACTTGGACTAGATTCCATCTTGGGGTGGCAGCTTACTCTCCTCCGGAGATAAGAGGTGTAGAGTTTTTACAGGGGTCTTATATTGCCACCAGGGCTCTTTTTTAAACATTTACATGAAACTGTGGGGGAGAGTGTTGATGACTCCCAGTGCTGCATATTTTAGCTAGGCAACCAAGAGCAACAGCAGTGGCTGTGATCAGTTGGATACAGGCAGGGAAACTGAGGCTGAATTCCAGGCAAGACAGAAGTGATGCTAATTGGAAGCCCAAGTATTTGATAGCAGTAGATTTATTGTTGTTGCAATTAGCGTGTATAAAACTTAGCAGTTAACAGGATTCCTTCAGCAGTGCTGCCCCCTTCCCCTCTACCCTGGACCAGGATGCTGTTGAGGGTAAGCTGCTTACTTGCCAAGCCTTCTTGTCTATCTAAGGCAGCTTCTGGCCACCCATCAGCAATGGCATGATGAGCACTAGAAAGGCTTATGCAACAGCTCTTACTGATGGTTTCTAATCCCGAGACCATGTGGGAACAGCATTTGTTCGTGGGCGCCTGACTATAGCACAAAGGTTCCCAAGTGAGTCATCTGTGTTCCCTGGAGAACTCTTTGCAACCTTCCTGATGTGGAATGGCATTACAAGCTTGGGTCTGGAAAAATCAACCCATCAATATTGACTCCTGTGATTCAGTTTACTTTGAGTTCACTCTCTCTGCTTGCTTTTCTTTTCTTTCCTTTCCTTTCCTTTCCTTTCCTTTCCTTTCCTTTCCTTTCCTTTCTTCCTCTTTTCACCAGTCTCTCAGCTCTGAGGTTGGTTTTGTTGGATATGTAGGATCAGGAGCCATGTAGGAACAGCTTCCAGGATGCAAATCCACCTTGATTTTAAATATGCAAAGTTCCATCAAGTTCCTTTGTTCCCATCTTTTAAGCAACAAAGGCTGGTTCATTAAGGCAAATGGGGCACTGCCCCACCAACTTCAGCCTGCCCCATAGCCAGTCCTGCCTGCCTTCTTACTTAACAGCACTGGTTGTCGGCTTCCTCCTTCTTAGCCTCAGTGCTGTCACACCATATATACTTCAGCAGGGGGCAAACCTGGAATTAGTTGGCTCTGGCCTCGCTTGCTGTTGATTATCCTCCCTTCTATCCTATCAGTCCCAATGATCACCAACTTCCACTCTAGTGGGACCAGTAATAAAAGCTGTGGGAAGGCCAGACCACCAATAAGCTTCTTGAGTTGAAACCAGCCCTTCAGCTGCGGTCAGCTGTGTCACTTGAGAACCAAAGGTAGGATGTGGTCCTGGCTCTGTTAAGGATTGGGCACGGAGTCCCTACCAATTAGCATCAAAGGAGGGGAGAGAAGACCCAACCATGTGCAGCCTTGTCATGTTCCCCGACTGTTAAAACAGGTCTTGCTGGAGTATGTGTGATTCCCAGCAGTCACTGCATACCCAGTCCCCTCCTCCAAAATTGGTCTCCATCCTGGGTGACCTATAACCTTTAACCAGGTTCCTGAGCTCCCTTGTATGGCTGTACTCTTCTAAGAATGTTTGAATTGTTTGGAGCCGGTCCGCGCTCCTGCATTTTACAATAAGGCTATAATGTGTAGTGTAATACTGCCTAGCTGCTGCAGTGTCACGAGCTACAGTACACCTACCTGCCATCTGCTTAGGTGGCGAGGCAGGGGTATGGAGCGGTGCCTCTGGTAGTTGTCCCAGTTCTGTGCAACTACCTCTCCCTTCATTCTGTTAGGACTTACATAATTTCCTCCTTAAAAAAAAAAAAAATCAGGACTTTGACTAGTGTAAGAAAGGAGCCAGGGGTATCTAAGGCTAACTTTATAAACCTGTCCTCCTGCGGTCTGTTATTATGTGTTAATCATTGTGGGCTGCCCGGAAAAGAAAAGAAAGACTTAGGAAAGACTGGGTACAAATGCTTTCAAGAAACAAACTTTATGGGATAAACAAGACAAAATGCCCAGACCCCATTATAATAAGCAGTCTGAACATTTGAACATTTCAGATCTTACTGTGATATTTAATTTCCCACCCCTAGTCATGTTTTCTCAAATATAATGAGAGGGACCCCATTATTGGTCAGATTGGCAGAAGGTGCAGCAGGGTCTCATTACTTTGTGCAAAAATTGTTGGGCCTTTTTTTGAATATATTCAGCAGTAGGCAGTGCTAGGGTATGGCATTGGGCTGGCTGTTGAGCTGACCTAGGGTGGCAGTTCTTCAGCAGCAAATCTTTTGTAACTGGCTTGGGTTTTTTACTATAGAAAATCCATATTCCAGGTTGAAATGCATTTTAATCTCACCATGGTCATAACAACTTCCTTGTTAAACTTTGCTGTCAGAAGCTTGAGGCCATGGACTATCTAGTTAGTGGTTTTTGTAAGCTGCTCGAGGGACTTTTTTGTCTTAAGAGCTTGGGTATATAAATGTTTTAAATAAATGGGAAAAGCCCTCTGCCTTTAACTTAGTTCCAGCATTTCCATGTCCCCTTTCAGATTCCTCTTACCTGGCTTAAGCCACTTGACTGCAGAGGATCGACCCCGTGGAATCCTCATTTCAGAGGGCGCGCCAGTACTCCTGTGCCAATATTTCTTGTACCGGTGGGAGATATTTGTTTCAAATACAGATACCCTGACTACATCGACTACTGTGGAAACCAGCCTTCAGACGTGTTGTGAAATTTTCCTTAATTTGGTTGTGACTGCTCCAGATTTAATCAGGTAATGGGTAGAGGAGGAATGCAAATGAGTTAACGACACCTTAACATGTTACAGAGGCAAACCTCTGTTTCGAAATGCAGACTTCTTATTCACATATTTTTAAAAATATGTTATAATTTTAATATGTATAATAATTTTTGTAATACAAAATGAAGAGCATGAAATATAATACTTTAAATATTCATCGAGTGCTCGCTCAATGAATTTCTTTAGTAAGAGATGTACACCTAAAAATGTAACAAATGAATTCACACATGACTGAGGAAATCATGGTTTAATTCTTCACCCAGGGTTTAAATCCCCACTCAAGTTATGAAACTCAAAGGGTCCTAGCCAACCCCTCAAGCTGGTGTGGGAACAAAAATAGAGAAGTTTATGCACATAACCTTGAGTACTGTGGGTGAAGGGTGGACTGCAGATATGATTAACTCAGAAAGCATCTCGTGTTTTGCTTTCTCTCTCTCTCTCACCTGCAGCCGAGAAGATTGCTTTGCGACCTTGATGGACACATTGCTGAAGTCCCTTCCTTCTCTGCTGCCACAGAGAGAACATCTCGGCCTGACAGCCAATGTGGCAACACTGGGACTCATGATGTCCAAGAGGCTGTTTGCTTACCCAGGCAAGAAATAGCGCTGTCAGCTTCCACTGCCAAAACTGAGTAGGAAGTCAACAAAATGTAACCATGCCCTAGTTTTTCTTCAGCGGCAAATCTGTTGCTAGGCTGTACCTCTTCAGAGTGCAGGTGTGTGCCCACATGACCTGAATGCTGTCTTTACAAAACAAAAGGCCAAAACCCTTTCATGTAGAAAACCAGCACATCATAAGAGAAGGGTTCTAGCCAAACCTCCTCCCTGATGCACTCGTTTTTCACTGTGGGGGGATTATTTTGGGTTTTTTTGTTTTTGCATAGAACAGCATGCGAGCACCCCTGCAGTAGCCTGAAGTGGTATAGCCCAGGCACAGGTTTATTAGCTCAGTGAAAGCTAGGCCTGTGTGGGCAGACAAGTGGTTCATTACCATCCATCTCCATGGCAACTCCGTATAGTATCGTTTTCTTTCTTGAGTTGCCCAACATGAGACTCTCTCTTTCCTCCTCCACTACCCTCCCGAGTTGGGAATTGACAAACAGTGCGCTCTAATTATATGGGGAGTCAAATGAGAAGGAAAAGAGCTGGGATGAGAGGGTGCAAGCAAGAGAAGCCTCACAGAGGCAGTTCCCTCAGAATAAGCTGCTGATCACTCAGCACAGCAAGTGGCCCAAAGCCCACACAGCCATCCCAGTTGGGCTAATTAAAATGTACTTATTTTAAGTATTAAGCTTGTGTCTTTCCCTCCTCCGAAAAACTAGGCGTAATGCACATGGAGGTGCTAGCCCATTCTGTCCTTGCAGCAGCACTGTGAGGTAAATTAAGCTGGAAAAGAGCAGCTTGTCCCAGGGGTGATGCCGCCCGGCGGGTACTGGGTGGGGGCGGGTCGTGCGGAGGGCTATCTCTGCGCTTGCTCATCCCACCCCCGGCCTGGCTGCTAGGCAGGGGCTGAGGTGTGCAGAGAGTGCACAGCAGTGTCAGGGGGTGATGGCCCCCTCAATATTGGGGGAGCTGAAGCCCCCTCCTCCTATACCCGGCGCCACTGGCTAGTCCTGAGGTCAGGCAGTGAGAGTCATGGCTGAGTCTGGCCCCAGGCCTCCCAGGCAAAAGGCTGGGACTGCATCTTACAATGGTGAACCCTGTTATGACACTGAATGTACTCCTGCGATCAGTTCTGATTAGTGTCACCTGAAAAGGGAGGGGGTGGCATACCACTTCTTGCCCTATTCTGGAAACAGTTTTGAAAACTGACCAAGGAAGGGGTCATGGGGGGGGGGGGGACTCAGGTCTCTTCTTTGTACTGGCCTGGCTCAAGTTAAAATATTCCTAGAGGGGTTTCAGCCTGAGGAAGTAGTAGGAAGGCAATGTCATAAGAACCTAAGAAGAGACTGATGGATCAGGCCAGAAGTCCAGCATCCAAGCCACACATAGGCCGACCAGGCACCTGTGGGAAACCAACAAGCAGAATTCAAGCACAAGACCCCTCTCCCTTCCTGCGGCTTCCATCAGCTGGTATTCAGAAGCATTTCTGCCCCCACTGTGGAGGCAGAGTATAGCCATCCTGGCTGATATCCATTGATAGCACTCCTCCATGAATTTGCCTAATCCTCTTTTGAAGCCATGCAAGTCTGTGACCATCACTGCTTCCTGTACCTGCCCAGACCTTGGAAGGAAGCACATGTTGTTGGTGAATGCCCACATTACCTCTCTTTCTCTCTCTTTTTTCTCCCTTTCTCTTCCTCTTCCTCTCTTTTTCACTCAGGTCTGCAGGGGACTCCAGAATCTGAGGGCTTCTTTGATGCTGCCATCCGCTTCCTGGCAGAAGCCCACGTGGCCCAGACTGACCTCGATGGGGAGAAGGTGACCATGAGCGTTTCTCCAACCTATAAGGCGGCCTGGCCAGCCATCCGTGAGTTGTGGTTTCTGGGCATGCAGGCTTTCGCTAGCTGCGTGCCCCTCTTCCTGTGGCTGCCGCAGGATGTCCTGCGCTCCGGCTGGCTTCAGGAGCTGCTGGCCTTGCTGGGCCGTGTGGCGCCGTCGTCCGTAGACTTGGAAGTTGTCCGTGCTTTCCAAGGCATCCTGGTGGAGCTGGCCCGAGCTAGCCAGCCGTGTTTGGAGATGATCCAACAGCACCGGGGTTTGGAAATGGCCAGCCTGTATGGCATGGCTGCCTTGGAACAATGTCTCTCTGAGCAGTGAGCAGTGCTCAGAACACGTTGTGGTCGGGTGGGGGGAAATGTTTTCCCTGAAGCAGTTTTTTATCATCCTGTTTCATGCAGATGGATGATCTTCTTAATCAGTAGGGCATGGGATGTGTCGGGCACCTCTTCCCAGATGGCTGCACAAAGTTTTAAAACAAAATATGATGTCTCATAAAGCATGTGTCCTAGCTCTCTGTGATATCGTAGAGTAACATGAAACAATTGCACAAATGTATGCCAGTGCACGTTAGTGCTGTTCAGTTGACTCTAATGCACTGTGGAAAAAGCTAGTTTTCCTCTAGAGGGGAGAGTAAACAAATGCTAAAGGAACTTTGGTGGCATTCTAGCGTGGAAGGGAAGGAATGTTTTTAACTATGTATAGTGATTGTTTCCAAGGTGTCCTTTTGCTACCTTAATCAGGCTTCAGGGTAGACTTAAGTAATGCACTTATGAAGGGCATACTGGATAGACTTCTGGCCATCTAATTATTGATTACCTCAGGACTGTGCCATTGTTGGAGCTCTTTTCTTGAGGATACTATTTATTTACCTATTTATTTATTTATTTGAATATTCAATTTTTAAGGATACAAATTCTTCCTAGGCAGCTTACACGTAACATTGAAGTATATTGATAAAATCACAGTGAAACAGTATTGAATAACATACAAGCCTTTGGGATCCTTCCCACATGGTAGCTGATGTCTTTATTTAATAAATTTGTACCTGCCTTTCTGGACAAAACAAAACAAAACACCAAGGTGGCTTACAATTTTTTTAAAAAAGCAGGGACAGTTTAAATGTGATTAAAACAATTGGGGAGGGAGGAAGTTCACTCTGTGGACTGGAGTGACGACATCCCTAGTTGGAGCAGGACCAAGGTCTCCTTTGCTTGCCTGCCTGCTCCCACATGGCTGCTGGCATTAGATGGCCCTGTGGGGGGAGATGGGGCAGGCAATGAGGGGGAGGGTGCAAACTATTTTGCTGTTAAAAATAATTGACTCCCTTTTGAATCAACTGCATTTCAAGGAAGAGGGATTTCCGGGGCCAAATATATAGTATTGGGATCTGTACTCTCCGGAGTGTTAAATGTTTGCTTGTTTTTCGCTTCTCTGTATTACTCCGCATGTAGGCTCTTGCATGCAGCCAGTAAATATTATGTTCATGAGTTGGAGGCTGGATTAGCCCCTGAAGCTGTGGCCTTGGCTTAATATCTTGGTGTTTACAGTTCAGTAAATAAAAGTGCTTTGTCTTGTAATAAATGCCTGGTTCTTACTGACATGTGGGTCTTGTTCACCAAATGGATGTCTGCTGGAAGCAAGCATCGCCTTTCCTCTCATTCCCTCTTGTAATCCACGTGAAGCAGAAGGGAGAGGGAGGGAGAGCCCTACTGTGTCAAATCAAAGGTTCCTCTACTTCAGTCTCCAGCAGTGGCCAACCAGATGTCCTATGAAGAGTTCACAAGCAGGGCATGGAGGTCTTAACACTTTGCAGTTCATCCATAGCAGCAAATATTCCAAGTCCGAATGATTCTGGACATGGCTAGTAGCCGTTGATGGGCCTCTCCCAAAGCAATACATATTAGCTACTGATCTTTAGTCCGCCTTGAAATTTGCTTTGATAAGGAATTTTCTGTGGTGTCTCTGGGTCGGGTGGCTGGAGAGCCTCCAGGGTTGGCTTGGACTACAACTCCCATCATCCCTAACCCCTTGGCCATGCTTGCTGATGGGAGTTAAAGTCCAGCCAGTCCATGAATGACCACAAGCCCTGATCCAGATCCATCTGATCTGTTGGGTAGCAGCTCCCTACTTCGAACCTACAAAGTGAGGGCAGAGTGGTTGGAACTCACTCAGCACTTGATGGAGAAAAGTATGGCTGTCTGGCCGTTGTCTTCATGCCAGTTGGGCAGCTTTATGAGGCTGGTGCCAGTTGGTTCTTCAAGCAAAATTCAACTTTATGGGAAGAAACGTCCTTTTACAAAGCAGGTACAGTCTTCTCAGTGTTCTGGTCACAGACTATTTCTTTCTCATTTATGCACTGGTGGTATGAAGTGGGACAAAAGGGCCATTGATACTCTTGGGCTCACCGGGATGACATGCAGGTTCTCAGCGGCAGATGAAGGCAGCCATCTCCCATCCAAGCCTATAAAACCTTTTAAATAGCATTGCTCTTGCTCCTAATCACAGACCTGTGTGTACTTGTGAGTACAGGAAGCACCGTGCTGCCTCTTTTCTGCCCCCCGATTGAGGGAAGTTCAAGCAAGGTTCTTTATTTCCCAGTTAAAATATTTCACCTCAGTACCAGGAAGCACCTATGGGGATGCGGTGTGTTCAGAGCCCTGAGTAGGCATTGTGATGTGGGAGTTGTGGTTCAGCTGATGGGTTCATGGGATGTTAGGGGAGGGGTAGTACCTCTGGTGGGGGACACGTCATGCTCCAGGGGTAGTTTGGCCACCTTTGGTCCTCACCATGCTCTCAGCTCTCACCTGTGGCTCCTAGCAGGTGTCAAATGTGACAGCATCCACATCCTGGGAATGGATTTGACTGGTCGGATAAAGCAGGTAAGGGTAGCCAATGAGTCAATGGTCAAGCAGGCGGTTTCTTCATGTGCTGTAGAGGGAACTAAGGGGCAGATTGGACTCAGCCTGGGAAGATAGCTCCTAAACCTCCGCTGCCTTGTGGGAGATCTCCAGGAGAAGAAAAAGCTAAGGAGTAAACCCTGCACAAATCCAGAGTGGGTTCCCTAAGATGGTTGGGTGGCACCTTGTCCACCACCTCCCAGCTGTTGCTTCAGCCAAGCTGGTGCCAAGTATATTGCTCTGCTTTCCTTCCAGTGGTTCTCAACCTGTGGGTCCCCAGATGATGTTGGACTACAACTCCCATCACCCCTGAGCTCTGGCCTTGCTAGGGGTGATGGGAGTTGTAGTCCAACAACATCTGGTGACCCACAGGTTGAGAAAGGCTTTTTTAGACCACATCAGTGAGGCTGAGGGGTGGTGGTCTTGTTTTCTAGGCAGCCCAGGACCTCCATACACACTTCCCAGGCTTGGTCACTTCAGCGCTGCTAGGGCAGCAGTTTGACTACCCCGGAGGCGCACTCTATTGTCTCTTGAGACAGATGGATTCCAACAACAGTGGTTCAGTTGACTTCTCTGCCTTTAAGCTCTTACTGAAGCTGGTGGATGCAGCATCACAGTGCCAGGTGCTGCACTGGTACAACTGGCAAAGAGCATCCTTGTTCCATGATCTTTGCTTGGAGAAGAGCCATAGCTCAGGGATTAAGCACCTGCTTTGCATTCAGAACATCCCAGGTTTGAGATCCGGCTTTAAAGGATGGGATCACCTTAGCCTGAGATCTAGGAGAGCTTCTGCCTGTCAGAATAGACGATGCAGCTGGGCGGATCAGCGGAATGGCTTTATAAAGCAGCTTTTATTTTGTTCGTAATGAAGATTCTACATGAATAACCAGCTCAAAGTGTATCTTTACTACATACCTGTTCTCATATCACTTCCTGCTCATGAGAACAGTGCTGCACACAGTCATGCCTATAATAACCTTTTTAGGCTGCCTTTTCTAGGTGTGCAGTGTAATTTCATTTATGGGAAGGAACAACCTCTGAATCAGTTTAATATGTAAGGCGGTGTATGGCCCTGGGGGCAGAACTGGAAAACAATTCAAGAGGCAACGAAGGCTGCTATTGCCCAGGCAAATTCCCAGCCCTACAGGAAGCCTTGGCCATCCTTTAAAGGACAACTATGGCAAGCTTGGGTGATGGAGTCATTCCACTGCTTGGTAACCCTTTACTGTCCAGAACAGGGGTGGGAAGCCTGGGGAAGTCCAGTGGGCGCACAAGTTCCCCATCCCTGCTTTACATTTTTGCTGTCTCAGACTGTCTTCTTTTGCCCCCCACTATGTGTCCATAGAGGAAGGTAAACGGCGTTTCCGTGCGCTGCTCTGGTTCGCCAGAAGCAGCTTAGTCATGCTGGCCACATGACCTGGAAGCTGTACGCCGGCTCCCTCGGCCAATAAAGCAAGATGAGCGCCGCAACCCCAGAGTTGGTCACGAATGGACCAAATGGTCAGGGGTCGCATTATCTTTATGTGTCCATAAGACATCTCACCGCCACAATGTCAGTCAACTTGGTGGCTATAGACATTTCTGGGACTAAAGGCATTTCTCATTGACAGTATAATTCCTCTGCATCTTATTTTCTTGTTCTCTTGGGCAAGTCACCCTAGTGCTGTTATCAGAGATGAGTATTTCACATGAAGTATCAGCCCTGAGTGCTCACTGGAAGGACAGATCGTGAAGCTGAGGCTCCAATACTTTGGCCACCTCATGAGAAGAGAAGACTCCCTGGAAAAGACCCTGATGTTGGGAAAGATGGAGGGAACAAGGAGAAGGGGACTACAGACGACGAGATGGTTGGACAGTGTTCTCGAAGCTACAAACATGAGTTTGACCAAGCTGCGGGAGGCAGTGGAAGACAGGAGTGCCTGACGTGCTCTGGTCCATGGGGTCACAAAGAGTTGGACACAACTAAACAACAACAACAACAATTTTCACATGAGTAAGACAGTACTTCAATAATAGTGAGAGCAAGTAGGTTAAGGAAACTTAACAGTGAGATCCGAACCAGGTCTGCTCAGAAGCAGGGACAGATGAATCTGTCAGTCTGTGGTTCTCTCATTTCTCCAGTCTTAAATTCATTTTTCCACATTTCTGCAGCAATCTGCATTAAGAAGGAAAAAAACCTTTTTTACAATTTGTGTGCAGTTCTCCTAATAAGCACATTTTTGTATTTTGACAAATACACACATTTTTGCAAGCCATGCCTGCTGCTATAATGCATTTATATCCACACTTTACCCCAATGTATGCATTTTTTGCACACATTGCAAAATTTGGAAACACAGCTCTCCAGTCAAGCAAAGTGCCAATTTCAAAGGAAATTGTTTTTGGGAAAGTACAAGTTTGATAAATTTGCCTTTAACTGTGAACTGAATCGAATTTCCCCCATATCCCCTACTTGGAAGTAAGTCTTGTTGGATTCTGTGGTGCTTAGTCCCAGGTAAGGAGAGAGAGAGAGAGAGAGAGGGGGGGGGGAGAAGCTTTACTCTGAATACAGTAGTTGATGCATTGTGCTGATGGGCAGTAGAGAAAGAAAACACAGGGTACTTCTTAGGGTGTGCCACTAGGGGTCACTCTTATGTTAAAAAAGGGCTTGCCCTCTCTGAGAAAACAGGAATTCTGCTTGTCCCTAGAGTCACTCCTGAGATTTTTCTTACCCAGCTGTACATGATGTAGGTGGGCAACTTGGCTGCTCATATATTCAAGCCGGGATCTATGGATAAAGGGTTGTATATTACTACTACTACTAATAAATTGAATTACATAAAAATTTTTTAAAATTGTCCAGTAGCACCTTAGCTTCTTCAGATACACTGAAACAGAAGTCACCAGACCCTTATATATAGTGGGAAGGTGGGGTTTTTTCCAGAAGGGTAGTAGGAGATGGGTGATTGACTCAATGGGTATGGTAAACCTGTAGACGACTGTTAACGACTGCAATTAGCCCTACAGGAAAATGCAAGGTATAGTATGCAGATGACCAAAAATAGCTTTAGCATGTGTAATGAGACAAGAATCCAATATCTCTATTCAGACCAAGTCTCTCCGGTAGTTTTCAGTTTAGTAATAAGTTGTAATTCAGCAACTTCTCTTTCAAGTCTATTTCTGAAATTCTTTTGTAATAAGACAGCTGCTTTGAGATCCTGTACTGAATGTCCTGGAAGATTGAAGTGTTCTCCTACTGGCTTTTCTGTCTTGTGATTCCTGATATCAGATTTATGCCCACTTATCCTTTGCGTGGGGTTTGGCCTGTTTGTCCAATACAGAGAGCTGAAGGGCACTGCTGGCAATTAATAATAATAATAATAATAATAATAATAATAATAATGTTATAGAAAGCTCACACGTTTCACCAGAATCAGTACCTCCAGTTCCATTCCTGACAGGCTATGGAGAGCTTCTGCCTGAAGCTTCTTATACCTCACAGTCGCTGGAGCCTGATGCTCTTAATCTCGGGGTTGTGGGTTTGAGCCCCACGTTGGGTGAAAGATTCTTGCATTGCAGGCAGTTGGACTTGGGCTCCTCCTTTCCAACTCTATGATTCAAAGCAATGGTCCACCTGAGGCAGTTGTCTGATTCTCTGTAAAGCAGCTTATATGTTTACATGGACACATGCCATCATAAAAACTG